TCAGAATCTGATGGAAAGAACAGAAGTTTATCTGGGAAGAAGGTGGGTGAGTATTTCTACTGATCATGATTGCCAGCCCAGTGCCAGATTTTTTGGGTCACAATAAACATGTCTGCTCATGTCTGGTCTCACTTGTAGTTTGTTAAATTATGGGGTGCACCCTTGTGATGAGGGAGAGGTGTAGCATCCTGAAAGCCAGTATATCTGCAAGATTTTGTGTAGTTCTCACAATACCTGGTTTCAACTTTGTTTGATTACATAAAATAGGTTGACCCACAAGATGAGTGGGTGGGCATCATCCTGAAAGCCAGTATTTATCAATTATTTCAAGTCCATATCAAGCTCTGACGTGGTTTCACTGTTCATTACATAATTGAGGGTCAATACTTGTGATGTGTGTGTGGGTAGCATCATGAAACTGAAAGGCAGTATATTTGTAAGATTAGGGGTCCTTATCAATATATATGGTTTCAATTCTGGTTCATCATTAAATAGTCAAGGGTGGACCACTGAGATGGGTGGGTTGGTAGCATCCTAAATTCCAGTATAGGGGCAGTTTTGTACAGATTTCTGATGCTGGATGACGTCATCTCAATTTTGGTGGTATCATAGGTGTAGGTCACTTGTTATTTACTGATTGAAATTTCAAAAATAACAGGTACTATGTGAACTGTCTGTACCAACGGGTTGGTCTTTGAAACCTGATATTTCATATCACAAATGGTTTGAAAACATTGGCTATTGACCATTGTTACCAATTTCATTTACCATTATTTTCTTCTTCATCATTCATAACATTCTTTCTTCTCATCTCTCTATCCAAAGTTTATAGTCATCATATATTTAAGAAACCCACCCTTCACTCCCTGGTTTGTCAGTAAGGAGTTAAGTTGTTATGTGGCAACAACAATAGAAAAAAATTGTTCTACATTTTTTTGTCAGAAGTCGTGTTTTTAAATTTTGTTGTTCAAAAAAATAAGTAAAAGATAATCTTTGTACCTGTGTTCATTTATCTGAGAATTTTTATGTTATGTTGGTTATATTCCTTTTCAGATAGTGGGTATTATTTGTTGCATGATGTGTTTATTATTTAGACTGCTAGCCACCCTGTAGGGTGTTTGTTTGTTTTAGACATGAAGTGAATTTATCCTCCTTGGCTTTTTAGGAAAAAGGGACTTGGCATAGTACTAATTTAGTCTGTTGTCCTCTGATTTCAGTGATTACCATGGTGGCATTTCCATATCTTTTGGTAACTGACCCATAACATCTTGAGAGCAGACACGTGTTATTTTGAAAACATATTGGAATTATTGAAAACATTACATGGGGCACACTGGGATGCCAGTGACCAGTAGTAGAGGGCTGTGAATGTGTATAAGACATAAAAGTGGTTGGTGAAAAAAACAACCCCACTGCTCAGTGAAATAATTGATTGGTCTTCATGCCTTCAAAATGGTCTTAGATCTTTCAAAATGATTCATGATTCATGTCATGCAACAATTACATCTGATTGTGAGCACAGGACAATCTTCACTACCTTCAACCTTGGATTGAAATTGAATTCAAGCTCATATAATCTTTGTATAATGTCAGCTAATTGTTGTGTTTCCAAAGTGAGTGGAACTTTTGATTCTATTCATTCAAACAATCCCTTTGGTCATGTTATACTGATTTTATTGAGATACTTTTTGCCTTCTTTTTCAATTTTTCTTTGATTTTAGGAATATGCTGATTTACAAAGTAATCCAATGGATAACATAGAAATGGAGCCAGATGAGAATAATTTTTTACATTGGTCAGGAAAATATTGAAACTCACTTTTCTCAAACCCCCAAGAACTCATGACTTTTATAAAGAAAAAGAATCATTCTTTGTTGATTGTGTCGGTTTCATTAATGGACCTGTAAGCTGTCAACTTCTGACTTAATCCAAATTTCATACTTTATCATCTGACATTGAATATTTCATGAAGACAGATTCTATCTTCCATGGTTTGTAATCTTACTCAAATCCATTCACTCAGTTTGAAATCACTATATGTCAATCCCAAAACTTGATTGATTTATGGGTGGACATTTTACAATTGACCCTACTTTTCCATTACAATACATATCCATTCAAAGCACCCGTTTGTATACCAAACCCAACAAATTCATAATCTCTGTATAAATCTCATACCTATGTACACATCACAATTATTGACAAATATTCTATGTTTTACTTTGTGCTCTAGCCAATCAAAGCTAGCACTTGAATTTATCATCCAAGAATTAATCAAGAAGGTTTGTCTGTGTAGGAATTCTAAAAGCAGATGCTTGGCAACCTTCTGTAGGAATTAAACATGGTTTGTGTATAAATCAATGTCAAATCAAATTACTTTGTTTGCTTCAAAGTAAGGGAGTTGACTGTTTCTGCAAATTCCCAGCATTCCCATGTCTAAAACAGTACTTAGGACACTTGTCAACTTACATGTCAAAACAAATTGTACACAAAAGTTAAACCCATGAAGTTCTGATAATGTTGTTGAAGTTGATCACTTGTTATTAACAAATATGAATGTTAGACAACAGGACTTTTTACATTGAAATTTGCGCTCAACAGGTCAGATTTCTTCACCTGCTTCAAAGTTGATTTCCATTGATGACATAGGCTGTTTACCACATTGTCTTTCTTCTATCCTTTTCTATCTCATTATCATCAATCCTCACTTGCAAAACTTTCCTAGTTATTGCTTTGTCGATTTTTTGCTTTCCCACCCGCTCCTCCCTTTTTAATCTGGAAGAGTATCTTTGGTATTGGTTTCTATTTAAGTCAAACTGAGCTCTCCATGTGCTATTTGTGATTAAGAAATGTTTACTGGTTTATTTCTTTATGATTTGGGCACATACATATTATTAATTCTGAACATATTATGAGGTGTTGTTCTGCACTTTGTTCGCACTGTGTTTAGTTATCATTCTTAGAATGATTCTTTACAAGTTTGTAGTCCTGTCCGCCAGCCCCCCCATGGGGTGTTTGGTTTAGGATGATTGAAATTTATTGTCCATTGGTTGCAGACTAAGGGTTAGGGTTAGGGGCTGCTGAGGGTTTTTTACAAGGATGCAGAGGGGGCTCCAGAATATCCCAAGGCCAATTCATGAGATGAGAGAAGATGAGCATCATACTTCCTTCCTGGACTTCCCCACAGATTGGAGGCTCTGATAGGTACAAAGGCTTGGTCTTGTACCTTGTTTCCATTTTTGAAGACTGTGACAATAGACAAATCTGCACAAATTTGTTTATATGGGGTCCAGTGAGCATTAAAGTGTTGTTTTGCCTTTGAGTACTACAGGTATGACTCTAGATGTGCCATACCAACTACCCTCAAGTGTTTGATTATCACTCAGCACATGCTGAGGCATGAACACAAACTGAAAAGATGCAACACATAGTGGGTTGACTTTCTGAAATTGATGTAGGTCTTCCTTCCACAAATTTAGGGTGAAGGTTTTGATTTCAAGGATGTAATGTACCTCAAAGCCCCCCAAAGTTTACTTGAAGTTCCCTGCCTTGGTGACCACTATCTGATTGTCAACATATGGTCCTTTAGACAAGACTGCCAACACAGTTACATAGGATTGGAATATACAAAGTGTTTTTGGATGTTGCCCCTCTTTGCAAGGTTTTGATCTGAGGTATTTCTTGGCTTATAATGATGCCTTGGAGGGAAATTTGGACATGGTCTGGCCATGGATTGGCATCAGATTCTGCCTTGGAGTCCTCAACCCTCTATGTTGACAGTATGGCTACTATGTTCAAATGTTACTCCAATTCACATTCTTGTGTTGTACTTCTTGGTTGTACAAGAATTATTCAGAGATGTGAGAAAATGAAATCAACAATGGATGCAGAAGATAAATCTCAAATCTTACAGCTGAATCTTCATGCACTGTGCTTGTTGAGGACACCCTAGACATTGCTTCCTTCCTTTTCAAAAATTGGATATTAGCCATAAGTACCTCTCTCAAAGCTTGAAGTTGTGAGGCCAGGCACAAAGGACGAGTGTGTTGAGTTGAACAAAATTTATCATGGTTGAGCCTGGATTCACAGAAAATGCAAGCAGGCTGAAGGTCCTCCCAAAGTAGAGAAATGTCATGAATTCTTAGACAAAGTAGACTGAACAATTCTAGGGAGTAAGTAATTGGAGGGCTCGAGCTTCCTTCGGGAAATGATCTTGCAAAGCAGAGTAGAACTTGAAGCCATCGTTGGTGAGCTCAGAATGACTGATTAAAGTAGTCTAGTAAGTAGGATATTTGACAAGTATAATGAGGCAAGCGCTTCTCTGTTTCCCGCTAAACAAGAATCCACAGCTACAAAGCACCTTGTTTTAGGATGAAGTTGTTGATGAGGTTTGATTCGAGGGTTTAAAAAGATCAGGATAGGATGTGAAGTTGAATTGAACACAGCCCAGAATGTGTATTACAGTTTAACACGTCGTCATGTTACTGTACTGAAATTCGATTTCTTGTTTACTTCGATCGATTCTCTTTCTTTCATGAACTCTACATGTAAACCAAACTTAACTAAGTCCCGACCTGGACCTAACCACCAACTCCAGGGAGGGACTTACGCCCAATCCACGATTTCAAGCGTGAGATCGGTCGGGGTGTTTGGCCAAATTCTCTGATCTCAATTTCTCACGAGCTCTGCATATGAAGGCTCATTGACCCCTTAATGAGAAATGACCGCCGACAATACGCGCACATTTCTATACGCTCGGCTGGTCCTCATCCCGTTCCCTCAAAATGTTATCCCAAAAAAAGGATTTGGGGTAAATCACGGGGCCACAGATGACTGCGGCTCCCCTAAGTCGCGTAAGCCGACATATCCTTGAATATGATTGACGAAACTGTCAATATGTTTCAGCCAAACTGCAGTTTGGCCCATGCCGGCGTGAAATTCACCAAGTCCTCCGTATTACCACACCCACATGTGCAAACCTTTGACGTTCATTACCATCGATGCTACGACGGAGCCAATCGGCTGCCAACGAAGCCTTGTTAAACCAGTCCGAAGATACACGCCGGCTCAAATCATTAACTGCACGCCCACAATTCAAATCAGTGTACCTTAACGCTTCTGAAGATACCCAAGCAGCTGCTGGAAGATTCGCGTTTCAGTCCAAGCACGCCTACCCTGCAAGGCCTCAGCAGGTCGATTCGCTAGTAGATCTGCTGAATAATCATACGACCTTTCTACTGGCGGGAACCGGGTTCGGGAAGAGCCGTGTGCCCGAAATGTTCTACGACGCCTATGACGAAGGCTATGCCCCCATAATACTCAGTATTAACCCTTTGGACTCGCTTGGGGATGACCAGGCAAGCCTTACCCTCGAGCGCATGTATCTTAACAAAGCAACTCACACACCCGCGACACATGTACACTATTACAGGTTTTGGAAAAAGCCAATGTCAACATCAGTGCGATCAATTTGACCGGGCCCAATTGCACGGCCGACGCGTGTGAGGCTATCTTGCTAGGGAAATACCCTTTCGTCTACGTGGTACGTATATGTGGCAAATGGACCCCTTTCTCTTCATGGCCGACACGTTAAAACTGACTAAGCTCTACCTCCTCCGGATACCGTCAGAGTCCCGAGGTGGCCTTGACCAGCACCATCTTTGACAGGATGTGGCGGGACGCGCGCTTCCAGGCTAGACTGACACTGCTTGTGGTAGACGAGGCTCACATGATATATTCATGGGGCCTCGTTGCAAGCGGTCAGGCGAAGAGGTTAGCGAGTCATGTTCGAGTCCACGACGGCGGAGTGTTCCGACCGTCTTACGGAGACCTTACTCGCAGATTTTTATCAACAAGCAACATTCCTTTGCTTTTGATGTCAGCGACGTGTACACCGCAAGCCATTAAGGCAATTTTACTAAACCTCAAACTCGAATCGCATCACGTTCGATTCCACCGAGCCGAACTAACCCGCCCTGAACTTCGACTGATTCGGAGGTCATTCAAGCGGCCGCTGAAAGCTGCCCTACGCGGTTTATTTACTCACCACACCATTGTGGCAAATGAATCCATTCCACCTACACTGATCTACTCTGGGACACAAAACGCCACTTTAGACACCTTACAAATAATATGTGCTTCTCGAGGTCAACCTCACGAGGCGGCGAATGGCCATTCCCAATTTGCTCGTAGGTACCATGCAACCACGGGGCCCCAAGGCAAGCTTGACGCTGTGGCCTCTTTCATCGCTGGCTCACTCGCAGTGCTTTGCTGCACACTCGCTTTGGGCCTAGGCCAAAACTGGCACCGAGTACGACGAGTAATTGTTGTTGGGCGTCAAGACCCTTGCAGTTTCATTCAAATGTCGGGGCGATGTGGACGAGATGGAAGAAGGGGTCTTGGGTTTCTCTTGGTCGAACACAAACGCACCAACGGTAAAAATTCTATTGCCAATTTTACGTCACCTCGGGAGATGACCGACGACGACCGGATGGATGCACTAGCAATCACTCCAGTCTGCCTTCGCGTAGCCCTGGCGGTCGACCTGAGGTGAGTTCTCTCAAAACTTCTCAAGCTACATCGGTTGGCGTGATAGTGCATCAAGCTGACCTACCTCGCTAGTCACGGTTACATTCCCCTCGATGTCGAGGATTTAACAGCCACGACCGAGTGCGCCCGGCAGGCAGCTGCAGGCATGCCTGCCTGCGACTGCTCGAACTGCCTCCCTGAAGCAGCGGAGGCCTTATGGCTGGCCCAGTTAGCCTTAACCAACGCCAACTTTGATGGGACATTCAGCTTATCGCCTGGCGACTTGATGGATCTGGTTCGAGAACTACCAATGCCTCCTTTTGTTCCGCCTTCTGATATACGACGTGTCGCACTTCGCTGTTCTCGAGAAGACCCCATCTTCCAATTGCCCACATTGGAAACCTTGGTGGCCGATCTGACTTCTGCTTTCAAAAAAATGTTTGATATCGCATTTCCAACCGGTTCAGACCTGGGCCCTGAAGATTACTTTGGTCGTGAACTAGCATGGGACATCGCCAAAAATATAGATATCTTAAGGGTTCCCCAGGATTTATGTGTCATCCTTGGAAGTGAATCGCTTACCGGCCAATTTGATGTGATATTCAAATCGTTTCTCAAGTGGCAAGAGGAATCTGATTCACCTTCGGCAATCACATCAGCGGCCGAACGCCGGCGTAAAGCGTGTCGTACTCCTGCCACGCCCAAGGTGCACCAATCCGTGGAAGGAGCGACAATGGCCAAAGAACGTGCTGAGACCGACAAGGCCGAGCTCATCCGCACGCGTGAGCTAGCTAAAGAGCAGAATGCATTGCAAAAGGCCGCGACTCGCGCGAAACGTGCACAAGACAAGCGTGATGCGGACGCGCAACACCGCGCGAGGAAGGACGCGAGCTTGGCAGCGAAGTCTCGTCGCTCAGGGGTGCCTCCACCTCAGCTGGTTTCCCCAGATTCTTCGATCTCACAACATCAGGGTTCTACGTCTTCAAAACGCCCGGTAGAAGATACATCTTTGGCACCCAAAACGACCAAAAGACATCAGCATGAGGTAAGCAGGTGATAGTGGTGGCTCAGTTCGACATTTGGCTGACATGTGTTGCATTTACACCTCTTCCTGACCTTCGTCATTCTCCCATGACGATAACACGTCAGCCGCCCCCCATCGGAAACGGGATGATCGACCCGCGTCTCTGTCCGCAGTAATCATCTTGATCATCGACTGATGACCAATTCGCCAACAGTTGGTCACAGGGGCTGGACCGTGTGGGTGGTCCTTCGCGCATAAGTGATCCTCAGCGTATTTGAGGAAAACCGCCATTGATGTATCCGTAATGGCATGGAGGTTGGGCTGGTACACCAGCTTATGTCCCGACATGGCTTTCAGGAGTTGCATTAGCTTGCGCAGCTATGTGGAGGCGCGTTATTGTTTTGTCAGTTACCCAACGGAATCAAAAAACCAAGACAATAAATATACACATATAAGTTCGCACTGACGAGAGGTATATTGTTGGATAACCGATAAGTGAGTCTCTCAATGTCTGTGCCATGCCCCTAAAGAGGGCACATCACGGGGTCAGTCATCAATAAACCATGCAAATCGTTTGACGCATGAAACAAAGTCTTTGACCTACTGTGTTATTATACAAATGTTTAAGCCAATAAATATGTACTTCAAGAAATTCATCAATCGGCATCCAGTGGTCGTCGCGTCCATTCGATGGAATGAGAAGGGAGTGTTTGATCGCGTGCGCGAGCTCCTTAGGTAAATCCTCCTCTAATAACATCACCAAGCGTGGAATGTGTCTCGCATAATGAGACAGCCCAGGTAAACCTTGACCCATGATGGCCCAGCGCTTCCAGATTGACATCAGGCGGCCGATATCACCGGCGCGGGTGGCGTCGTGTGCTTCGACCACTGTCGCGAAATCCCGGAGGCGTAACAATAGGTTGTAATGGGTATGATTTTCGCTCTCTTTAGCTGCCGTGAGTGCGGAATGATCGAAATAGTTCTGCCAGACCTCTTCAAAAAGGTCCTCGCACGCCTCCTTTGAGGTTAGGTCGATTCCAGATTTCAGATCTATGATCTGCCTAGAAGATTCCCGTTTGCACCTCATTCAATTGGTCAGCCCGTGTCATTATTCAACTCCTATTAAAAGCGCAACATACTGACTTGAGGATGAATACCATATTGGCTTTATGCACCTGTTGCAGAGAGCGCATGATGGAGTTGAAATCCTGAGATGCTGGAGGCTTCTTGCAATCCCCGCCCAAAGCAAACGATGACCGCCAGACACCGGTATTATCTTTGTCGTCCGAGTTTCCCCAGTGCATTCCCCAAATGGCCTTCGCCACGTTCCAGGTGGTGTGAGCGCCTCCAAAAACAGAAAGGACCCATTCAAATCCTTCGATGTGATTAATGGGTGGAAACCGCTTCACTCGCAAGCTTTCCACGAGAAGATTCGAGCCGACGTCGCCCCCGGCAACTAATAGTTTCTCAGCGTAAGTGTCATCATCGACAGCAATTTGTGCCTTGATCTGGTCTAACACCCGTGTGACGCCCTCGGCAGAAGAGTCGGGGGCGTCCATCATTCGCAAAAAGTGAATGTTGGGCTGGTGCATTGGAATAGGATCGACCGCCGGAGGTCGGGTCGCACAAGGCGCTAATTTATGTCGGTCTGGAGCAGCCTCTATGTGGGTCGAATATTCTATCAAAGCCTTGGCCAGCTGTGCCTTTATGACGAATTTCCAATGTGCTGCCTCTGCTGGGCCAGGTGAGAAGAGGGACATATTGACAGGTTTTCGATCCGCCTCGCCCATAGCCACCAAAAACGCCGCCAGACCGTCTGCCTCCTCAGAGCACTTCACCTGCAGGCATGCCCGGACGACGTTGAAGAATCCCCAGGTACCATGGAACAGTCGGGACGACGTATCAATGCGTGTGTTGTGGATCCTCAAATGTATATCGATGTTGTCGTAGCACAAAAGTGGCATGATCTTGTGATTCAATTTGAATATCTGGATTAGTCGATCATCTTGGATTTTGCGTAGGTGTTCCATTGCCCGCAGCGAGGTATTCCTTGAAGCTGAAATACCCAAAGAATTTAGCCACTCATTCACCCGACAAGATACCCCACCAGCGAATGCAACCAGCCCATTCGCCATGGCGATTGCATTGCTCCGGCGGTTGCACACGCCGGCTATCATCGAGCAGACCATTACGGGCACCTATCCAGGCCAAAGAAGTGAGTTAATGAATAGCGTACGCTTCGGTGACAAAGACGTGGCTATCACCATGAACTCACGGTTGCGAGTTTATGGGCAGCGTTATCTGCCGGAGTCGACTTTACATATACCATGTTTTCAAGTGACAATACCGTGGTGTCATCGAGGGCACCTTCAATCTCGAGGGTCTCAGTTGGCGTGGAGTCGGCGGAAGAGGGTGGCAAGTCTAGAACTTCGTCGTGGTCGTCAGGTTCTATGACCGTTTGTTTGAGGGCCGCGGCGATTTTGCTGTGTATCAGGCGGTACAGAAATCTCATCCCGGTGCGCACTTGTTCGTTTCGAATCTTTTCAGCGCTCTCTCCGAAAAAGTCGGGTGTGATCCTACTTGAGCTGACATACGCTCCAGCAGGAAAATGCCCACGCGGCACTTCCTGCGCGTTGACAATGATGCTTGCCTTTGTTCACAAACGTGAAGAGTATGTGTGAGTCGTGCCCCCTGGAAGCGCTTCACATGGCATATCACTGACCTCCTCAAAAACTAACTCTTCCCACGTGCCTTTCCCTTGATCGCTGGTATTTGTCAATCTCCCTAGGTTCTTGACGATCGAACGGGTTTGCTTGGCGCCGAGGCCAACTTTCATTAGGCGTCTCCGCGAATTGAGGTCGGGATTGTCCGCAGACAAGAAGGTGACCATAAACTCCTTGGGCGAGAAACCCAAGGAGTTTATGTAGTTACATATTTTGATGGTATTGGCCACGGTTGTAGGAATTGGTGAAATTGCAGACATGCTGGCAACCGCCTGTGCTATACCCAGGAGGAGTCGATGCAAGTATTTTCGCGATTGGGGGCAAAAGGGATAGCTGGCCATGACCTTGACCATGATATTGCAATAAACTAATAACACTGGTCATACAATGTTATCGTGTGCAAAAGTCCCCAAAGTGTTTCAAATATGAACACCACGCGAGCTAGTGTTCCACACCGAGGGCCAGGTTGCGACCCATACATCAGTCGCCCACACGGAGGGTCCATAAATCCCCTCGTTTGTGCACCAGTACGCATTAAATTTCATGCTGACCTCCTGGAGTTGCCATTAGATCATGACCCGCCCGTGCAAACATTCCCAAATGTGGAGTACTTTTATTGTCGCTCATCCCAAAGCGTTGATGGCATTTCATCGTCTCGCGACTGATACGTGCCGGAGCGGTCAGTCTCAGTTGATCAAATCCTAAGAATCCCAATCGGGCCATGGGCTTTCCTCTAAGTCTCTTACTCATCCTGTCTCCGGCATATTGAACCATCCATAGGCGTCTGAAGTCTAGAGATGCTCCCCCGAGCGCCGGAACAAGCACACCGAAAGTCGGAATGAAGAAATGTATATATACCACTAACGTTGGGTCCCTCTCATGGCTAATGAGGCACCTTCCGCATTAGCCATGGAATCACAAACGAGTGATCTGCCGAATAGTGAACATAGCGTCGCTATTTCAAATATCTTAGGGGCCATCCGAGCCGAAGGCCTGACAGTCTCGTCTTTCCTATTCTTGCTGGACTCATCTTCACCGCGACCGCCCGACTACGAACCTCCCTCGCTCATCGATAGGACTTATCACATATTTCATTTCATGCAAATCCAAGAGTTGTCTGTCTTCCAGTTTCTTCATACATTCCTTGACCTCCAGAATCTCGAGTTCAGGAATCATCGGGTCCAATGGCGTGGTGCAAACGCCGAATCACAAACGCCGATTCGCATGCTCCTGAACCGGATGAAGAGGCTTCTCTACACGGATGGCATGGGCCGCCGCTTTTGGACGGAGTACATTGAGGGCCAGGTGAGGCCTCCCACATCTAACATTTTTGAATCATATATGCTGCATTAACTGACGGAAAGATCACCACCTCCCTCGAGCCAGATGCACGCTCTAGGAATTCACAGTGCCCCTTTTTGATTGGTCGGCGTTCGACTTGCCTGCTTCGCACGTAAGCATCATCCAAAGATTCTCCGTTCTCCGTGCGTAAGCGTAAACCAGGTTGTTTACGCTCAATGCTTCGCCTTGTGCAGGTTATATTTGGTGTCGCGCTGAATCAGTAGGGTGGTTGGGGGTCATAATGCATTATTATTCAGCTGTTTGCCCAGCTCCATCTGCTGTTTAATCTCGTGCCATTTTAGTTAGACCAAAACCAATCGCACGCGCAGCATGCCTTTTGCTACCACGCTCTGTGGCCCCGTGATTTACCCCAAATCCTTTTTTTGGGATAACATTTTGAGGGAACGGGATGAGGACCAGCCGAGCGTATAGAAATGTGCGCGTATTGTCGGCGGTCATTTCTCATTAAGGGGTCAATGAGCCTTCATATGCAGAGCTCGTGAGAAATTGAGATCAGAGAATTTGGCCAAACACCCCGACCGATCTCACGCTTGAAATCGTGGATTGGGCGTAAGTCCCTCCCTGGAGTTGGTGGTTAGGTCCAGGTCGGGACTTAGTTAAGTTTGCATGTAAACCATTATCTTAACTTCATATCTCATCATTTTCTATCTTCAACACAACTCTTGGTCTTATCAACTGCGACTCTCAATCTCAATCCCACTCGGCCATCTCGATCGCACCTGCTTCATTTCTCGACGAAGCCTTTGACTTTACAAGCAAGCATCTATGCAACACAACCAGATGAACCAAGGCCCACCACTTCCACCTGGATGGGTATCACAATGGTCTGTCTATATGGAATTTATTCATATCAAACTGTCACTTATGTTGAAACTTTGAAATCATTAGGGATGCTGCTTCCGGACGCCCCGTTTTCGTTGGTGAGTGATATCTATTTACCACTTGAACATCGTCACATCCTTCTCAAGCTGACATTTCATCCTACTTTCAGAAACGGCTACCGGTCATGTTCAAGCCCATCTTCCGACCGAAAGTCAAGCCTATCAACAGATGCCTCCTTCTCAGATGGGTTTTGCACCACAAGGCCAACCCATGAATGGTGCACCCAATCTACCAATGTCACCTCCTCCAGGTACCAATGACGGAGCTGGCAATCATCCACGAAGCAAACGAGTCTATGCTTCTAACCAGGCTCAGGCCTATTATGGCGATGCTGGGGGTGCTGGTCCACCGGGAGGCCCACAATATCAATCAACAGCTGGGCCGCCCTCTCAATATCCTCCAGGCGATGGTTTCTTTGCTCCTGGGGAAGCTCAAGCTCAGCCTTTACCGTACGGTCAACCTGCACCTCCATACTCACAGCCAGGTTATGGTGCCGCCCCGCAGCAGCTTCAGCAACCTTACCCAGGCCCAAATAACGATGCTATGGGCGACGTGACTCAACAGTTTCAAAGTATGGGAATGAACCAAAAATCTGTCAGTCATCGTTTTCGAGCCGACCCCCTGCTTTTTCACTAACATTTGCTGTACATAACGTAGTATCCATTTTCAACATGTAACTTGATCGGTGCTCCGCTTAATCCGCAACTGCTCACGTCTCCTCCACCTGCTATCCGCTTACCCCCAGGTGTAAGTGAATGTCAATCTCCACCACATTTCATCTCCCACAGAGGCTAAACTGAAGAATCGATCGATCGCCGTTATAGGTTTGCGTCAGTCAACATCCATTAGCCAACGCCGATCCATCGTACAAACGCTGCACTCTCAATGCTATCCCTACATCTGAAAGCTTATTGAAGAAATCAAAAATCCCACTGGCATTAATCATAACGCCATATCGATCAGTTCAATCAGGCGAACCTGAAGTTCCAGTTGTTACGGATACTGTGATCGCTCGTTGCCGACGCTGTCGAACTTATATCAATCCATACGTGACGTTTATTGAAGGTGGCACTCGCTGGAAATGTTGCATGTGCAATCTAAGTAATGAGGTTCCACAACTATTTGACTATGATCGAACAAAGAACGAGCCGGTTGATCGTTGGCAAAGGGCCGAACTTAACCATAGTGTCGTCGAATTCGTGGCACCTACGGAGTACATGGAAAGTTGAAGGTATCATCTGAATACGGGTCTTTTCACCACGCCTGACATATGTTTCTTCACTCCATCAGGTTAGGCCACCGCAGGCTCCAACCTACGTCTTTCTGATCGACGTATCCTATCCAGCCGTCTCGTCTGGGATGGTTGCTACTGCGGCTCGAACATTATTGGAAACCCTTGATCGAATTCCGAATGAAGAAAATCGTACCCGTATCTCAATCATTGCGGTTGATACCTCGCTTCACTTTTTTTCTCTGACGGTACGTCACTTTGACGTACTTCACGAATCTGAGAATACAACAGACTCATCATGTGTGATTTGTCTAGCCGGGAAGTTCCGAACCCAGCATGTTGGTGGTAGGGGATGTTGAAGATGTCTTTCTTCCCACTGCTTCGGACTTGCTAGTAAACTTAACAGAAGCTAGGCCTGCTATAGAATCCTTGGTTACTCGCTTGAATGATATGTTCAAAGACACTCATGTTGTCGGGAATGCGATGGGACCTGCGCTACAAGCGGCTTACAAGTTGGTAGTCAGTCGCCATATCTGATCAATGCTTCAAATTCCACTGTATAGGCTGACATACGCGTATCATTAAGTCCCATATTGGTGGTAAAATCATGGTTCTTAGTGCAAGTTTACCCAGTGTTGGCGCAGGTGCTTTAAAAAGTCGAGAGGATGCAAAAATTCTAGGAACAGCAAAAGAGTCTTCACTATTACAAGCTGCAACTGGATTCTATAAGACGTTCGCAATTGATTGCTCAAGATCACAAGTCTCAGTCGACATGTGGCTCTTCTCTTCGGTATATGCCGATGTTGCATCCCTGAGTTGCTTGCCTCGATACACAGGCGGAAACACTTATTTCTATCCTGCGTTCAACGCGGCTCGAGCTGAAGATGCGTTGAAGTTTGCTCACGAATTCGGTCAGGTTCTTGCCAGTCCGATCTGCTTGGAGGCTGTTATGCGAGTGCGGGCCTCACGTGGTTTGTTTGGCTCTACGTTATTTGCCTGGATTATGACTGAAGAGATCCTGATTGCTTTAAATCCATTAGGTATCCGACTCTCCGCGTTCCACGGTAACTTTTTTGTACGGTCAACGGACTTGCTTGCTCTCCCTGCTGTACCGGTTGACCAATCATATGCTATTGAGCTTCAAATGTGATTCCGTTTTCTAAAAGCATTTCTGAACGTAAAACTGACATTTGACATACCTTTCGAATCATCAGTGAAGACCCGATCAACATGCCCTTTGTGGTTTTCCAGACTGGAGTGCTCCATACCACTTCTTCGGGGGAGAGGCGGATACGTGTGATCACCCTGGCACTTCCCACCACAAGCAGTATCGCAGATCTTTATGCAACCGCAGATCAAGTTGCGATTGCGACCCTTTTGGCCAACAAAGCTGTGGAACGATCTATGCAAGCCAAGCTAGAAGACGCCCGAGATGCAGTGACGAACAAGATTGTGGATATACTTGGAAGTGAGTGGCTGACGATCTGGTCTGAAGCTTTGCGAGATTTAACAACAATTTCATTCTACAGCCTACAAATCTACAATGACAGCTGCTGGAAGTGGGCCTACCCCTCAGCTGGTCATAAGCGAAAATTTGAAGATGCTTCCGATGCTGCTGTTAGGCTTGTTGAAACATGTGCGTCTAGTGTTGGGCGATTTTTAAAAAGTGATGACAACTGATGTACAAATCATTTTTCATCATCAGGTTGGATTACGTCAATCTTCCCAGATTCCATCTGACATGCGATCCTACGCACAAGCTCTTCTCACGACCTTGCCTTCTCAACTTCTCGTGCCTTATCTTTACCCAACATTCTATTCGCTGCATAACATGCCAAAAGAGGTGCGAGGTCTTTAAACATATATGTCGTGTATTCAGAGACTGAGTAGGACCGCCGATTTGACAGTGTGGCACCGTAGGTGACTTTGGTGTGATACTACCACCGCAATTAAACGCTACAAGCGAGAGACTAGAAAGGCACGGATTATTCTTGATAGAAGATTCACAAAACATTTTCCTTTGGGTTGGACGTGATGCAGTACCACAATTGATCTCGGATGTATTTGATTTACCCAGCTACCAAGACCTGCGCGGAGGCAAGGTAAGAATACGAAAACTGCCCACTTCAATCGCATTTATACTCACACTGAATTGTATGTTTTATATTAATATAGACCACATTACCAGTTCTAGACAACCCATTTTCTCAGCGGGTCACAGCTATAGTAGGTAAAATTCGAGAATATCGAAGAGGACCATATTATCCTCATTTGTATGTAGTCAAAGAAGATGGAGAACCATCATTGAGGATGTGGGCCTTAAGCTTATTGGTAGAAGATCGACAAGATGCTTTACCTAGTTATCATCAATATGTGACATCATTGAAAGATAAGGTCAGTGATAGTTTTGAGAAAAATAAGATTCTGAAAGGATACTGATGCTTCTATCACTCCTCTTTGGTACTCTGTAGGTCAATAATAGTTCGTTTTGAATAAAATGATATAAAAAGTGAAGCTTTATCTTCTTTTTTGTGGATATACATAACTTTACAGCAGTAAGATGAGCTTTGGGTGTGAGAGTTATTATTTTTTTTAGTTTAAGATGATTGGATGTTGAGATGCAGATGAATATATGTTTTCATGAAGCTTGTTTTGAAATTTTTGAAAAAATCGCATGCAATATCCAATTAAATTTGGGGTGTGTAAGCTTTATGTTTGATGAAAGTCTTATCGCAGAACTCTCTAACATAGGTTGACAAAAGGTTATGATGAAAGAAATTTTTGACTGTAATGTGAGATTTTTTATCCCTTCATCTTTCACGTCCTTTAAAGGAGACTTGGTAAAACTGCTCATCGGCATCGTAAACTCACTTTGACTTGACATCAAGTTCAGAAATCTTGAGACTAAAATTTTCCAACCAGTTGCCATTGTTTATCTTTCAGCAAAAGATAATTGAGAAACTCAACGCGATCTCACACGTATAATTGTTCAAGTTGAAATCTTGCACAGGAAATAGATAGAGAGTCAAGACATTGTGAAAACTTGCGCAAACCTTATCGGTTATCATAGATTGGGTCAATTGACTTTGCAAGCATTCAGCTGTGCCTTTCCATACATAGAACTCATTGAAAGCAGGTTTTTTGTTTCAGAACTGACGTCTATGTAGCTGTTGATTAGGATCTTCGCAGTCATTGATAAATCCACGTGAGAGTGTTGAAAAGTACTTAGTGAAGTCATCCATGAAGTGCTTCAAGTGGCGAGATGTCACTGTTGCCGAGTTTAGTGAGCTGTAAATAGGAATAGTTTGATTGAGTTAAGTTTAAATTGAAGTTGTATGTATGCATGCTAATTGTATTGAGCTGTATTGAGAATCGCTGTCTCTCTCTCTCTCTCTCTTTCTCTCTCTCTCTCTCTCTGGGTTGTTTGAGTTTCTTCTTCCGCTCTTGACTCACTCCATTCGTCCACGCGGGGTCAGCTTCACTTTACATTTCGCTTTTCCACTTCGCGCTTTCTCGGTTTAACTTCAGCATCAATCAACTTTCAAATAACCAACTTCATTCACGACATGGCCTCTCATCATCCTCATCCATCTCACCCTCACTATGCTCTTCGTCCCGTTGTCGGTCCTCCCGTCGGTGCTGCTCCCGCTCCTCCTCCACAGAGGATCACTGAATTATTAGATTGCGTTAAACAAGAATATGATAGTCTTCAAACTGAAGCTCAACACCTCAAATCTCAAACCCAAGAGTTCGAATCACATGGTAAGTTCTATCTAAATCATCTCATCATAATCAGCTTTCATAGATCTAATTGTTTCTTTTGGTTCGATCATCCTAGTGGGTACATGCACCTCGGATCTTACTCAACTTAGGGAACAACTTTATCAACTAGAACGAGAACATCAAAAACTCAAAACTCAGTGAGCTTTCAAGTCACCCGATTCCTGATCAGATTTTCTAAAGTATTTTCTTTAATATCATATTTAGATACGATGAAGAGCTACGTCGACTTCATCTTGAACTCGAGCAACGCGGCACGTCAGGTCCTGCTGGCCCTATCTCTCACGATTCTCGCGGACCTCCCAATCTTCCCAGTTCAGCTACTGCGCCACCACCCTCAAATTCCTTTGGTGGCATTGTAAACGCTAGTGGTCCTGTCAGCACTCCCACCGGTACTCATGGTAGCCACGTCTCCTCCATTCCTAATAACTCTAATCCATCCGGACCGATCATGCATATCGAGGGAAACTTCCCTTCTAGAGAAAGAGAAGGACTCTATGCTAATGGATCTTCTCAACGTGAAGGAATCCTTTCAGAACATCCTAATAAACGAATTCGTACTGAACGTGATCGGGAAAATGAAATCGATCCTCGTCATCCTGGTTCAGCGATTTGTCATGTCCCATCAGGTGGAGTGGCTAGCCCACCTGTGTTACCCAATGCAGCTGCACGTGCTCCTGATCCGAAACCCAAACTTAAAACCAACGAAGGTAAGTCGAAGTTTAGGCATCTTATCGAATTTCATCGTCGTACTGATTTGATGGATTCCATTTTTTTGCTTCTTTAGCTCCATACTCGAAGTTGAGCGTTTCTACTCCGCCACACATGTATGGCAATTCTTATCACCAACGTGGCGAAGGACATCCTCCCAGTGCCTCTCATCATCTCTCCGGTCCATCTGCTTTACCTCCACCAGTTGGTGCCTCCAACCCACCACCTTCTACGGCTCCTTCGGGTACACCAGGGCCACCACCTACGCCTGGGGGCAATGCAAACGTCTTGCTAGATCTCGATCCCGATACGCTTCCTAGTAGTATGAAGAAGGAAGGTGGCGATTGGATGACAATGTTCAATCCTAAAGTCAAGCGAGTTTTGGATGTAGGATTAGTACATACTTTAGTACACGATAGGTTGGAGATTTTATCGATTATCATATCTTTTTCAATGATATTGTTAGTCTGAAATTTATTGTTGTCATTAGTGTGGTTTGTTGTGTCAAGTTTTCTCCGGATGGACTTATCTTGGCTACAGGTTGCAATCGACATACAACGCTATACAGTACACGTACAGGTTCTAAGATTTGGTGAGCGTTTTTTCCTCCTTTACAAGCTTTTATGACGTTTTGACCTGATTAGGGTTTTTCAAAAAGTACACTTTTGGATGAGAGTCATAATACCAAGGCAGATAATTATATTCGGAGTGCTTCATTTAGTCCAGATGGAAAATACCTTGCCACTGGATCTGAAGATCGCATCATTCGAGTATGTATCATTCGATCATTTCTTTTTTCTTCACCTCGCTAACTTTGTCATTCGATCTCAATCATTGTGTTGTTTGGATCAGATTTGGGAAGTAGCCAAACGAAGGATTGTGAATCGATTTCAAGGTCACAAATCCGAAATTTACTCACTTGCCTTCTCGCCTGATGGGTCAATATTGGTATCCGGTTCAGGTGATAAGACTGCACGAATTTGGGATATGGAACAAGGATTATGTACATTTCATTTATTAATTGAAGATATCACTGTGACTGAGAATGGACCAGTAGATGCAGGAGTGACATCAGTTTGTGTATCACCAGATGGAACACTTTTAGCAGCTGGATCATTAGATACAGTCGTTAGACTTTGGGATACATCAACAGGACATTTATTAGATAAATTAAAAGGACATAAAGATAGTGTTTATAGTGTTGCGTTTTCACCAGATGGGAAATTTTTGGTTTCAGGTAGTTTAGATAAAACTTTAAAATTATGGGATTTAGCTACACTTAATCGAAATAACATGGTAAATGCTTCATTAGTAAAAAGAGAAGATGGTGAGAATGGTGAAAAAGTTACAACAGATAGAGGGTTTGATTCTTCTAGAGCTTCTACTGTTTGTACTACAACACTTACTGGTCATAAAGTTGAGTTGGTTCTTAGGATTTGAAAGAAAAAAAATCGTCTTAGATCATTTCATTGATTGAATATTGACATTTGATTACATTTTTTTCTGCTTAGGATTATGTTTTATCAGTAGCTGTTTCGCCTGATGGAGCTTGGATCATGTCAGGTTCTAAAGATAGAGGTGTACAAGTTTGGGATCCCAAGACTGGGATGGCACAATTTATGTTACAAGGACATCGTAATTCAGGTTCGTATTCTTTTAGGTTTTTCTCATTAAAAGAAACTAGAGATTTGATGAAACTCATCCGAATGACATGTTTATGATGATTTTTTTTATTAGTGATCTCAATTGCAGTTTCTGAAGTTGGTGGACTCTTGGCAACTGGTAGTGGGGATTGGAATGCAAGGATTTGGTCGTATGAAGCTATTGCAGATCGAGAATGTGTGTAAGAGAAAGAAAGAATGTAGAAAAGGATTAGATTATAATAAAGCAGATCAAGAATCAGAATCAGAATCCAAAAAAAATAAATCATCATCATCATCATCATCATTGATTGTCTTGTGTGTGTTTTTTGTTTGATTTGAATAAGTTTGTGTGTGTGTATGGGGTGGAGGATTCGAGTTGAAAAAAGTGGTTGATTTTTTTCTTTGGAAATGATGATGATAATTTTGGAATGTTTTTGTTTTTGTTTTTTTCTTTTGGTGGATTGATTGATTGATTGTTGAATGGTTTGGGTTTTAGATAGAGATACTTTGATCTGATTGAGTTTGGTATACATACATAAGCAAATTTTTTTATTATTTGATTTCTTGCTTGCTAGTATAATTTAAGTGATGGGTTTTATTTTGATTCAGGTTATTTGAGTATATACTGATTGAAAAGAAAAAGATTGTTTAAAGAAAGAAATCATTTGGTTACGTATTTATCATGTGGATGGCCTTATGCTGAGAAGCGTTAGAAAAGGGGTTTTTGATCCTACTGATTATTCAATTAATCAAATTCGATTCATAAATGTTTATTTTGAAAAGGTCTTTGTTAGACTTTTTGACTTTGATTGGTTTTACATTTTAATTCCTCAAAAGTTCAACATATGAGAATTGTACAGCTGTTTAACTTGATAAGAGTGTTCAAGGAAATTTAACTCAAAAAACTTGATGATCAGTTTGTATTCCTTTGTTAGGTTTTAAAAGTGGTGATGGAAAGTGGTGATGACGCTGTAAAGGGTTTGGTAATGTATCATTGATACTTGACTTGGTTTGGGATCACATTCACATTCACGTTCTGAGCTAAACTAAGCCCCTCACGAGCGCGTTCGCAGTTCCTCTGCCAAAAAACCCAAGTCTGTCATAAGCCCCTCTTGGTGCTTACAGGGCACGGCGAACGCGCCGGTGAGGGGCTTAGTTGAGCTTATTCACATTCACAATTGTATGAGACAAATCCTTGTCTTTAGATTCAAATCATGATCATGTGATTACAAATATGGTTTTCTTAATTACACATTATTTTAAAGGAAGTTACTAAATCCAGCCTGAACCGCCCGGATCTCGTCTGCATTTACATCTCACGCTATCCTATCATCTATGTGGCTTCAGCTTGACATTCCGGGCGGTCTTTTTGTCAATTTCATGTTGTGACCGCCCGCTTGAATTTTTGTTGATTTGAGTCCATGTGAGGGGCCTCAAGCGTTTGTATGTGGGAAGGAGTGCGTTATAACTTATTAGGGTGAGTCCTAAGATTTTAGTTGGGATTGGTCGAGTCGCTTGTGCGTGTCGATCATGATCCAGCAACAGACACCACCTACTACATACCAAGTACCATTGCAAGTGATGAGCAAAATCAAAAACAGTACCCAGGAAAAGGAGCAGCTTTGACAGAAAGAGACATAAAAGTACATCTCTCGCTTGACAACAAGAGATCAAAGAGATGCACCCAGCAAACCTCAACAATGGGTGTGTGATCTCTATGATGTACAAGATAGCTTACGATGCAAACACACAGCGCGCGGCGGACGCACAAGAACATATGTACAATACAAGTACCTAATCTCTTGGAGTCTTGACCGAGCTTAACCTGAGGAGGGCAAATGTCAAAGGTGTGCTGAAAGCAACAAAACTTTAGCGTATGTTGATATCTTCACAAAGATATAGTAAACATCATGAACTAGACGTGAAATGTGTTGTATCAAATTGACAAAAATTTAGCGGGCGGTCATAAGACCAGATCGATGCAATTGTGTCGGGGAGACAGACAGGATGGGGTTGAATTGAGAATAGAAACAGATCAAATTTCGGGCGGTCATGGAGTTGCAAACACCGGGTAGGATTTGGTATTTTCCATTTTGAATACCAGAAAGCTTGGCCGAGTTTGATGAAGCGTATGATTTGTAAACTTTCTAAGAGGGTTTTTGGATTGATTTGATTTGATTGATTGATTGAGAAAGAAAGTCATGATGATTTTTAATTTTGGAATGTGATTGAAGAAGATAAATTGGAATGAAATCTGATCATTGCTGTTGATGATGATCTGATTTCACAAGTGATAATTTATGTGAAGTAGATTGTAGGTTCGGTTGTTGAGTGTTTGACTGGTTCTCTAAGCTCTTGACTGGTTGTTTTGAAAGCTGTACAATCCAAAGTTGAACTGTTTTTCTAACATTTTAAAAGTCTGTATTTAGTTAAGTTAAGTGTTTGTTTAAGTGTGAAGAGTAATTTGGATTGGATGACTTAAAATTAAAAGTTCAATGCTCTCTTGATGACTTTCTCTTTATCTTTGATTGAATCGTATTGAATCTTTGAATCTCTGATTGGGTTGATACTGAATCTGATAGTAGAATTACAATTTAGAATTTAAATTGAACTTTGATCCCCCGCTTTCATTTATTATTCTTTTTTAATTCTCTTTCTTTCTTTCTATTTCTTTCTACAATCTTACCCTTCTTCCTTTACAAGTTGCTTGTCTCTTTACTTTATTCATCATCATCAACTTCAACTTTATATTTTAAGAAATCCGTTCAAAGTACTCAACTCCATTCTCTTATCTCCTCAACTCGATTCATCAATTCGAAACTGTCTTGATTCTATTCAGTCTCATGCAAGCATTCGTACTTCCAACGGTTTATCGAGATTCTGATGATCCTCACTACCCTCACTCAGCCTTCAAGTCTGGCTTACCATCTGATCAACTCATGAGTCTCTCGGCTTCTCATCCTACGAACCTCAACTCATCTCATAAAAGTCCAGCAGCCAGCCTCGCTTCTTCTTCAACTGGTCATGAGCCCACTCTCACCTCTGCTTCCAGTTTCTCATCTCATCATCAAGCTGCTCAACGCAATCCTTGGCCTTCCTCTGCACACACCTCCTCAGCACGAAATCAACCATCAGATCGTAACAATCATGTAGACGGCTCAAGGGATCATTTTCATCAGCTCAATCAAGTCGAGAATCTCAATTGCTCAAGATCTTCGTCTACCTCTAACCCATCACGCAGATCAGGATCAGAAAATGATGATGAACTGCGCATCCCTCGTCAACTGGCTCCCTCGAGTCCTACTCTTCCATCTGTTGACGTAAGCTCATTTCTAATCACTTGTCACCCCATACTTGTCTGCTAACATAACCACTCATTTCAGGAGGATCCACAAACACCTCCACCTCTCTCTCAGGACACAAACATCAATCAATCTACTCAAATCACCTCGACCTTACATCCCACAGCATATCCCGTCGATCCGACTCGTTCTACTGCTGAAAGTCATCGTTTACAATCCTCCATTTCCTCAACTTTCTCAAACGCTCCCGCCGAAATCGCACTGCCCCCAGCTGTACATCAAGTGACCAACGCACCAATACAGCGCTCTGTTTCATATGAGCTTGCGCCTCCGGTCGTAGCTGCGCGCTCCTTGCGGAAAGCACCGGCTCAACCCCCTATGGCTAAACTCTCCCCAGCTAGGCCAGATGAACCACGACCGAATGCTTCTATGAGAGACGACTTTGAAGACGAAGTTGCAAGACAAGCTGAGGTGATGAGGCAAGAGCGACTCTCGCGGCGCATCACGCATGCTCAAGACTCGATTGGTACTTCTGGTTCCAGTCGGCCAACCGAAGCAGGTCCCTCTGTGATATCAAACGTGCCGGAACCGAACTCAAAGGATAAAGGGAAAAGGCGAGCTAGTGGGGCGGCAACTGATAGTCAGCCTGGTGTTTTGATTGGTAATTTGATAAGCGAAGGTCATGCAAACTATGTATTGATGTACAACATGCTCACTGGTATTCGGATAGGTGTAAGTGTAACAAGTGACATTCTCTCCATCTATCCTGATCTTTGCTCACACCACCATTCGTATTCAGGTGTCACGCTGCCAAGCGAAACTGAAACGTCCTCTGACACCGGAAGACTACACAGCTCGCCATAAGTTTTCTTTCGACATGTATGTTCCGTTTTATTCCGAATATACGCTTGTTTCAGATCCTAACTTATGAAACGTGCATCTCAGAGTCGGTAATGAACTGACGCCCTCAGCAAAGTATGACTTCAAGTTCAAAGACTATGCTCCATGGGTCTTTCGTGAATTACGGGAATACTTTCACCTCGATCCTGCGGATTATCTTTTATCATTGACGGCTAAATACATTCTATCCGAGATTGGTTCACCTGGAAAATCCGGTTCTTTCTTTTACTTTAGCAGAGACTATCGGTTCATCATCAAGACCATTCATCATGCTGAGCATAAGTTTTTACGTGGAATTCTGCAACGATATCATGAACATGTCAAGGCGAACCCACACACATTACTTAGTCGATTCTATGGGCTTCATCGAGTCAAACTCCCTCGCGGTCGGAAAATCCATTTCGTGATCATGAATAATTTGTTTCCTCCGCATCGTGACATCCACGAAACTTATGATTTGAAGGTAAGCTTGGTTATCTTCTTCAACACTTGATGACTCTCTAATCTTCCTTGCCTCACTAGGGATCTGCTATCGGTCGTGAATACCCGGAAGACAAAGCCAAAGCCGGTGCAGTTTTGAAAGACTTGAACTGGATCCACAGATCCAAAGCAATTGACTTGGGACCCACGAAGCGCACTGTATTTGAGGACCAGCTTAAACGCGATACAAAGCTTCTACAGGCTCTTGGTATCATGGACTACAGTTTGTTGATCGGACTACACGATATGACGAGAGGCAATCGAGATCGCTTGCGGGATGATCAATTACGCGTCTTCCAAGTAAGTCATTCATGCCCACAATTAAATCTTTGGGGCACGTCATCCTCATCTCATTTTTTTTGATTGAAGCCTGTGACAACCGGTGTCAATCGTCAGCCTACTCAGATTCGCCGCGAACAAGAATTGGCTGCCTCAGCCTTACGCAAAGCTGTACAGCAATCAGATCCTCAAGCCTTCTCTGAGGTCAACAGACTACCGTTGAAGGATCATTCCGAGCGTAGACATTTCACCTTTTATCAAGATGAGGGTGGGTTCCAGGCGACGGATGGCGATAACAACTCCATGCCCATGATCTATTATCTTGGCATCATTGACATACTGTAAGCTACCTATCGTTTACGTTTTTCCTGTTTGAGCTAGAGCTCATGATGTTTTTCTCTTCCAACAGAACCCCATACTCTTCTGTCAAACGATTTGAACACTTTTGGAAGGGGCTATCACATGACAAAGTAAGCTTATCTCCAAGCAATCTACCTTTTACCTCAACATTAACGTGTTTTTACTCCAGCACATGATATCAGCCGTGCCACCTGAAGAATATGGCAACCGATTCCTCAACTTCTTGCTCTCTATCATTCGTGGTGGAGATGTTTCGATAAGACCCAGAATGGAATAGTTGACTTTCTTTCCACCCCATCAACATCTTAACTTTCACATATTATCTTATGCCTTGTGTCATTCTTCCTTTCACAATACATTCATTTATTTTTTGCGAATTGACTTTTTTCTTAGATTTCTTTGATTTTGGTGTCAGTGTTTTGGGTCTTTTTTTATGTCCTAGAGGCTAGGAGTTTTTTTTATGATGTACACCTTTCTTCCTATCGTTTTGGTTTTTTTTTCGATACTTCTTACCTTCATTTACCACTATAAATATACATATATACATATGTATATATATACTCTAACATTACTTTTCATCGATCTCTTGTTCTTCTCTTTATAAACAAACACTCATTTGAAACTCTTGTTTCTTTTAAACCTCTTGACCTTTTATTATCATTTACATTTTTATATTTTTCCTTTGAACCAAATACCCACCTCTTTTCTTTTGATCATTGTAGTATGTGGTTTCTGTATATTACACATTTACAAGGTTTGGTTTATATATTTTTTTCCTAATATTGAAGATATGAAAATTCATTTTTCTTTGATCTTGGGATTATCATTCACCTTGAATTTCAAACCATTCTTGATAGTTGATATTTGTTTTGTATATTTCTTTTTGGGTACAGAGAGTTGTTCAAGTATGTGATTTGAAAATTGAGAAGTCTGAGTCACTGTTTACACCTGAAGCAATGAACTACACCATGGAGTGGTTCTTGGTCAGGAAAGGTGTTGGTACTAAAAGTGGCCAGATACTTGCCTGAAAATTGCCTGTAAGCTAACTTAACTAAGTCCCTCTTGGACAAACCAGTAGTTGAGAGAGGGACTTATACCTTATATCAAGACTCTGATGTATGAGCTGGAAAAGTTTGGCTGGGCACTTTTCAATCCTCCATATCTCCATAGCCTGCATACAAATACCCTCTGCACCAAAGAAAAGTCTTCTGCACCTGATCATTCTACACACATCTTTTCAGATCCCTCCCTTGTTGCTAGGAAGGCCCTTGAAAACAGACTTGAAGAATTGGTTTTTGTGTAACATTTCAGTGGGTTTGGTATGAGATTTTGACAGGTTGGTCAGCTTTCTGCCTGATTTTGATGTTTTTTTGTAAAACTTCACAATTGCATTGCCATTCAAGTTTTGAATCAAATTGGAACTAGGCTACATACATGTGTGTAGATTAAGAAGGCACAAAGCTCTTTTCCTGGGTCCCAAGGATATTTGTTTGCAGGATATACAGACACTACATGCAATTTGCTGATGTGCATGTGGTGCACATTAACGTGACTTGCCTTGGCCCCGTGAGGTACATAGCTGACACAGCGGCTGACATGCCGACACTGCCAAATATCTTTACTGTGCACATACATACATGATATGATTATGTATGTACATACTTGCTGACCTTTTGATCACCCTCCCTCATGTCCCACCACCCCAGACCCTCACCATCATCCTGTCCAAATAACTCATTGCACATTAACATCACATCTGCTTGATTCACTCCTTTTGTAAGCATGGCACCAACTCAGAACATTGTCTGTGTCTGTTCTTCATGCCAAATTTTGTTGTTTATTGATCCTGCCAGAAACACTCATCCTGGTGTGGTGAGATTTCACTGCCCGCACGGTTGCCTTGGCAACAAACCTCCAAGGATTCCTTGGATGGCCCCCCAAGGAAAAAGGCACCCAAGGAATACCTCCAAGGCAAATTTTGGCCATTGCCATTGCCTTGGATCGGATCCTTGATGGGAGCTTCCCTTGGAGTTGGAATCCAAGAACTCCTTGGATTTTTGCATCCAAGCCAAATATGCTGGCTGTGTTTATATGATTGATCAAATTTAATTAAATGTTTTTTTTATTGTTTCAAATTGGCACACTATATTTTTCTCTTGGGTCATTCTTTTATGAGTCTTTCTTTAAATAATTTAATCATATAAATTTCTTTTTTTACTTAGTTACTGAAGATCTCATTTGACATTATTATTTGGGTGGACGTTTCATTTGTTTATCAAAACTCAAAAATAAGTATACAAATTATCAAAGAGAAGATAAAATTAAGATTCAAAATATCTTTTTTCCGCACTCACAGCCAGATAACAGAAATTTTAGTTTAGTTAGGTTAACATTATCAAAAGGTATTAGAAGACTGTGGAGAGAGAAAGTAACAAGGTTGTAGTTGAGAAGATCAAGAAAGAATATATTATTGAAAGAAAAGAGAGATGATTTAGAATAAAGGAAAACTGTGAGGGTAGTGACTCTTTTGAAGGAGGCTACACTCACTAAAAGGTGGTATTGGGACTAGATATGTAGTGAAGTATAATGAGTATTATTATATTTCAGATTATTACTAGTTACAAGAGAAGAGGAGGATGAGAGGAAGGTAAGAGGAAAGATGAGATGAGGATGAGATGAGTAGATGATAGTCAAACAACTAAGAGTCTGCTGGGACAAATCCTGGCAGACTACAGTTAGTTGACTCTTAAAGAAGAGATTCGATTTACTATTATGTAAGGGATGAGAACAGGATCCCAATGTTCTCCAATATCCTTCTTGGTAATTGGATAAAGAGTGATTATGAAGATCACTATCTTGGTTATCTCTTAGAGGTCACCAACCTGTTTGGTTATTATCTTGGAGGTTGCCAACCTATTGGTTATTATCTCAGAGGTCTCCAACCTAGTATAGAAACTACTTAGGGGAAGTAGAGGATCCAGAAGGGAAGTGTATAACTTACTTGGATCTAGTCAGGAATAATCAAGGTAGTATAGAATGAATCACTAGTATTATTATTTGTAATACTCTTGATTTTTATTCTATTGGAACTCTTGATGGTTTTTTGAAATAGGTATGTATAAACTTAGTTTTGGTTTATATATTCAGCTCTCTAAACCTAATATTGTAATATACACAAGTGTTACAATATTAGGTTTATAATTATTATTTTTATAATTAATTACACTTAATGTTATGTTCAGTAATCATTAAGTGTTTTATGTGATATAAGCATTTTGAACTCTTGATACTGAGTTATGAGCTGTTACTATCACGGCAAACAAGAGGTGATTTTCCAGTGGGACAACCCATTGTATTTAACACAGGCGATGAGCCAAAATGTATGATTTTGGCATTATTTCTGCGTTGCTTCTGTGTTTTGGCTCAGAAACTGCATTGAATGTAATCAGTCTTCCCACGGGAAAATCATATCTTGTTCCCCGTGTATTGTTCTTGTATGTAATCGTATATGTTACATATTAGTTCTTGAGTACGTATATATGTAATTAGTGTTTTATACATATGTCATTACATGTTACATATGTTTCTAAGATATATGTACATGTAATTGAGTTTAATAAGTAATAGTTATATTTACAAGTTAGTCTCTGGGTGCATGTGTATGTACCCAGGGCTGACAAAAACTCAGTAATAAAAAGAAGACAGAGACTGGAGATCAATCCACCTGTGTGTACTTGAATCTTACAAACCTATTGGTGTATACAAGAACCTGTATGATCCCATGGAATCCGAAATGTAGCGTGTAGATGTAGTTATAATGTGTAGAAGCATCTAATGCTGATCCGATTTTGGACAAGTCCAAAATCATCACTGCTCACTACCAACACCCCACCATCACACCACACCACCACACCACACCACACCACACCACACCACCCCACACCACACTACTTCACCAATCACCACACCACACCACCGCTCACCACCCCACACCACACTACTTCACAAATCATCACACCACACCACCGCTCACCATCGTTCACCACCGCTCACCACCGCTCACCACCGTTCACCACCGCTCACCATCGTTCACCACCGTTCACCACCGCTCACCATCGTTCACCACCGCTAACCACCTTTCACCACCGCTAACCACCGCCACCACCGCTCACCACTGCTAGTTGATGTTAAACCTAACACCACACCTCACTACTACAACTCCGAGCTCAATCAGCAGTACTGACTGTCAAATCTCACCTACCCTTTGAACTCCACATCTATTCCCACCTACCCTTCAACCTCTTAATCTTACTTAAAATCATTAAACAAGATGTCCACCAATGATGAAAATATACCAGCACCACCAGAAATCTCTATTCAAGGAACTCGCAACCCCATGGATCCCAAAACACGAGAAAAAATGGATCAATATGTGAAATCATTTGCCGCTGAACATGGGTACTTGATATCGGTTGGGAAGTCCTACGTTTTAAAGGGGAGATGTACATATCACTGTCATTGAGGCGGCCTTTGCAAGACTTTGAAGGACTCTTCCAAGGCAAGCAAGTCATTGAAGATCAACTGCCCATTTGCAATGAAGGCCAAGCTGGACACCAAACATCGATATTGGACGCTCTCCCACATCAACACCAGCCACAACCACCCTCCCAACTTTGACCTCGAATATATACCCCCTGATGACAAAAGTTCGAACTCAACCGGTGACAAAATAGACACCTTTCTGTACTTTCTATCACAACGTCTCCAACTGCTTGACTCCACTACTCAAAACACTGTTCTTGATGAAATTAAGCGAATTGTTGAAAAACAAGATGAAATAAGTCAATCTCTTATTCAACCATTGGTAAGTTTTCCACATCTTTCTTTCTCAAGAGCAGAGCCCTGAAATAACTCCCCATCACCTGAACGCCAGACATCCAAAGTGGTTGTAGAGTTCCAAGGTACAAAATCGACCCATCAGGCCAACTCAACCCTGCTTGATATTGAGGATGAAGAATCTGATCATCCGCAATCACCAAAAGTAAGCACTCTATCTATTTTACGTTTAACACATCATTATCATCATGATCCTTACCTGGAAACTGTATTTGTCTCGTCTAGTTGCAGAGTCTTCCGCACGCAAGCTCAAATGCAGAACCACCCAATCCGATGCTTCCAGTTCATCTTGAGGAGGAAAACCACCCAGCCGATTCAGACAATACACCACCTGATCTTTTTGATAATTCACCGACTGGTCTTCTTAACAGTACAACGAGTGACATGGACATTACACCAAACGGAGTTGCTAACAATCCTGCAACAACTAATACACCAAATGACTTAAACAATACACCAAGTGCTGTTCTAACCGATAAACTGGCTGATCTTTGTCATGATGACAAACCCAAAGACGGAACTCCACAACTCCCATCTGGATCCTCAGCAAAGGACATACAACCACCCAAAACCCATACCGACCTTACAAAAGGCACCCAAAACACAACTAAGAAGACTTGTAGCCTAATCCCCGTCAGCACCTTGGAACAGCGTCCTCACACACGCAAACGAGTACGTGAGCAGGTACAAGACTGCCCCAAGGCTGTAACCCGTACAAGGAAATTAAAGCAATGAATGTACTACACTAACGCTCAAGCTTGGTCATCCGGATCTTTTCTTTAAATTTACCAACTTATTCTATTCTTTTACAAAGTTCAAAAGTTCAATGAATGTAATATTTTTATCCAAGTCGATGTTGTTTTTAAACCGACTTAAACTCTCAAAGATTGTCAAGAAATGTTCTCATATCAACAATAGTTTTGTGTAAATAGTACACGCTAACTTTGATTCAGTGTAAATAGTGCAAGATCCAACACTTATTACTAGAGTTATTACATGAAGAGCAATATCAGTTGATTTCTTACAATTGAGAAGAGACCTGCTTGTGCTTCAGCCAAGAGCTTTTCAGTCAAGTTTTGATGTCTTTATAACACCATTTCAAAGTGTGAAGTTAATAGTCAAATTACAATCCAAGTTTGAGTCGGCAGTACTAATTTAAAACACATCCGCAACATCTGCAACATCTTCAAGAACATCTTCATCTTCCTCCGCGGCCTCTGCAATCAAACTTGGTAAATTTACTATTGCTGCCCACTCCATTGCGCTCTTCAAACACATCTCCTCCCATTGAGTTAGAAGGGCCACATCCACAATATGACTGTCCGCAAAGTACATTGATGTGCTTTCAAGCATGCTCCTTAAACCATTGCTCCATGTCATCCATAACCGACCCAATGATAGCACTAGACCCAAGTACAAGAGCCTTGACTCGGCTTGCACATCGCCTGAATTGTGTAGACAGAATAGTCAGCCTTACAATGTCAAATTACGTGAAAACATACCGACTTGGAACCTCACCTTGGTCCTCCTCCCACTTTGTCTTGATCATGTCAATGCGATCTTGATACATAATTGACCACTTCATCAGCTGTCGAATTTCTTGTCCAATTCGCCAAAGCTCTTCTTCTGCTCCTCTTTTGAGTAGAAAAGCCCTGATTCCGTTCCTGGTGGCTCGGTCCGTTGCCCACGCTTCGTTAGGATATGTTAAGCCTCCAATATCCCAAAAGGGGTCAGTTATGTCCATTGACTCCACTTTTTCAAACGTAGGATCTGGAATCGGGTTGGCTGGATTGTGTTTCCGGTTGTAGTTTGATGCATGTCAATGGTAAGTTTGATACTTCTTCCTTAAGAGTAATTTCTTTTTGTTTCGGCGTTTGTTTAACCACGCCTGGCACGTAGTTCCTACAACAATCTCTGTTCAGTTCCATGTGTTTCTCTTGCTTCTTGCATTGGTCATAACAATATACATACCTGTATTTAAAGCTGCTCGTCTCTGGTTTTCAATAACCCCCACCTTGGCCTTGTAAAGCTTTGACTTTGACAAGCGCACCGTCAGTAAGAGCTTGGACTGGGAATCTGACAATCAAAACAATCAAATGTCAGATTTCCGGTTTTGTATGGTCAGATTAGCGTAGGAAGTACCTGATGTCCCTGTGAGGTGTAAGAACTCATCAGATCCTAGTTCTTCCGCCAAGTCCTGCACTTTCTGCTTGAGTGCAATCAATGTTTGGGGGAGATCAAGCAGCTCTGCCCGCTCAGCGCCTGTCCGCATTCGGGGTCGCTTTGCAGATATGGCTTCCACTCTGCAACTGCATTACATCTGATTTTCTCAGCTCAGTGCAACCAAGGAGAGAAGATCATAACACCTACTAAGCCTCTAGCATGTCCTCTTCAAGCTCAATCAATACTAGGATTTGCTCCTGTTTATCTTCAGCGGTCTCACTGATAATTCGCGCCTGCATTTCTTTTTGTCTAGCCCACTGGTTTTTCATGTATTCCAAGTTGAGAGCTGGGCTTTGTGTCTCAATATTAGCCAAGTCTTTCTGTGCCTCTTCAAGCCTTTCCAGCACAACTTTGAATCGACTTGTCATAGAACCAACTGTAAGGATACATACATCATGTGTCAATTTATTGTTGACAGTAACAGTTAACACAAGAACTCAAAAGCATACCTGCATTTGCTCGCAACATCTTGTTGTGATGTAACAATCGTATATTGATATTGATCAACCTACGTTGGCTGGTGGCATACCTGTTCGGACGCACTAGAGGTGACAGGAACGACCATATCCTTTCCATCCCCTCGCCATCTGATAAGCCCCATCCTTCGTTCAATCGTGGGTTGTAGTCCAATTGGCATCCCCATTCATGCACATATGCATGAAAGACGCTGGTCCCAAACTTGAGACGGTTCAGTTCGCGTTCAATCGCAAACAAGTCGCGCTAGTATCAGATATATTACATTAGCTAGGTGCAAATAACCAATTAGTTTTTTCCGGAACTGACTTTGATTATAACTTTTTCTAGGTTGCAGCCTATGTCATATAGGATGCCCAGCTTCTCAATCTTACCCTCACAATCTGCATTGGATACTACCTTCAAAATCCATTCAATCAAGGCAAGAGCAAAATATGACCTAATGAAGATGTTTGACTTAGTTACATCTATGATTTACCTTATCCATTCTTAACCCACTGACTTTTCTCCACTTTGTATGATATTGATAAACCGTAGACAATGATCATGTCTACATGCCATGCCCAATAAACCGGTATCATCGCTTCCGCCCCAGTGAGACTTACCTCGAACATCATTGGCTGCTGTGTGTTGCTCACTACAAGGATGCTATAACCAATAGAGTCAGTCAAAATCTACATATAACCTTATTGCCAAAGGACTACCATGTCAATGTCGTCTTCATCAGCCGGATCATCCACACTCGCACCCATTTTCAAAGCCATCGGTTCCCACTCAATCTTCGGCAGGAAAAGTTCAGGAGTTGGTGGGGAATAACCTGGAATGGGTGCACTTGCCGCCTTGTGCCTTCGATGCTGAAAGTTGCCATCGAGGCACACAATGATATCAGGCTCGCAAGCCTCGGTAGTGGACACACGGGGACCAAAACACCGCGGGCAGTTTTCCGCAAGCCGTTCTATTTCAGAAAGCTGAAGGATATCCAATTCTTTATACCGTACCATAGTGACAAGTGTTCGATAGGCGTCATAAGCTGCACTGAAAGGAGCTCGCCAGTCGCAAGGCTCTGAGTGTTGGAGTCAGTGTTGTGTCATTAAATCTCATTTAAATGAGTGATAGGCCGCATCTCACCTGTTGACTCTTGGCGGTTAGTATTAGAGGATTATGAGCATCAAGATACTCGTCCAAAGCACGAACAAAGGCCTGCGTACGGACTGCACCGTGTTTCCATATGCAATGGAATAGACGCAGCAAGCGTATTGGAAAAGCTGTTCTTGGATGAATTGGCGAGCCTCCGATGTATCCCATCTCAACCAATCGGACTGGATCAGAATTGCATTCACAAAATTCGATTTTTACCTTTTTGCGGGCTGGAGATAAGAGTGGACCTTGAATATTGATCAAAACAAGGTATAATATAATCAGAGACTTACTCAAGATGTCCACCAGGTCGACCCAAACATATCTCTTGCGACTTTGATAACATATACATTCTCTTTTATGGTCGGAGTCCCACTTCAAGATATCACCCCATTCTGAGGTTAGTTGACGACCACACAAGAAGAACGGTAGCATTTTTTCACATTGGTTAAGCCATTGTTTTTGCTTTTCTAAACGTTTTGCATGATATTGAGCCCTAGCAATGCGCTCCAGAAGTTCAACCTTGTCTTTGTCCATTGCGTTGAAATGAGGTTCTGGTGGATGATCATCAAATTCGTCTTCCTCGTCCATAGGAATATTGACCCATTCTGGTCGATATTCAACAGGTAGCCTCGGGTTGCCAGCGTTCCCTTGAAAAAAGGCTTGAGAGGCTTGGCCAGCTTGAGCACGATTTTTGGCCTGCTGGGCGATAAATGCTTCCTGCAGAGGGGTTGCTGGCTTGTGTTTCCGGCGAAGTCTGTTCAAACGGCAAGCATATGGGTTGGGAGACATCTGAAACAAAAGAGAGTGTTACATATTAGCATAAGACATTGTATTTAGAGTACAAAGAAGGAAAACCACACATGTCACCCATGTGTGTCACATATAGGACCTACAATACCCTTTGGTATCTTGTGACATTTGCAACACAAGCTTTGTCCTATCAACTGGAATAAGGACGTTGGATATTTCACACCTTCTGGATATGGTGTCGCTATAGGTTTGTTTTGCTCTTTGAGCAATTATAATCCAAATATTAATTATAATATATTCGAGACAACTAACTGTTGAGTGAAGGTTTGTTTTGATCAGCGCCATTGAGTAATGCAATGCAGTTTTCAAACTGGATTATATCTGATTTGAGAAAACTAACTGTTAAGTGATAGGACTGATTCTTAGGCATCCAGATCAAGTCTAATGTTAGGCGTAAAGATTTGTTCAAATCTTTAGGTGAGGTGATTGTTTCGAAAAAACAGTTTATTATCAATGGTGATTGTTTCAAAAAACCAGTTTATGATCAACCATCGGTCCTGTTGGCCAAAAATCTTAATAATCTTAAGTAATGAGTAACAGAAGTCAGACAAAATGTTTGGTTTGTTAATTTAACTGTGATTATGATTAAACTTATTGATGAACTAACGTACGCACATCCACAATTGAGCAAAAGCCTGGTGTAACATCTTTTGACTGATATCTAAACCGGGTAATTTATCTTGTAGAGTAACTATTAGAATGTAACATCTTCCAACTTATATCAAATTTGGGTAAATTATATTATAGAGTAACTATTAGAAAATGATGATATTGCATCAGTATCTTCCTTAATTTCGATCATTTGATGATTTTGATGTACATTTGAAGAACATGAAGTTGGTAGAGAGTAACTGTTGCAGTTATGATGATGCTTTTGTGTCCTTGTAGTACGTATTTCTGTTGATAATTGACTATTGAATAGTTAGAAGACCTACAATCCATTCAAAAATTCATTGACCTTAGTGCTTGTTTACTTGATGAACGGTTTTATTGTGTCATAAATGTGACAGTGAAAAGTAAATATCTAGATTATAGCACTAATAATTTTATAGATAGTGACCTACAATCCACTCAAATAAACATTGAACTGTGTCCTTGTTCCAAGATGATACCAAAAGGAAGTTGCCTACTAAGCCTACAACACGTTAACTGGAAGGATAAAGATAAGAGCAATGTTTGGTTTCAATCACAAAAAAAGGGTGTGAATATTGAAAGGTCAGTCTATATGATCAATACATCTGTTGATGTGAAAATAACCACACCTACCTAACTTTAAACATAATCTTTTTGGTGAACAATATTGATACGAGGTGGCATCGAAATGTGAGTTACTTGCACTCAATAACAATGGATGTCCGGAAGTTGTTGCAAATCAGCAACTTCAGAAGACATATGACAAGATTATTCAAGAAATGAATAGAGTAATGAAAGTGCTTACTTTGATTAAGTCGAAATAACGACACTAATCTCATTAAGCACCAGCGATTTTTCCTGAGAGAAAGTTATCCACACTCGATAATATTGAATTTGTTCAGCAGGTCGGAATTGAGGTTGGTAGTACTAGGGTACGCTTATGATGTTCAATATTGGACATATGATCCATATGAAAAAGATTTCGAACATATCAAATATAATAGCAAGATGGTGATGACTTGCACTCAAAGTTGAAGAACAGCCCACCCTACATAAACAAGTTGTCCTGGTGAAAGATGGTGATGTTGAAAGTTTGAAGCAGATAAGTTATTCGTAAAGTGCAGGTTATGGTACTGGTGATTAGATCCTTGAATAAGATTCTAATAATAGGAATCAGGACCACAAACCAATAAGATTTGTTTGTGCTTTACAAAAATGTGCGTTTATCTAAATGTGTATTGTCTTTGTTCATGGGCACAAAAGTATAAATATCCAACATCCATTCAGTCATCAGAGGCGGAGATCAAGGAATTTATGCGGTGAAGCAAGCAGCCACCGCATAAATGATAGGATAAACATCCTGGTACCAATTGAAACTGGACAGACGGGACCAGCAAAGGCATATACAAATGCGTTTAATTAAACACAGTAGACTTTGCGACTATGTCCTCACTTACATATGGGGAGGATTTGTCACAATAATGATGAGTAAAGAAATTACTCTCACTTCATAAGTAACACAAAAATGAAACCAAAAGCAATAGAGTAATCACTCAAATCATACAAATTCAACAATAAAAAAGATTGATTTGATTATCTTTAAATAGTCAATTAATGAATAAGAAACACAAATATAAAATGCAAAAATCAACGCAAAAATACTTGATAGATCAAATGGCTAAAACACTTTGATTGGATTATCTTTAATTTTTTCCTTTGTTAACCATACTGGAAGATAAGCAACAGCTAAATCAAAGCCAAAAAAATTGAGTAATCACTCAAATCATAAAACCATAATTCAAAGAAAATATTTAAAGATATGATTATCTTTAGACATATCCTTACTTAATAAGAAACACAAAAATCAAACTCAAAAAGATTTGATAGAACAGGTTTTCAATGATAAAGCAAATTATTTGGATTAAGTTTAATTGTTTCCTTCCTTAACAATACTGGAGCTTAAGAAACACAAAACAATAATCAAACCGGAAAATATTTGATAGTATAGTATTACATAGATGAGTCTCATGATGATTCACTCAAATCATACAAGAATCCAATGATAATTGTATGATTTGATTATCTTTAAATATTTCCTTATTTCATTCTACTTGGCAAATGAATACTTATTGTAAAAGGCTTCTAGTTACCTGTGATGTATAATTAATATAATTGTTGCTTATTTAAACATCGCATAAGATATGCAAAGTTCATTTTAAATAAATCTTTCCAGGAATCATAAGACATTTGTATTTGCTGTAAACTCCACATGACTATTTCAAAAGCAGGAATACAGACTATTTCACAACATCATAAGCATCACAACATACATACTATTACTAAATCACACAAATGTTGTCAAAATATATTATAGTGTATTTGAAATCACAACATATACAATTACAAGATCACAAAAATATCGCCTCATGGAGTATCATCACTCACTGGTGATGTGAATGAATCTTTCGCCATTTATTCTCTTCTTTCCGCAAAATCTTACAACATACATCAATTGAAAAATCTGCCGGCGGAAACGGTAGCCACATTTTGGGGTTGCTGAAAGATGCCTTACTATTACCAAGACGGGCAGCTGATACCCTAGCTGCCCCTGAATACACATCAGCATGTGAGTAAAGTGCAAGAGATATCACTGTGAAAATTAATCAACTTCCACAAGCGGAAAATGCATCCCCCCAGGGAAAACAATCAATAAAAATCCCCAGGTTGGAAAATGAATGGAAAACAATCCATGATGTCCCAAAATTGAAGATCATACTGAGCCACTGAGCGCTTCTAAAAATTAAGTCAGGGCCAGAGTTTCAATGCGGGGTTCATCTGCCACCATGTATGCACCCTCAACAAGCACTTGACACCATATACGTAATCTAAGCAACAATTTAAACTACATTTGTAGATTCAATAGCACTATATATACAGGCTAGATGGATATATATGACTACATGTGTAGCCTGAACAAACATGTGGCAAAATATATCTGATTCAGGAAACTATCACAGATTACATATGTATGTAGCCTCTACACACACTTGAAACTACATATGTAATTCAGCAAACACACCCAATATTACATGCATAGTGAAAAAAATATTTGATTACACAGAGATAAGATCAGCAAGCCCCCAATATTACATGTGTAGTGTAAGAAAAAACTTTACAGTACATATGTAACATCTACAAACACATGATATTAAATGTGTACAATTTAAACTACATTTGTAGATTCAATAGCACTATATATGCAGGCTAGATGGATATATATGACTACATGTGTAGCCTGAACAAACATGTGGCAAAATATATCTGATTCAGGAAACTATCACAGATTACATATGTATGTAGCCTCTACACACACTTGAAACTACATATGTAATTCAGCAAACACACAATATTACATGCATAGTGAAAAAAAATTGATTACACAGAGATAAAATCAGCAAGCCCCCAATATTACATGTGTAGTGACAGAAAAAACTTTACAGTACATATGTAACATCTACAAACACATGATATTCAATGTGTAGTGACAGAGAAAAATTCCACCAGGAATGTTTATTGTCAAAAGACAAATGATTTTCTATATGGTGTTACTTTCCCCTGGGTGGGTGGGGTACCTGGGATAAGTTCCAGTGACAAGGCAGAGGTCACCGTGAGCCTAGTCACGCAGTATCAGGGGTGTAGCACATTGATGATGTCATGTTTAGAAGGAATCCCTGGCGGTTTGTCTCCAATTTTTTCACGCATCCTGGACTCTTTCTGCCTGAACCCATGATATTTCAGATTGTTGGGCCAATTTGTGCTTACTATCACATACATTTGAGGGCTGAGATATGCGTGCCAAACTCACTAGCATCCAGGTGATTCAGTGGTCTCACATACTATATGTCTACTATCTAGGTGTTTGTATTCAATGTGTTATGCCTGCCAGCCTTTTTCTGGCTGAAACCGTGCTCTCCCAGATTGTTGGTCCCATTTGCTCTTAACTATCACATACATATGAGAGCTGGGATATGCATCTTTTATTGAGTCATTTTTCACTCAGTGCCTGTACCACAATACATTTACAGATAAGAACCCCTGACAACTGCAAAATCCACACCTCTCATCAGTTGTTCTGTCCCAAAACCTTAAGGCTAAGGATAGTTTCTAGCTTGCAAATTGGATTCATGTGCACTTCAACATACCATCCCATGAGATAGCCCTTGTAGCCTTTTTTATGCAGGGGTGTTTCACATAATTTCCCTCAGAATTATAAATTCATATTTGAATACCTGAAGTTGCTATGATCTGACTTATCCACACAAAGTTGAAATATCAAATCAAAGCCCCATTTCATATTTATGCGGGGTGATGTTTCATCTTGTTGGACTGTGAAAAATAATACCACAAACCATACTGACAAAGAATCAATCAGTCCAAATGCCCTTGACTGCAGAATGGGCTTTGTCATGTGACATAATGTACCCAGTGTGGAAAGCCGAATAACTCACTGGTCCCAGGTCCTTGGTTTCAAAAATCTTGAATAAGAGATCCTTAGCAATGTGTTCACGGTAAGAGATTTCAATTTTTTGTGGTGTTGCTATGCCTGTGGTTTGATCAAGAGTAATTAGGGTTGCCATGGATTTTTTTATCTCATAGTTGGCCAGAGTGCCTTCCTTCAATTAAGTACACATTAATTGAACTGTTGAATTGAACACTAATATCAGGAATTTAAATCCAAATATATGTATTTAGAAGTTTATCTGTAGTGAAGGCCTACAATTGGCACAAAATTAATGGCATAAAAATTTAGAAATAACATACAAACAAAAAATCAAAAAAGAAGAAAAATTACTAGAGACACTATGAACTAAATAGAAGATTGAATCTGTCCCCATATATAAAGGTTCAAACAGATATGAGCAACATACAAAAAGAGAAATGAATAAACTAGGGTCTCTTGGTGGTTGATTTGGCCATGCTTTTTACCTGGCTGTGGAGCCATTCCCACCTGACATTGTCATCCAATTCTTCCACAAATTCTGCACCAAGATTCTGGGTACGAAGATACTTAGCTGCCTTCTTTTTCTCCTCCGGTGAATGTAGGTAAGGACCTGAGTAAGTCGAGATGAGATACAAAGCTTCCCGAAGCTGTCGAAATTCAGAACGCCTCTTGTTCTGTATTGATGCCTTGACCTTGCGTTGTGCTTGATCCAGCTGGGACTTCCTGCGGTGGGTCATTAATCTGCCTTGAGGATCCAATCCCAGACGTTTTTGACTTCTTGAAGAAGGTGGCGTAGTTTTAGGAGTATGTATGAGCCTGATCGGGTTGGTTTTAGGAGTAGACATGGGGCTGCTGAATGAGTTACAGAGCCAACAGACTATAAAAGTCATAGTACATTTTGTAAGCTCGTGTAACATTGCGATCAACCAATATACTAACCTTCATTTGCTAACTCGTCTTGAATCTTGTCAGGGCACACGAAAGAGTAGATTGAGTTGGGGCTGGACATCTTGTCTGAGTGAATCTTGGTATTGAAACGTGTAAAGATAAAGCTTGAACGTGTAAATATATATGGTTTCTACAATAATAAAAACCACCAGTGGTATACAAATCAGACGTTGAATTGTGAAATTGGATGAGGAAGATATTTATTGATGAGATGAGAACAATTGGTTGATTAGGAGGTCATTACAAATCTCTAATTATCTATATATACATATATCCTGAGTCGTTGAACTTGGAGGGTTTCAGTCCACAGTTCTTTGTTCGATTTTTTATGAGTCTTCTAGCTCATCTGAATATCTAAACCAGAAGAACGATTGAACAGCTGAGCATACTTAGACTACTGAGTACGCAGATAGCGCAAATCAAAGGGGGAAAATCTCAAAAGTGATAGGCAGATCGGGACAGCTCAGTCTTACTCAGTAAACCATGATCTATAACCATCTCCATGCACAATTGATGATAAGTTTTGAAGACGCTGTAGAACTCTTTCAGTACACAGCTGAAAGCAGAGCCAAGAAGGGGAGGAATGAAGACACAAATCAACAAACACACACAATCAAAAGAGAAATAAGTCTTGAGATGGTGAATTGAAAGACTTCAATCAAAGAAAGAAATGCCCTTCTTAAACAGGGACTTTGATTATCAATGAATTAAATTTAAGACCTTCAAGTCTTTGGATTAATAAGAACCAGGCTGAAATAGGACAATAACTTCAAAAATAGCACAATCTAGGCGCACTCAGGCACCTTCCAAATGAGCAAATGAGCTTACAACTCAACAAGAAATTAATTAAAAGATGAATAAGGGTCTTATTATTATAAAATTCCAACTCTCATTAGTTGTTTACCTGAATGATAATAATAAAAGATAAAAGCTTATTCTAAAAATCTAGTAATTATTTTTGCTAACTAAAAGGCTCCCAAAGGGGAAGAAAAGAGACCCTTGACTATATCAAAATTGAAACACACACAAAAAAAGAAAGTAAGACAAAAACAACCCTCAAACTCGAAATCCACCTTCAAACAACTTTTTCACACACAATTCATTGAACAACCCCCAAATTAAAATTGATAAACATCTTCAACTCACCCACATGTATCATTCACAAATTTTCAAGCACACATTTATCATCAAAACTGAGCTGTTTACCACAAAAACTGAAAAATCCGCCAATTTACCCTTAAAACCTGAAAAAAGATAAGAAATAGGGACTGTATCAAAAATCTGAATAGACAGAAAAAAAGGTCTGCTTCCGCTCTACAACTTTGCTCAGCCAAGCTAAACTCTAACTCTATTGGTTGTACCCTTAAAATGAAATTCGATTTTATGTGAAAATACTCGAAATTGAATTTACCCAGTTTACCACCTGATATTACCACTGATAATGCTGTATATGGTTTATAATTGATTTTTCATGCTCAGATGCGCCCATATGATGCCTTCCACATGATTTACCCTCTAAAAAACTGATGTAGTACATTTGAAATAAAGTCTCATGATTGAAAATGGAGCCTTTTATGGAATTTTGAAAGCCATTTTCGAGTTTCAAAATCATCCTTTTCATTTGTGATTTTGTATTTGCCAATATTGGTGTTTGATAATCTGATGAATTTATAATTTCACACCGATCCCTACTTGCTTTTTCAGTTTACCACCCCAGTTTACCACCACCCCAGTTTACCACCATCTGTCTGAGTTGCTGGATTTTCGAAATTCAGCCTTATTTAAACCCATACCTCAAAACCATGATTCCTCTACACATAACTTGTTAAAACCATACACATCTGTAACCATGACTTTTTAAACCCATAAAATTCGAAATTTCAAGTTTAAGCCTGTACACCCTATGTAACCCATACAACATTCAACTACACATAACCTCTAAACCCATAAATTCGAAATTTGACTTCATTTTACACTACACCTCATCCATCAAACTACATAACCCATAAAAAGAAAAATAGAGAAATAAAAATATAACACTTCACATAATAAAACTTGACATATATGATCAAACTAAATAAGATAAAAAATAAAAAATGAAAATTGAAAATTGAAATTAAGTAAAGAGAGAAAGAAAATGAAAAAAAAAGAAATGAACTAAATAAAGAACTAATTTAAAAACACATTATTGATGTAATGTTCTAAAAAATGTAGTTTCTCGTATTTTAAAATGAAAGTTAATAAAATAATGGGGTTACCCCAATTCTGATTTCCACAGCCTCCCCCAAAACCCAGCGATGTCCCCATCGCAGGAGACTTGTCTTTCAGGAAACACTTCGATGCCATACTTGTAAGTTGCAGTTGAAATTTCTTCTTAATATTCATGTCTTGTTTTTTATTTTCAACTTTGATCTAAAGGCCTAACAATTTATTTTCACGCGATCGATCTATTTAAATTCTAGTTGCTTAGCGATGTTATATTTATATATCCAGATGGACGATACCAAGTCAAGACTCCAGGAATTCCAGTCAGCCTTCTTTTCCAACAATACCGATCGAATCAAAAACTTTCCACACTACTACATTGTTGAAAACCGTAAATACTTCTAATTTTTTTTTTTTTTTTTTTTTTAGTGTTTGACTCTTTACTTCTATTTATTTTTGTTTCCTACTTGGTAATTGTCTTTGAACGTTTGATCGATTCAAAACATTCAATTTCTTTTGATTTCAATCGTTCTTTTCATATACTGACAACTTGTTTTTTTTTTTTTTTTTTTTATGTGTTCTTCTTTTATTTGAATGACTCAATCTATCTAGATATAATGGACATGAGCGGAGTTCCCATCGCACCTCGCAAACAACGCAAAGCCGAACTTAAGCAAATGGCCGCTAAACGACACGCCAAGAAACAAAACAAAACGTTCGATCGACCACCTAATCCCAACGTTTCTTCTCCCAATCACTCAAGTTTCAAACGCATCCCTTCTACTCCTAAGAAAACTCATCGTGATCAAGATTCAGAAGAAGACAATTTGATGACTCCTCCTCACGCTCGATCCCCAAACACTATCACCACTGTACCTGTTGTTATTGTACCTTCAGTCACTCCAGCTCCAGCTCGAGCTCAAACTCCTCAATTAGTCAACTTAGGCCCATATTGATCTCCACCATCAGCTACTTCTCCCAGTCCTAAACGCAACAGACTCAACAACTCGCTTCCAGATCCTTCCCAGCTTGTTATCGACCCGAACCGATCAAAACACTTCGCTAATGACCCCGTTTTAGATGTTTCACCGCCTACTAATTCCAACAGAAAAGCTTCAAGAACCCATAAGAACTCGTCTAAGTCTTTAATTACTCCAGTTGAAGAAGAAGTTGGTCCTACTTTCATATTCAAGACTCCCTTATCAGTTGATGAATATAAAAATTTACTTGGTCCTAAGGTAATCCTCAACAGGGAAGCTGTATATCCTTCTGATGAAGTCGAATTGTGTATTTCTTCAATGTATTCAGAAGTCTTCAAGCACTTCAAAGGTCGCATAGCTGTGAATGAAGAAGAATTTGATGATCGAGCTAAGGTTCTTAGGAAATTACACTTCATAGGTAGAAAAGGATTGGAAAAGCGAAGTTCTCCATGTATAATTCCTGGTCTAGAACTGTAAGAGTTCCTTCTTTACTTTGAATTGTTCTATTTTTCGATTTTTCAACCTTCTCCATCAGATTAATGTTAATCTCTGATACTAATACCTATTCTATTATGTTGTTATTTGTAGGAACGACTCTGAGGATTCTTCTACTGGATCTTCTTCAAAAGGAAAAGGTCGTGCTTAACCAACAACACCACCCCCTCTTTTCCTTATTTTAAGTTTTCAAAATTTCTAGTTCAACCTAGAACTCTTAACTCACAACTGAGAATTACTTAGACTTAGAACTATCTTAGATCCTACTTAATTCCTTAATAGTTGACTTTTAATGTTGATTTCTTCTTATTTTATACATGTACTTGATTTTAATCTTGAAATACAAAGATAAGCTATGTTGAATGTGCCTTAGTTTAACTTGCCCACTCCCCCAAAACCAATGGGTTTTGCCTGCACCTGCCCTAATGAATTCATGTGATGGATTATGAGAATTTGATGAGTTGAGTCAAATGAGAAATGAGTGTAACATAATGAACCGTGACTAAGCCTGTATAGTAATAAAAAAAATCTTTTGCGCCAAGTGCAAACTTTGAATGTATGAACTTGAATTCACTAACTTATAAGTTATTTTTGTTTTCTTCAAACTTGATCTGAAGCAAAGTGTTTGTTATAGTTGTAAGATTATTCTTGTAATTATAGCATGATTATAAAAAATTTACCCCTTACGTAAAGATGAGTAAGGGTCCTTTTTCCACGTCTTCCAAACTTCCCACCACGCCTCTCACATCTTTCAGTGAGGACCTTTCCCAAAACCAAAATGAAACATAAGAAAAATAAGATAAAAAGAAACATAACCAATAAATTCTGCACTCAAAACCTGTAACCTTGTGTGAATAATTCTGCCCAAAAAAATGAATAAGATGTACCCGCTGCCGTTGAATGTAATGTATCTGATGTATTGCGCCCTGATGTAATTGATTAATTTGTAAAATGATTCTGCCTTAAATATAAATGAAAGAAAAGATGAAAAACAAGAGAAAATGAAACTAAGAAAATAAGAAAGAGGTGAAGAACCCACCACAGCTTATGTTTTGTTGTTCCCTCTTCACCATTGATTTCATACCCCTAAAATTAATTGATTTATAATTTTAATTTTGATTGTAAACTCCGCGCCCAAAAATAAAAAAAATTGAAATATAAGAAAAAATTGAAACATAACCAAAGAAACATAACCAAAGACTCTATGTTAATGAAATATAACCGTAACTTGAAAGTGTGAGAATTAATTGAAACCCGCCTCTATGATGTTTAAATGTGTAATGAACCCATGACCACCTTGAATGATAATTAAAGTAAGTGAAATAGTAAAAATGAAATAATAAAATGAAATGATAGAATAAAATAAAATAAAGAAACATAACCATTGATTTTAATTAAAACCTTCACGCCAAATTTGATTGATTTGTACATGCCGCTAATAAAATTTTGTATTGTAAATTTTGTATGACCATTTTTGACTTGTATGACTTTTGTTAAAATAATTTTAACTTCAATAATTCTTTTGAAGTAATTTTAGCACCTGTAATTTTTAAAGAACCATAAATGAAATAGAATAAAAAAAAAAAAAAAAAAAAAAAAAATAAAGAAACCTCTGCCACCTAAATTTATAAGACCCCAAAATAACCAAAGAAAAAATTAAGACTATAAAAAAAAACTGATGAAATAAATTGATAAGTGAAGAACCCGCCACTACTGTGTGTTTTTATTCCCTCTTCACTAATATGATTTAAATACCCTCTTGACTGAATAATTGTTTGAATGAAATAAGAAAAATAAAATGAAATGAAAGAAACATAACCATAATCTAAGAAAATTGAAAATTAACCCGCAACTAAATTTTAAAGTAAAGAAATCCTCCTCTATATTGTTTGATAAAGTAACCCGTAACCATGATTTAATAAAGAAAACATAACCTAAAAAAGAAAAGAAAAATATAAAGAAACACAACTCAAAAGAAACATAACCATAAAATTTTGAAAATAATTTTCAAAAAAAAAAAAAAAGGAACCGCAATCTATAGTGTATTTTTATTTAATTTTTGTAATCTTAATTTAAACATCAAACTCCTCATCACTTCCTTCCCATCTTGAATCTTCATCCATAAAATCTTCACCACTTTGTTGTTCATTTAAATCTTCTTCATCTGTACTTTCTTCTACTTCATTTGTGCCTCTTGCATAAAATTTCTTGACATGAGAAGCCGCATACCTTCGCCGTAATTCAGTACCATCTAATTCTTCTAAAATAAAAGATCCCATATGTAATTGTTCTTTGACTTTATAAGGTCCATTCCATCTGTTTTCAAATAATTTACCCCATTGACTTTCTAAAGATGCATTATAAACTAAAACCATATCAGCAACTTCCAAAAGACTTTTCCTTAATTTGTGCACATTTTTCTTATCCCAATACCTAACACTTTCTTCTCTAACTCTCATCATTTTACTATAAGCATTATCCATCATTTCTTCTCTTCTTAATAACTGTTTAGTTCTTGCTTCTAATAATTCAGCTCTTGTATGTACTTCTTCCCAATTAACTCCTAAGAAAGTTCCAGCCTCAACATCAACAGGTAAGACCGCTCTTTGACCAAAAACCATCTCATAAGGTGAAATTCCTGTAGTTCTTTTTGTTGAAATTCTATCTGCAAATAAAACCATTGGTAAAGTTTTCCGCCAAGCACTTGGATTTGTACTACACATTTTGACTAAAGTATCCTTGATTGGCTTGTGTCCTCTCTCAACCATTCCAGCTGCCTGTGGATAATAAGGTGTAACAATTCTAAGTTTTGCTCCACAACTTTCAACCGCCTTGACTAATTCATCTTTAAATTCACCACCTCCATCAACTGTAACCATTTTAATTGCACCATACCTAAATATCCATTCTTTTTCTAAAAATTCAGCAACCTTATCCGCCTTTAAATTTACCAAAGGTACCGCTTCAACCCATCCTGATAAATCATCTCTAGCAACCACTAAATATTTATGTTGTCCAACTTTAATATGAACAGCATCCATACTAATTCTACCAAATAAAGTAGCTTCACCTGTAGCATGACCTAATTCTTTAGGTGTTAAAGAACTCCGCTTTTGACAAGCTTCACAACTTTGAACCCATTCCCGCACAGACTTCTTCAAACTTGGCCACCAAAACCTAAGTACTATTCTTCTGTAAGTTTCTTCAACTCCTCTATGACCTAAACCTTCATGTAATTGTTCTAAAATCCAATCTTGACCTTCAACATTTGTAACTACAACCTGAGCCATAGGATTTTGCCGCCGCATTAACCTTCCATTATCCAAATAAAACTTATCACTCTTCCTCTTAATTGATTTAAATTCTTCATCACTAATATCTTCTGGTCTGATTAAATTTTCTAAGTAATTGACTAAGTGTTTCCAGAATCCAACTTGTCCCCATCTTGCGTCACCATCAAGTAAATCTTCATTGATAATTAAATCTCCACAATAAATTCCAAAATCATAATCACTGTTTGCAACATCAATAAGTTTCTTCTCTTCATTAAATTCCTCAGCATCACTATCTAAATCACTATCTCGAGGTCTGCGTGATAAACCATCTGGCATAGTAAAAGTCTTACCTGCTTTATGAACCAAGTCAAAAGAAAATAATTGAATAAAAGAAACCCATCTTGTCATAGGAGCATTAGGTAAGTCAGGGGTATTAATCATTTGAATCAAAGCTTTAGCATCTACTTGTAACTCAAAATGTTGACCCCATAAATGAACTTGTAATTTCTTCAAAATCTTTGCAACTCCACATAATTCTAATTTTGGTTGTGAGTACCTTGATTCAACTTCAGTAAATGTAACAGATTCATACAACACTGGTCTATCTTTCTTAATTTTATCTTCTTGAGTTAATACCGCACCAGCCGCAATATAACTTGAATCAACTGCTAATTTTAATTTACCCGCACCTTCACCATAAGTAATACTCTTCAAAGTAATTTCTCTACCTACAATTTCCTTCAATTGTTCAAAAACATCTTGACATACACTATCCCAATCCCAATCAACTCCCTTCCTTGTTAATCTTCTTAAAGGAGATGATAACTCAGAGAAACCTTCAATAAACATTCTTACATAAACACATACACCTAAAAAGCCTCTAATTTGTCCTGGATCTTTTGGTACTGGCCAAGTTTGAATTTTGTTCCTCTTCTTAACTGAAATAGTGCGCCCATGAAAACCAACTACATGTCCTACAATTTCTAATTCAGGTACACATGCAGCAAACTTCTTTCCTGAAACCGCAAGTCCAGCTTCCTCAATTCTGAATAAAATTCTTTCCAATGTAACCGCATACTCATAAATAAATCTTCTTATACCTTCATTTTCAAATAAAACTTCATTGTCATAATCATCTCTGGGACCCATAATTCCACCATCATCAATAAATACACCCGCATGTTCAGGAATCTCATCTTGTAAAATCCACATCATTTGAGCTTGATAAACTGCAACTGAATTTGTTGCACCTTGAGGAAGTCTAGTTAATTGAAATCTACCTAAGGGAGTCTCAAAAGTAGTCAAAGGTCTTGACTCAACCACCAATTCCCTCTCATCATAACCACCCATAATATCACCAAGTCCATAACATGACCTTCCTGCAAAAGCTTCAACAAATTCTTCTGGAGCCGGTGGTACACCTGCATCCTTAATTGTAACTTTATTTAACTCTTGTAAATCATGAACTACTCTAAGTTTTCCATCATGCTTAATTACACAAAATACTGGGCTTGAATAACTTGAAGTACTTTGCTCGTATAAACCAGTTCTCAATCTTTGTCTGACTAATTCAATATATTCATGTCTTTTAGCTTTAGGAATTGGAATAACTTTCTTCTGCCAAGGTTCATGATCAACAACAGGAATAATATAAGGTAATCCATATTCATGTCTTAAAACACCTCTTTCACTTTCATTAAATGCAATTGATTTTTCTCTTAAGACAATAACATGTAAAATTAATTTCATTTCTTCACTACTTAACCAACCAGGCGGACCAAAATTAACCATCTTAAGTCTTTCTTCAGTAACCTTTTCAGTTTCAATAAATTCAGGAGGAGTCTTGAGAACAGGAGTTTCATAAGGATCCCTCGACAGAGATGGTCTTTGAAGTGGAGGATTAAGATATTGAGGCATTGGTTCATTCACTGGCCTGATCTTCTTAGCCACTGGTTTGTACTTAGTTGCTCCAACAATAAATCCACCTTCTTTAAAGTCCTTACATACCAATTCTTGTTCCTTCATACCCAATCCACTTGCCAAATAAGATAATGAAATCAATTCTTCTTTTTCAAATAAACCATCTTCAATCTTGAACCGTAATAATCTTCTCTTTCCACGTCTTGAACCCCTTCTTCTTGCTTTACATTTACCGCTATTCAAACATTTACCACCATAAAAATTATTAAACTCATCATCATTTGAAATAAAATTAAATTGAGAAAAATAAGAAATTGAATAAGAGTCAAAAGAAAAGTTTTGATCTTGAATATAAGATAAGTCAGAGAAATAATTGAAAGTACAATGAAAATTATTATGATGCAAATAGTTAGATGAACCAGGGGTGTTTTGCTGCACCTTGACAATTTCCCCATGTAAAGATTCACCTACAAACCTTTTAAATGCCTTTGACCGTCATCAGCATCTTCTCTAACTAATTTCCAAACTTTCTTCCCACTATTTGCATATCTATGCCTTCTTGAAGATTGATTTACTCTTGAATCTTCATGTTCATAAACTTGAGGAGGCCAGTCCATACCCGGAATACTCCTTTGAAACTCACTACCTTTCCCATCACAAGTTGAAAACCTTGCAACCATTCCTCTATCATCAACCATTGAAATTCTTTCACCATACTTCTCTGAAAACTGACAATTTGCTTCAAAATCAACTAAGAATGGACGTCCTAAAATCACTGGTGCATCACCGGTAGTTAAAAAGAAATGAACTTTTCCTTGAACATGATTACCAAGTAAAAGTGGAACATTTTCAACAATACCAACTAATTCAGCTTCATTATTCACAATACCACGTAATGACATCTTGATTTTAACATGAGATTCTAAACCCATACTATACGCAAAATCAACATTCATAACATTAATTTGAGAACCTGAATCAATAAGACATCTTGTAGTAATTTCATGATCTCCAAGTTCAACATTGAGAAAACCCAAAGGACATGAATACAACCAATCTTTCTGTCTACCCCAAATTGATTTTAATTTACCAAAATCCAAGTTTTCCAAATCCATATGATCCATATTACCAATATCTTCTTCCTTTATAATTTCATTACTACGCCTAATACTACCACTTGAACTTAAATTGACCTTCTTACTAAAACCATTTCCAACATTACCACCTTTAGCTTTCAAACCATCAACTAAATCCGGCACCAAATTAATTAATTCCTCCATTGTAAGTTGAGGCACCTTCATTTCTTTACACTTATCAATTAAACCTTCCAAAGCGCCATTCTTCTTACTTGAAACAATACCAGGTGACTTTGATCTTGGTTCTTCTTTCTTGACATTCTTTAAAGGTGAAATATAAGTAGGTTTTCTTGAAGTTCTTCCATCTTCAATTGAAATGTCCCTCAAAACCTTATGTCTTTGATCTGGAGTATTTGGATAACTTCCAGGTAAAATTTCTAAATCTGAATCAGTACTTAAATCTTCAATTCTAGTACCTCTCTTTAAAATTTTCTTGGGAGTAATTTGAGGTGTACTTGAAGCAGGTACATCTCTTGAATTTTCCACAACTCCATCCCAACCAGGTGTTGAAAACCTTTCTGAATTCTCACGTCTAAATTCTTCAGCTTGTTCATCAGTAATAATAATTTCTTCTTTTCTTCCTTCATCATTTCTTGAAGTTGATTCATTAATTTGATCTTGATTATCTTGATCCAAATTAGCAAAACGTGGTGAAGTCCTCTTCTTGATTAAAGGATCCACTTTCCTCCTTGCCGCATCTGATTCAAAAATAACTCTTCTTTGACTTGAAATAGAAGGAATGTTCCATTTACTTAAAGCTCCACAGCTTGATTTAACAGCTTCCTTTTCTTTATCTTCATCCTTCTCAACTTTGACTTTGTTTTCAGTAACCTTTGTTGAATTTTCAATTACTAATTTTCTATACGGTTTCTGATCCCAAGGAATTCTGTCTCCATTAAGAAGAAAGAAAGATTTACCATCAAACTTGACCAAATTATCATCCACATCCTGCTTGACATATCTGCAATCATGAATTGAATGACCTTCTCTATCACAATACCAACACATGTAAACAGACCTGCTACCACCTTCATTCCTCTTAAAATCATCATTTTCATTCCTGTTACCATAATTATTCCTTGAATAATTATTTTCTCTATTACCACCATAATTACCACGAGTAGAATTACCATTACCACTGCTACCATAAGTCCTTCCACCTGTAGCACCACCTTTCTTCAAAGTTTCATTCTCTTTCTCAACCATTTCCAATTTCTTCTTCAACTGATCCAATAAATTACTTGTACCACCTGAACCACCTGAAATACCCAATGAAGTTTGTCTTTGAGTCCTAAAACTTTCCATCACTGAAGCAACATTTTCCTTCTTAAATGAAGACCTTTCTTCTTCATTCTTAGTTAAATCTCCAAAAGCCATATGCATCCGCATTACTCTACTAACGTAATTTTCCAACATACTTAAATGAACCATTACATAATTATGACCAACCTTCTTCAACTGCCCTTCACTATCCATTAAAATTTTAATTTGATGTTGAATAGGTGCTGAAAAAGCCTTGAAGTAATACCTTGCCATCTGTCTTGAATCACCTGAATCAATTTGACCTGAACTCTTCAAATAAATTAACATGGTCTTGAATTTATTTTCAAACTTCACATAAGCATCATTTGTTGAAATACCACCAGCTCTAGCCAAATCATCACATAATTTATACAAGTCCTCATCCGTATACAAAGGTTGAGTACCTGCACCCCATAATTCATTCATCTCATTCTTCAATAACCTCCATCTTTGAGTCCTGTAACCAGCCATAGCTTCAATAACAGTCGTCATTTCATCATCTTTAATAAAAAATTTGACTTGAAGACACTTATCTCTATCACTTGCATTATCAATCAAAGCAGCATCTTCAAAATCTCTCAAAAACCTTTCCATATCACCACCTGATTTAAATGATAAACTTTTGTCAACTGGTTGAATTTTACAGAGAACAAAAATTTAAAGCTACTGTGAAATATTTTGAAATTCTAGCCAACCAATACACAATCCATGGCGACAACATTAAGACTGGAAGTGTGGAGAATCAATAAGTTAACTAGCTGTAGTTTGTTGGTTGAAAGGATAGTTGAAAATGAAACTCACCTCTCAGAAAGTGAAACGACCCTCAACTTTCAGCTCCTCCATCGGAAATATGTCATAATGGACACCTTGGCAGAGGCTAGGCTCATCAATTTCCAAACAAATTAAGTTGTAGAGAGCAAGCAGAATTGGTTTGCTTGTGGCTACGTTGAGAGGAATCCACAATTGCGGGCACCAGACTTGCAGGGTTTGTCGAATGCTATCCCGATCCTTCTTTGACATTTCTTCTTGGGAGAGTAGATAAGGCCGCCGAAGATCACCAGGTTTAATCGCTGAGCGTCCCATACCCTTTCCTGTAATTTCTGCTGCATGTGCTTGAAGTTTCACAAGCGCGCCTTTGCTGAAACCGTGAGAGAGAAATTTGTTCACACTTTTCTTCAGAACCTCGCAAAGATCTTCCACTTTTGAATTTTGCCTTCCTTTTTGAACCAGAGCTGGGAGATCTTCAGTCGAAGAGTTAGGGGTAGAATTGGAGTCGGCTATTGCAGATGTTGAGAACTCTGGCAAAGGATTTGTATCAATAGACATTCGTACACGTCCATTTACATTCAATCGGGACTGGTTGGATGTGGAAGCCACTGGCTGAAGAGATTTTGAAGTCGAGTTCTTATTGAGGAAAAGAACAAATTTATCAACCACTGGGGCCGCATTTTTTCTGTAGTGTTTCACCACCGCATCTTTTTTAGATCTTGCTGTGAGATTTTCTTGGTTTATTCCTAAGATATCCATCATCTCGCGTAGCTTACCCATGCTACATAGGCGTTTCCTGTAATTAATATCCTCATCCAGGGAGATAAGAAAACCAAGACATTCTGATTTCCTTGCCTCATCCAGCTTACTGAATAGTTGGTTAACATCGTAATTAATTGGAGGAGTAAGTTGAGTGTCTGGCATGATTTATTCAATAACGATTTATCAAACTGGAACAAATCCTAATAAAAGAAACAATAAGTGAAAAGATAAATTTGAATTTGATGGAGATAAGAAGTTTGAAAAATAATATAAAGAAGTCTTTTTACGCTGGAAAGGAAAATTATTGTTCCTAAATCTCTTCGACTAGGCCTTAATATTGGTTTTTTGTCTTTCTTAGTCGACCGTCATTACTCCCTAAGCTTGAAGAACTCATACTGAGAACTCGGACTGAGTGCAATAGAGATCCAGAATCCTCAGGCCTGTAAGCCGGGAGATTTTCACTTTCACTCTCTTGTTGTTGAAATCCAGGATGCTGGGTCAGGGCTAAACTGTTCAGCTAATTCTAAACTTCTCAGCTGATTGCTCCGTTTGCTTACATTCCTCATTTATGTTGCTGGATATGGGAGGAAAACTGTAAGCCGACAAAAACGTTGAAGTCAAGGTTGTTTGAAACTGTCCCTCAGCAGTTGACGGTATGCCTGGCTTCCGTGAACACCTCAATTGCATCCAAAGCAATCCGAGACAGTGTGTAACCGTGAACTAACTTGCTTTTGTAAGTTCACGGTTCTTGGACCTCCCAGGAACCGGGTCAAGGACCGGCGGCCCGGTCCTGATTGGACAACCCACCTGACTTCACCCCAAGCTTCAATTTTCTTGTTTTCTGTGGGAACTCTCAGATCATCAGCTAGAAAAGGCTTTTTCAGTCTATATTGAAGCATGCCGATTGGAATAAGCTGCACAGCTCTAACAACAAACCATTGGAGTCTGTCAAAGTCTCTATGGAGTCGACTTCTCCAGATCAGCCAAACATGGAGGATCGAGATATTTCTACATCAGCCACAACCAATACAATCAGCAAAATCAACACCAATCAAAATCAGCTAGATACCTCCACTGTTGAAATTTCCAAAGCTCTATCACCTAACATCAAATCAATGTCTTCTGATAAAACAAACACTCAAAATCGGCTTGAACCTATGTCATCCACAACCAATACAACTAGCGAAGTCACCTTAGATGAAGGGAATCCCAACGATTCTACCATCCGATCCTCTGGAGCTCTTCATGATATCATAGAATTGAACCCTGAAAAAAACAAGAATGCAGATAATATCAAATCAGCAATTCCCAATACAACTTTGGAAGAGGATCCCGCATTCATATGCGACCAGCTTGCTTTGCAGAGCGCTTTGAAAGCGCAGGAGACTCTCTGTACTCTTGATTCTTCTGTCTTTCAAACCGAAGACACCAGGTCTGTTCCTTTCCAGGATTCCTCTTCTCAGACTGCCAACCTCGCAGTCACCAATGTCCGATCAGCCCGTTTGGAAGAGAAAAATCAGCCTGTAATTGATGGTTCAACTCAACAAGTGTTACAACCAGCTCCTGAGTTTGCCTCAGATAATTCATTGATTTCCCCTACCTCGGCTTCAACAGATTCTTTGTCATATACAAGTGCAATGATTTCTATATCTCAAGCTTGTACAAGTGACTAGAATTTAGGCGGGCTTGCCCGCCCTTACACTCAATAAATAATGCTATATTCCTTACAATTGAATAAATTTAAAGCTGAAGTCAGAGTCAAGCAAAGAGAAAAGATTATCTATCAGGTCAATGACAAACACACACATTTCCTCAATTGACTGCATTAGCTTCAATTGAACTGGCACTGCGTAGCAGGCAAGTGGATATTAGGTCAGCGGTAAATGTAATAGATAGGCATAGAAAGAAAGTTCTAAAAACCATTGTTTATACTACACAGGTGAAGCAGCTCCAAACTTATCTTTATGTGCTTCACAACCTAAGGTTGAACACATCAGGTGTTGAAACCTAACTATTTACAGGATAAAACTTCAAAATTTATGGCGTTCAAACATGTGTAAGAAATTTGCAAAACCAATGTGCAAGATCCGTGCAAGATCTGTGCAAGAAATCTTGCACGGATCTTGCACATCGGTTTTTTCACAACCCCCTGCTGTATGTATCTCACCAAGGGCAAACTGAGTCCTCGAAGCGGGGAAGCCTAGGTTCACACATAACTTTCTTAAGTCTGCAAGTTTTGTGGAAGTTCTATGCAAGATGTTTAAAAGAACTTGCACAGAACTTTCTCGCAACTTGCAAATTTCTCGCGCATGTTTGAACGCCATAATTGTACGTAGAATTCCATGATTTTACCACAGGGAATGATCTTAGACACATTTTCAAGGTTTTGTCCTGTAGCAAATCGGTTTCAACTTCTTAAATTTGACCTTGGATGTGACAGGATTCTTAGGAATGTCTGTAGTTATACAGGATATTTGAAACTGAGCTCATGTAGTTTGATGTCTATGCATCATTCTTTACTCAACAATTGCTTTACATCTTTCATGGGAACAATTCTTTGGTGCCAAATCTTCACTCGTGATACTTTGACATGAGCATGCCCTCACTTTTGATCTTCTCTGTATAATCATTGTGCCTCATCTAGTTACATTAAAGGCAACTTCAGTACACATATAATCATCTATGGTAAAAATAATTCACTTTGATATCCATCTACGTTTGAGGCATTGAACTCCAAGAAACTTGTGACAGAATGGCCCTCAAGATTACCATGCTTTTGTAATCATAAGCTACATGATGGACAATTTGAACCTTGACCTACACCCACTTTTTTATGGTAAGACAGCATCGGTGGATAAATCCAGCAAGAAATTTAAGCCATAAATATTTTTTGGGAGGAGATCAAGTTCAATTAGGTGAATACAAGGTAGCTTTTGAATCAGACATAGCATGTGGATAGATATTAAGGATATACTAATGGCATGTTCTGAGCATCCAATGTAAAGAACAGTAAGCAGATTAAACAAAACCAATAATAAAGCTTCGAGTGGTGACATGAGAAAAATTGGACATTTGAGAAAGAAAAGCAGAACTTTAGCTTGAGGAGAAGCAAGAATATACACTGAAAATCATGAGGGTCTAGATATTGTATAGGTTGTAGCCGGACAAAGAGATGAAGGACCAATAATAAGAAGATGGGACAGTCCAAAATACCCGTGGAATGAATTGTCATTCAAAAGTAATGACTCTATTGTATATCAGCTTATGCGGTTGACATCAGACTAAACAGAATGAGGAGTGGAAAAGTGATTGTCCAGTGGATAGGAGGATTGGCTATGATTTATGCACCCAATGGGCTTATTGAAATGACATTTTGGAAATGATTGTGTGAGCCAGCGGCTGAAACTATGCAGCATTTGTGACATTTATTTGCAACTGATGGCACACATGAACATTACAAGCAGACTGGATGAACAAAGACAAATCTCATTTGAGTGTATATTGGCTTATGTTGTTGAAATATTTCTACAGAGAATGAGGAGTGGAAAAAGGAACACCCAGTGGATGCAACAGTTAGCTATGAATTGCACAACTGATGAGCTTACTGAAGTTACAGAGTGGAAGATATATACAGAGTGTATTGAAATGGAAGTTAGTATGTTATTAGAGGAAACATGAGCTAAATTTAAGATAAAGTTGAGATGAATAAGTCAGTACTGCTAGGAAACAAAAGCACTACAGGCATGGTGACTGGACAAGCAAGATTGTTAGTTAAGTGGTGTGTATATCCTTTATGGATAGCACTGGTCTTCAAATGATTATTTTAGATTAGGTAGCAGGTGAAAAGCAACCATGTGAGATTCAGCACAAACCTTTGTGTTGAGCTTCTTTTGGCAATGAATTATACTGAAGCAGCAAGCTGGATATACATATGAGACAACGGGTTGGGTAAGACAGCAGAAAATGAGAAGAGAGGTAACACTTTTGCACAGGTAAACAGTAGCGTCATCGATTGCTTGAAGTTTGTATGTAATAACTGTTGTCCAAATCAGGTTGTGAAGATATAAAACATAAAGGTGTGACCTTGTAAAAACCTAATTTCAAGTGTGATCTCAGAGCTTTATGTACTTGAATCTATGGCATAAACACTGAGTTTTTGCTTGAAGCTGGGGTTTCTATGAATATAGATTTATTTAATATCTCACACTATGAATAAATTATAAGTTACCATTGTCTATGTACCCTGTTTGGTATCATACCCATCTTACTCACATAGGACAAAGGTACCCTAGATGCCTTTGTTGTTCCTTGACAAATTGCTCAATAAAACTGGTCATGTGACATAGGTTCCATATATCCTTCAGGAACTTTGGGATCATAGCAAAAAGAAATGTGTTTAGCTGAAACACAATTTTGTACAAAAAAAGTCTCACTGCAAAATTCTTTAAATGAAGGCAAAAGGATCCCTTATGATAATGAGATATGTACTATTGAAGATTTTCACTTATACAAAGTCAGTACCTTAAGAGAAAAGATGATATAGTTTGATATAACCCCTCCTTCAATCAAGATAAAACCTCCCAAACTTTGATTGGTAAACCAAGGTTCAAAACAGACTACCAAAAAACAAAGAGGTTGAAATTTCAAAATAAACAAAAGCTCATCATTGAAGTATCCTATTCCACTATTTCCTCCAAGTAGCAGCAACAAATAAAGGGGAGACTAAAGTAGCAACAGCCAAGACCTAAGAAAACCAAACACATCACAGTTAGGCAATTGATTTATAAACAACATCAATTGATATATAAAAGGTGACTAACTTGGACACTGTCTGAATCCATTTTAAACTTTCCCCAACTGATTGCTTCATTGGGTCCAACACCAGAATCAGATCCATCTAATTCTTGACCCAGGTTAACATACAAAGCATATTCCACTCCATTCTTCTACGTACCTGTCCCCAAGAGAAAATTAATGATAAAACAAAATGAATCAGCAATGAGTGAGAGAAATTTAGAAAAGGTTAAACCCACTTACATGTGACGTAAGATTGCATCAGCAATTTGATGTTTACAAACACCATCGCCTAAAATGATCGTACTGGCTATTTTAGGGGATCTACGGGATCCATCTTAATTAAACAAAACAAATCACCAAAATATAAAGAGTTGAATAATTGTCAATCAGATTGATCAATACTTTTCTTATAATTTAGGGCGGAATGAGGATCAAGATTTCAATTCCAAGTCTTTCAATCGTTTTAGAAGGAGTCAAATTGATCTTTTTGATTTCGCTTCTCTCCTTTGGTTTAGAATTGGCATAAACCAAGCTTCAAATTGACAATAGTTTTCATTGGGGACAAATAAATTTTGTATACAAATTGAACCTGATCTATGTGGATTTGACCTCGAGTTTGAATCAAAAGATGATAGATAAGTTGGACCTACACATTTGACAATGTCATCTTGTATACCTCCTGCTGTGAGTACAATTAATGATATGTATGACAGTTCAGTTGAAAACTCCAGAATTTCTTGTAATCCTGATGACATTTAATTTGAGGTGAGACCTAAGAAGAATTTCGTTTCTTCATCTTCAGTTGAATTTGGAGTTATGGTAGGCTTGTCATCTAATAAAATCCATTGACACTAAAAACAATATCGAATCGAAGATCGGTCAGATATCAAACCTTTTTTGATCTATTTGATTGTGACTTGAACGCTTTCCCAATACTTACCATTTTGTTAATGGTTTTGATTGATTGATATAAAGTTGTAGAAATCCATTTTTTGACCAGATGACATTAATTGATTTAAATCCAATCTATGATTAGAATCTTGATCATTGATCAAAATCAATTTGGCTGCGATAGGTATTACTATTGATTGAAGGAAGCTTCTTTCCTTAGCTTGATTGGATCTGTCCCGATTATCTTTGGTTTGAATCGATTTCATGATTCTTCAAGTGATGATTTCAGCTTTAGTTGTCAAAATTAGTTAGTGAATTATAAAAGTTAAATGTTCATTTGATGGTATTATGAATTCATGATTATATGATCTTATATGATAGCTTCAGTTTCCAGATTGGTTTGCAGATTCTTATCAGAGTTGGAGATTTTCAAAATCGATTCTGAGTGAAACTGTATCATTTAATTATCCTTTTTCCTTGATTGGCATTAGACTCATCAAAAAGTACAATCGAAATAAGAAGTCAACTTTTGAGGCTTGGCTTGCAACAATGGATTATACTGGAGCAGGATATACTGCTAAGAGAACGGGTTAGGTAAGATGGCACGAAAAGATAAGAGAGTATGAACTTGAGCCGAGGTAAATGGTAGTGTTGATGATTGCTTGAGGTTTGTATGTGATAGATGTTGTCCAAAAACGGAATGAGAAGATATATACCAATATGGAACTAAATATTGTGAGCAGAGCATAAGGAATATGACCAACATATGGTATAGCAATTAGTGCTGGCAGGTGCAGTAACACTGCATGCATACTATATTTGGCTGGAAGTGGGAGAAAAGTACTTGCATTGAATGAAAGCTTGTTGAATTGGAGCATGAAGAGACTTTATTTGGTAAGCAGCTTTTGCAGCATGGTAGAGGTTGAAAATTAAATAGAGTGGCAGTGGAATACAAAAATGCCTGTGAAAGGCTTGAAAGCCGGATAACGGGGTAGCTGAATATGGCAAGAGGGCTTTGGAGCGGAGTATGCATGTCCGTATTTAGCATTTGATGTGGAGTAAGCAGGTCCGTAATTAGGATCATGACACCGTGAAATTTGATAACAAGTTGAGCTTGTGCTGGATTTAGCAAAATACGGGAAGTCTTTCAAGAATTTAACTGTGCCAAGCGAAATCAATGAAAAAGAGGTGAAATGTTTTGGAATATAAAAGGAGGCCAACTTGGAGGCAAGAAATTATCAATCCACGCGCACCTCGCGAGCAAATCAAGGTTTCAAAAGATTCCTGATGGCTGAAACTGAGGTGTGCCGTGGATAGATGTAAACTTGTAAATTCTCCTTTTCAAGCATTGGCAAAGCCTTAGGCATAAATGCCGAGTTTTTGCTTGAAAGGGGGGATTTATGAATTTACATTTATTTAATCAGCCTGATTCAGCTTGTACAATAAGTGAAGCAGAGCAAGATATAGAAAGAGAAAATCCACAATTTTCGAAAAATTCAACCATTCAACTTCCTCAAAAGAGAAGCTTGTCTCCAGAAACTCCTAGCGACTTGAGACATATCCGAGGAAAACTCAAGACTTCCTCTACTTTCTCAACTTATCAGGCAGAAGATGCGAATCCACTTCAGATTACTTCAAAAAGGACTCTCTCTCCTGGAACCTCTAGCGGGACGAGGAATGTTTGATCTTGATTACAAACTCCTGATACTGCAAATCACAAAGAGATTACAACGGATACTAAGCCCTTGCATGCTTCAAAGGCTCTACCTGTTTATTCAAGACTTATCGCGGCGCTTGAAGAAGCAAGAAAGTCAGATTGCTTGACAGAACCGATGGAAGATGAACTCAAAAAGTTGACTTACAGATGTAAACAGACAGGAAACGGTACATTCATTTTCAAATCTCCTTGCTTTATCCTCTATATGTACTAACTTCTTTTGGAACCAGCTATCATACAAGGGAAAACTCTACCACCGGAAGACAAGGTTATCATTGTACTGGATGACAGTGATGAAGATTTGCATGCAAAATACAAATTCCCACTTGAAACCTCCACAACACACGAAAACGGTTTCAAGACAAACCAACCTTGCAGCCCTCTACCTGGAACGAGCCACGATGATCTTCACACCAAAAAGGATGACATTCAGCTCATCAATACTTGTATTGTTAACCCAAACAGTATTGATTCACAGCCTTCTCATCTACAAAGTGATGTGGACAAGAGAGAGGATAGCAACATTGCACAATTGCCTGCTCCCCTCCACGTTCCTGAAGAAGCGGGAGGTGGTAAAGCTTCTGATTCTCACGATGATGAGCGTGAATCAATTACTAATGTAGCCCAATTCGGTCAGTCTGAAGATCCATCCAACAAACCACGGTCTGCTCCTAGCCCTAGTGAATCTGCTCGATCTCAAAACGGAATTACGAACCAGTCTGCTCCTAGCCTCAGTTGATCTGATCAATCTCAAAACGGAACCAGGAACCAGTCTGCTCCTAGCCTCAGTCAATCTGATCAATTTCAAAATGGAACCGAGAACCAGTCCACTACTAGCCTCATTCGATCTTCTCAATCTCAAAATGCGATGGACTCTCAGTCTGCTTTGACCGTAGTTCAGTCTGAAGATGTTACTTGTGCCGTACATCAGACCCCAGCCTCTCCAACTGTTATCAACAAAACCAATTCAGCCCAGGAAATGATAAATGAGGAGTCGGCTTCAACTCGTATCATTGATAAAACATCTGGGTCTGCAAATATAGGCGAACATCCCCAGACTATCCAGGATCCTATTAAACCAACAGGAAATACAAATAGTCCCAGGAATTTGAGGACAAGGAAACAAACAAATATAGCAGTTGTGATACCGAAGTATCCTGATTGTAATAAGAAGTCTCAGCCTTCGAAACCGTATGAATTGCAAAAGAAAGTACAAGATTTCAAAAAAAGCAGTCAGAAAGCGATTGAATTTGAAGCCAAAGGCAACAATTGTAAGCTTCAACAATTAATTTCACCACATATCCTGCTGACTGTTGTTGCCTACTTAGTCAAGTTTTTTTTAGGATCGGATCAAATGGAAAAGGAGTTGACTGAAATCTTGCTACCATATAGCGGCAATCAAACAAGTAGAACTGCAAAGCTTGCTGCGTGGAAAGCTTTGACTGCTTTATTAGAACGAAGGCAAGTGGGGGAACCATTGGATCAGGTCTTCTTGGACTCTTTTGATTGTGGGACAGACCATGTGGTGATCAGGACACAATTCAATGCTCAAAAATGGTTTGAAGCAATACAACATAACAGTAAGTCTCTTCATTAGGTTGGTTATAGGTCAGTATCAAATTAACCTTCTGATATTCGATCCATGTAGTGCCTAGACTTTTCAACTCTCACCCTGGGGAGCCTGCATACTCAGATGGCTTCTTCAACACCTCCGTATTGATAAACAAAACATTGGCAGATAAAGTTCCTAAGAGTGTATTACCAGTTTGGCATCACACCTGGCGATCGATGCGGATGTCGGTTTGCCCTTCAGCAAAGAAAGTGACCGTTTTCCTGAAGATATTATTGGATTGTGTTCTCCTCACTGGAAAAGCTTTCCTCAAACGGCCTCCTCGATCTGAAACAGAGAAGGCTATGACTGGGGTGGAAGCGGTCTGCCAGGCAATTCAATGGCTGAATTCACAAAAGACTTCAAAAGTAAACAACAATAAAATCACACCACTTCTCGATGCAAACAACCTTGAGCTCTTAGTTGACGTTGGTCTGATTCAAGAGTGGCAGGATGTCTTTCTCAAGGTGCTTGATTCTTATGTCGTCCAATACTTTGAAGCCAAGTACATTCTGAATGAAGACGCAAGATCTGAAGATAGAGAAATCGCAATCCGCTTCAAGAAAGAATAGAAGGGCGATAATGTCAAAACTCCAACACTCAGCTATCTTACAATGTTTGCCTGTTGTGGCATTCACGGTTTGATTTGCTGCTCAGGTGATGTAAATATAGCTCCAGCCGGACAAATGATGAGCTTCACAGTCCTTTCAGAGTGGCTATGTAAGCAGAGGCCTGAGTTTAAGGTGAAAGAGCCAATCTTCAAACGGAGCAACCAGTTGCTCATGCGGCTTATTGATGGTCCCTTTGATAAGGATGGCCGCTTCATCGAACCAGAGATCACATGGTATGATCTTGCCAAAAATCTTTGTTTTGACTACTTATCACATTGGTTTCTAGAGGCTGGAGATCTGGCAGAAGGTGGAAGTCTGGTTTTTCCCAAGTCCGGTGTTTTTTCTGGAAAGGATCAAGTCATCAAATTTAAGAACTAGTTTAATCTTCCCTCTTTGTAATTGTTGCTCAGAAAGTTTTGTAATACACGGCTCTGAAATGCTTGACTTTTTCAAAAAAAACTACTGTAGGTTTGTCAGATGATCCTTCCAAACTAAATAGGATGAAAATTGAAGCCCAGAGAAATTGTATACAGATAAACAGGTTCCAAAGATACTTCAATCTCCTGAGACAAGGGACGCAATCCTTGAATAATTAGTGAAATTTACAATCTTTCACAAAGAAGCTGCTGCTTTTTTTCTTGAGTTTTGAGTAAACATGGAGATACAACAGAACTCCTCTAGACTTGTGTTGATAAAGTGTTCTTTCAATTATAAGATTAGATGCGCAATCATATCCGGCAACAAATAATAGAATTTACCAAGTCCTTTTGTATAAATTGCTCAATCCAGTTCCTGGCCAGGAATAAGGCTCTTCCCCAAGCACCAGCCTCAACAGGCTCTCAAGGCTCAGACAAGAACCGCTTGGGGACGAGGAAGTAGGTATATCAATTTGAAATCAATAATAGGAAAGGCTCCATGTAGGAATGAACTTTAACGCCCTATCTTTGCCCTTACCAAGACTAAGCAAGAACTGTGATTCACTCCTAGTTCTACTAACATGGACTTCAAACAATTAATAATTCATTATGTTATCTTTCAAGATAGTCAGGTTTCACTGCTCTAACTAGTCAGTGTAGTGGTTATCCTTTGTCAATTTTCTTCTATATAATTCTAATACTGATCAACCTGATGAACCACTTTTATGGCTATGGTTATGGCTTATACTTTCCAAGATGACAAACTATAACCACCATACGTATTGAAATTCTTTACCAATATATTTCCTCTCCAAGAATCATGTGATCATCTCAAAGCTTTTCAAAGAATCAGACTACTTTTGAATGGATCAATGGTCCTACATGTGGATTTGATATCTCGAATTAGAGGTTGTCTTATTATTAACGAGTTGATTTATGAATCAAATCATGACCTGGTGATTTTTAGCTGGACACTCTCCGCAGCCACATCCACTTCCTCATAAAGTGGTTGAAACTTGAGAAGAATTACTAGTAAATCTTTCAACTTTGATTTCTCCTTTTAGTTGTCTTATCCATCTTTCTGCACATTTACATGGATCTTTGATCTTTGATCTTTGTTTGATTTGTTTTTCTTGCTGTAAAAAAATATTCAATGTAGTTACATAGTATCGGAATGGAAAAAAAGATAGATAAGAATATGAAGGATATGGTTGTGGGGTTTAAGCACTTGCTTACCAAACATTTGTACAAAGGTTAAGACCAGATCTGCTACTAATAAAACTGGCAACCTAAGAAAGTTGAAGGACCTAACCATAGCTGAAATCAAAAAACGAAAAAAGAAGCAGAAATTGTAAAAATCTGGATTATCTTGATATATCAATACAAGATGAATTCAAACAATAATCTCAAACAAGAAAATGAAAATGAATGAAGTCCATAAACTTACCATAAGAAGAAATACATACCATTTAAACAATTTTCAAGTTCTAATAGGATCAAAAGATTTATTGATCCATCTACTAGGAGTAGTTCTTTAACTCAAATTTGATGAATCATTTTGTTCTGAATCATCTATCCTAAAATCTGTTTAATTTATTTCATTTGAAGAACTGGAAGTTGAAATCAGTGTAGAATTGAAAAGACTAGAAAGAGCAGACTCAAATCTTACTAAAACCAAGAAAAAAAAGTGATTTAGGAAGGATCAATCTTTCCTGTACGTTGGACAAACTCTATCTTGAACCAGTGAATTACCAAGGACTTTTGCCTAAATTCCTGAATCCAGTTGCTGGCCAGGAATAAGGCTTTCAGCCAAGCCCGAGTACCGACCCGCGTTTGAGGCTTGGACGAGCGTGGCTGAGGTACAATCAAGGAGCTGTATCAGTTAGGGTAGGGTAGTCCAACCACTGCTCAAACTATTTATTTTCTATTTCAGCTCCTGGATGATGAACAACCAGAAGGAGAAATTCAATGTAGATTGATAGAAATAAAAAACACAGTAATTTATCCATATTACTTGATGATTTGAAAGAACAATTTGAAGAGAGGAAGCTAGTGATGCTTCTTCTGTGCACGATCACTCGATCAATGGATCAGATGGAGTTCAGGATTTGGCTGTTGGGAAGTTGTTTGATTGATTATTTGGTTTCTCTGAATCATCTAATCTTTCAATAACAAGCACACTGGATTGTTAAGTTATCTCACTATTATACAACATATGTTTTGAAATTTGAGTGGATCTGACAAAGCAAGGGAATTTTATCAGAATTCCCTTACATATCAGTGGCTGGCCAGGAAAAGAGATCCAATATCCGGGAAAGATGAAACTCTCCTTAACTTTGGGTTAGGTTTATGATTTGTAGGTTTCTAGGCTATCCACTAACCTTGTCCTCCAAAAAGTTTGGTTCTCAAAATCAAATTTTGGAACCCTGCTAGTCCCCAGTTTCAAATTCCAACTTTATTAGTCTACTTTAATTTTGCTCGAACTCCTCCCTTCCTCCTCCCCTAGAGAAAAGAGATTACATCTTCCTCCTTCAGTTTTTAATCAAACCAACTGGAAATCTAAGTACATTTACCCTCGTCTTTGTCTTTATCTTTGGGAAGAGCTTTTAATTCTTTTTGTTTTTATTCCAATATCCATCTCAGGAATTTTGCTCAAGAAATCGGATTTCTATATCAAAACTTCTACATATACTTGTCAAGAAGATCTTCACCTTCTCAGTATGTTTCATGAAGACCTGAATTCTTCAACTAAGTGTACCGAAAGATCTTACAAGCATTTTTTTGAACTTCTTTCTTGATGTTCATCTTAGATATTTCCGTTCAGTTTTTCAATTTGAATTGTTCAAGACTTGAGGTTCTTCAGACTTGAGGCGCTTCAATTATCGTCAATCTTTCATTTGGTACGCAACAACTACCTACCATTTTTGATCAAGCCTTAGATATTGATTTAATAACTTTTTTTCAACTGAACGTTTCAATAGATCACAGCATATTTTAGTTGAATTTGGACACCTCTTATTATCTGTATACAATAACAAAGATGTTACTTCAGAACTCTCCCAGAAATGAGCTCATATCTTCACTTGTAGAACGTCTTGGAGTTCCTAAGGATTCAACATTTATCTTTCGCACGAGTTCCATGGATCGGGCTGAAGGAGATTATTCAAAAGCTGAAATTACCAAAATCAACAAGGGTACTGTGGTTGTGGTTGATGAGAAGAATTTGTTGCTAGTTCTGGCTGTCCAATGTAACGAGTTCAAGGAAATGTCAACAAAGGAGAGAGAGAGATTTTCCATGGGAATCTCTACGCCCTTTTTACATGCTAAAGCTCGACTCACCAACAATCTTCATAAGTCAATTCAATTGTTCATTTTAGCGATGATTTGGTGGGGTTTGTTGGGATGCTGTGGTTGGCGAGCTGGTAGCGATCCGGGGAAGAAAATTGGTCAGAAGCATTCATTTCTCATTTAAAAGACTCCCAAAACTCACGTACAATAATATTACTTTTAACAGGACCTTACGCCCTTAAAGACTTTTTACCTCGAAAAGAAAAAGAAATCGAAGCTGATCGGAAGCGGATGGCTGATTTTAGCAAAGTTTGCGACTTTTGGGCAGATCAGTTCTCATCTCTCTGCTTGGAGGCGTTCAATAACAATCTTAACCTAGCAACAGAAGCCAAGATACCCGGCTTCGATCACCGTGAATGGAAACAAACTTCCAATGGGACAGTATTCGCTTCAAATCTAGTAGTCACGTGTGATGGATTTCAAAACGAAGCACACACTGATGATCATGACTACACACGGTATTTGTATGGAATGTTTTGTATAATCGATCGAGATACTGGGGTCCCCCATCAAGTGGAAGGGTCAGAAATAAGAAGCGAGGTTGGATCTGGGAAGTTTATCATCAAGCATTTTGGTATTGAAGTCGACTTTGCTGGATGTGATAGGGTTGTTGAGATGGTATGGGACACCCGAGTAAGTACCTTACCATTGTTCCTCAGCTCTTGATAACTGCTTGAACGTGCGAATACACAGGTACTCCACCAAACAACACCGTCTCTATCTTATAACCCGAATGGTAAGAGGATCCATCCAAAAAGCTGTGAAATCACACGGTTTGGATCCTCGTGTCAAATTTCTACGTCTCTGGTGACCAGGATTCGGGCAATCAAAAGTCTGGAAAATACTATGTCAAACGCTGAGTGGGAGGTCTATGTCAATGAACAGGTAAAGTCTTACGAAGATCAGTTTGATACTAAATTCAAGAAGTTTGCTGCCGCCAAAGCTAAAAGAGAAAAGAGGATGAAGGCTTCAACTTCAAAAGGTGCTGAGAAAGATGTTCCACACAAAAGGACCGGAAAGGCAAAGAATAAAAGTTCTCGCAAGTCTGATTAAAACTGTTTAATAATTTTTCATCTTGTTATAATTCCTCAAAGGAATTGATTCTCTTTTTCAAATCATTCAAAGAAGAACATCTGTAGAGTCTACTCTCTTTGATCAGTTGGGGGAAATTCTTATCATGATAATTAAAAAGAGCATTGTTTTTCTCGCAAGTCTGATTAAAACTGTTTAATAATTTTTCATCTTGTTATAATTCCTCAAAGGAATTGATTCTCTTTTTCAAATCATTCAAAGAAGAGCATCTGTAGAGTCTACTCTCTTTGATCAGTTAGGGGAAATTCTTATCATGATAATTAACAAGACCATTGGTTTCCCTTGACGAAATGAATTTCAACTGTTAGACTCTTACAGGTAAAGATCAAGTTTATCCTTTCCTACATAGGCCAAAACCTCAATCTTCCTGTAGTAAGACTAGTGCAATCGATGAGATTCTTGATGTATTCTTACAGAGTTATTCTCTTTGAACCAAATTAAACTACTAGAAGTTTTCTCTGATATGGACCAAAATACACGCAACGTGATTGTTTAAACCAAAATTTGGGATAGAGCGGGAAAATTAAAGGTGATTCAAAAAGCTCACTTTAAGTAAGGCTCTGGAACGGCGTGATGATATCGATGATGTTATAGAAAGTAAGAGGACAGTTCAACACCTAGCGTCAGTTGAATAAAATTGGGGATAACTAATTAACATTCAAAATGTTTGATTAACACTCACCCTGTAGCTAATCAAGAGCCGAGTTGTGGATCTAATACTGGAACCTGGCCATTTCGAGCAGCCTCACAAGCCACTGAATAATAATGATAACGCTCATCGGTGAAATTCTCGATCTCATATTGAACCTCCACTTGGGGGTTAGCTGGAGATGCATCTGCCACCTTCTGAATAGAGATCTCAAGTGCTCTGGAACGTTGGTAATTGAGCTCGCAAACATTCTCCAGGTCTGTAACTTGGATTTCTGTATCTTCCACCCGAGCCTTAGTAACAGCGATCTCTCTCGTGTGATACTCCATACAGTTTCTCAAGAGGTCAACTTGAGAGGCTAACATTGCAGAATGAAGTAAGCAATTTAGACAGCGTCATATCTTTGAAAAAGTGAATCAAAAAGTGAATTGTGGCCAAATACTTACTTTGATATTCAATCTTTTTCACAAGATCTTCCATTTGAAGCGCAATTCTATCTTCAGCATCTCGAAGCAAAGCATTGATACCCGCGATTTTGGCTTTCAAGCTCTCCACTGAATTAGTGGATTCAGATTTTGATTAAAGGATTAGCCTTGACCTAAACAGAGACCACAGAAAGCAATCATAATTACCTTCAGTTGCGTGCGATTCAGATTCAGACCGTTCTCTTTTCATTGCCTCGTTGTGATCACAAAAGACAAAGGTAATTGATGGAACGAGGTATAGATAAAAGCAGAGTTCAAGAGGTATATTTGAAATAGATTATTCAGGATTTAAAAAGTCTGTTTGATCAGAGTTTAAAATTTTGTTCGAAAAGAAGGATGAGAGTGTTTGAAGAGACAGAGGACTTTTCCAGTAAATAGGTTGGTCTTATACACACGCTGGAGGATCTTGCAATAACCCAAGAGTTCTCCAATCTACGTATGTGGAGTGATTCGACCGATTCACCGGACCTCTGATGGGAGAGAGAAACTTAGTTTCTTTGTTCTACGACCTCAAATCTGGGCATGAATGTCTTGTTATTTCAGTGTACACTCAAGGGCCTCAAAGACAGATGCAGGGAATATTGTAAGTTTGTATTATGTACATAGCCATAGAATCTTCGAGAAAAACAAAAATTGAAAGGGCTCCAAAGATTCTGAATCACATTTGAAAATAGAGATTTGTAGATAAGATAAAAGTTGAAAGGAATAGAAACTTCTAATTATAACCGAGCAAAATCCAAAAGAATCTGGAGATCTGAAAGTTACATCCTAAAGAGTTTGACCAGAAGGTGTACCTCATAATTGCGAGGAACATAGGAAAGAGTCTCAGTTTCTTTCATCACTTAGTAATTGAGACACCCAACATTTGAAGCTCATAAAGAATAAAAGGAATTGAGGGAGAGATTTCTTAGATCCGCCAGAAGTATACTATAAGCTAACAATAGACTGAGGTACTTAAAGAGTGGTTACACGGTGACAGGAATTTTTCATAAAGCCAAGAAAGAGATAAGTAATTTAGATTTGATTGAAAAGGTCTCTCTGCGGGTTTATCATGCTTAAATCAGATTCATCATAAATAAAAAGAACCATTATAAATGATAGACTCACTTGGCAATTTCAGGTGATCTGCTGAAGTCAATTTTGGTAAAAAGCTCCTCTCCAAAGTCTAAAAATTGAAATGGATGTTAGTTCAAATGATACACCTAGCTGAGAAGCTATACATCAGAACAAGGGAGACTAACCTGTAACTTAATCGGTATAGAACTTCATGACGTTGGTCTCGTAATCCATTGATTCCATAGCTAGAATCCAAGGTAGAGCCAGGCGCTCAAATATACCAAACAAAGTATGTAAGTTTGTATAATGGATATTAAAGTCGGTGGAAGGGTGGAAGCGAGCAATAAGCTCAAATAGCTCCGCAGGTGTTGCCCAAATCTCTTCACCATCTATAACGGCCAAGAACTTGTGTAAATGTGCAGGGATTACAACTTGACCAAGTTTGATTGGAAGCTGGTCATCAGGAATAGGAAGTCCTCAACGGCGAATATTAAATGATACAGGCATTACAAAAATTACTTTTACAATAAGGTAAAGAGTTTTTTGATTGATGAATGATCCCTCAGAGCAGGAGAGCATGAAACCCAGGTTCACTCTATATAGCCCTCAGTCTACTTCCTGTGAACTTCTTACTGAGAGAAATCCGGGTCAATCAAAAGTCATATGATCACCTCAGAAGTTGTTTGAGACAATCTAAAACCAGCCAAAGAATGTTAGACTTGATGATAGTCAAGATGAGAGGCAATTTCAGATTAATTTGTGATGGAACGGCAGCCCACTTTCCGGTAAACTCACTGAACTCTAGAGATTATCTTAAAATAACAAAACCTTCCCACTTATTCCCCTTCCAAACTGGGGTCTGGGTGTGGTTATCATGTACATACAGTTCTGCTCAGTTATCTGCTCATCAGGATAAGTTATTCATATGTAATACATGCTGTAACTTTTTTGAGATCAAAAAAAGCATTCCAAAGATTGACTACATACACTGACTCAATGTTTTGGTGTAATCTCATCAACTCAACTGCATGTAACACCCTTTCTGTTACTAAGAAATAGCTTCAACAATATTGCCTGAGCACCTACAGAATTATATGTAGTGAATTTTGGACACAATTTTTTCAAAGTCCAAAAAGTTACATGTGGTATAACATGTGATTTATTTCTGCTGGTGGGCAAAAAACTGAGCAGACCTGTATGTACATGATAGCCATCTATTGACTTAGCTTGCTGCACATATGTAGTGTGGGTGAAATGGCTCAGGTGTGCAGTATTAGATTCTTTTATGAAAAACTGTACTATTAATCATTTTCCTCTTACAATTTGGGGAAGTTGAATGATGTTTACAGTGCACAGGAGACCATAGTGCCAGAAGAGGGACGACATTGACTGACGCACAGGAGGCCGAGCAGATCAAGGTGATGATGGCTACAAAGAAAGGACAATTGGTGTTGAGAAATGGGGATGTAATTGAGAATGGGTGTAGACTGGTAGCAGACACAAGAGAAGAGATGGAAAAGGGTCTCACACCTCTGTCCCTGGTCCTGACACAATGGCTCCAGACTTGTAAATCCATTATTCACTTGACCGTCTTCAATAAAATGTTCTTGATCAATGACCAGCAAGAATGGAGTCAACGGAAGGCACCAACGGAGTCGAAGATAGAAGATGGAAGCTCATCTCTGACAGTCTATGGAGGTGCCCCTCCCCCAGAGGAGATGACAATGCAGTTCACAGACTGGATCAACAGCATAGGCCTCTTCATAAAATACGTAGCCTCAAAAGGCTGGATCACACTAGCGGAGCGATTCGAAGGTCATAGAGGAGTGGTGATTGAGTTGAGAGAGAATTACGGGTGGATGATCGCATTGAGGTACTGTTGCCAAATCCGACAAGGGGTAATGAGAGAGACAGTCGATAATTGGATCAGAAACTTTAGCGTCTTACAATCCGCAATCTTCAAGGAGGCTAAAGTGACGGCAGACTCACACCAAGAACGATCATACGGGTCAGATCCATATGCTCCAGGCGGGCCCTTAGCACACCTGAACCCACTCACGGGAGCACCAAGACCAACAAAGCACACCCCTACCACCTCCACCTCAAACACAGGAAGAATGTACGAGACACCATGTTTTGCAAAACCCAATCCATCGAGCACACATCACCAAGACCCAAACTGGATCCCGTTGTGGAAGTGGAGATCAATGTCAGCTGAAGAGAAGAAAGACAAATTGAGTTGTAGGGCAGGAGGCCCTCCCCGCGGAAGAGATGACAAGAGAGAAAAAGGCCAAGGGAGCTACGGAGGTGATGAGAGAGACCACTACAGAAAGAGAAGCCGCAGCCCAAGAAGAGGCAGAGGACGCAAAGGGAGAAACGTGTAAGCCACGGGTTTTGAACAATGAGTCAAAATGAAATTTAAGGAAATGAAACACAAGTTTCAAGACATAGAACACAAATCACTGAGCCCTGTAAGAAGTGAGAGCTTACCAAACGTGCCTCTCCCTTGTTTCCTCCCCCACTTGACCACTCAAAATGTGTGTTGGCAAATTGTTCAGACCGCACCTGAGAGATCCAGACAGCCCTGTGAGAATAGCCCCATCCTCTCTAATAACCAACCAAAAAAGGCCAACATGGCCACATAAGGTCCATTGCGGGATGAATGTGCAAAAATGGAGAGCCGAATTGAAGAGAGCCAACCTACTAAAAAAGTACCAAGACATATTAGTAGGTCTTGTCGAAGGCTTTGACCAAGGGATCAGAGACGCATACATTCCAGGCATCCCTTACTACTAGGAGAGAAGATCCGTAAAGCCTCCGCGACCAAGATCACCGCAGGAAGGATGATAGGCCCTTCCTCCCAGGCAGAGGCTGATGCCCACTTCGGTTTCTTCAGAACAAACCCTTTAGGGGCAGTCGTAAATGGTGATGGATCCACCCGTCCAATCAACGACTTATCTTTTCCTAGAAACAATCCCAATGTACAGTCAGTAAACAAAGAGGTGGATAAATATGATTTCGAGACAACCTGGGACGATTTCCGGCAGGTAGCGGAATTCCTGTGTTCCTTAGAAGAAGACGTACTGTTGGCAATCTTTGATTGGGCTAAAGCCTATTGACAGATTCTGGCAGCACCCGACCAATGGCAGTTCCTAATGGTACTTACCTTTGAAAACAAAGTGTTGCTTGACACACAAATTACTTTTGGTGGTGTAGTCGGCAGGGTAGCCGATGCATGGAAGGAAATGATGTTAGCTAGATTCCCTTTACCTGCCGCCTTCAGGTGGGTGGACAATACCTTGTTTGTCAAACCCAAGTCAGATAAGTCAGACTTACGCCTCAACAACATATCACAGATCAGTCAAGAGATGGCAATTGTGGAAAACAAAGAAAAAAGACACGACTTCGCGGAAGAACAGAAATATTTAGGGTTCATATGGAATGGATCAGAAAAAACAGTCCGTTTACCCCAAGAAAAAATCAACACAAGACACTGAGAGATAGAAGAATTTAGAAAAAAAAAGAAGCACACCTTGAAAGAAGTACAAGGGATTGCAGGGAAGCTAGCTCACACCGCAATGGTGCTCCCTCAACTGAACAGCTATAAAGTAGACATGAACAGGTGGATGGCAGAGTGGCATCATGGGTCAGCCTTAAGGGAAACATCAAATTCAGCAGACAAAGACCTACAAGTATGGCACCACGTGCTGAGCACGACAAAACCAAAGCGGCTGATCCCACGCCCAGAACAACTTAATGTGAACTGGGTCAGCAATGCGTCCACCTCGTATGACATTGCGATAATCATAGGGAAGTATTGGGCAAAGTTCTGCCTTTGTCACGGTTGGGACCTGAGAATGAAAGACGGGTCCAGACGCGGCATTGCATGGGCTGAGACCGTGGCAGCACGTTTAGGATTCCTCCTCCTGCTAAAACTCCATGACGTCAGAGGGAAATGCTTTGTTATGCTTACCGTCAACGTAGTGGCCAAAAGCACCACCCAAAATGGGAAACTGCACGATCAGAACATAAATTGGGAATGGAGGAAGATCCAGTCGCTTTTATTGGAAAACAAAGCCTGTATTGAGGTGAAACACATTATATCAGAAGACAACACAGCTGATAAACTGTCCAGGGGTTCCGACTCCTCAAAGCGTGTCAGAGACATGATCGAGATCCCTATACCCAAATATCTAAAGGATCTACTAAGACAAGAACATTGAGACATCACCCAATCGCACACGAAGAAAGTTACCTTTAAGAAGCATGACAGACCTACCTCAGCATTTTAAGCAAGCAGAAGAGAACACTTCACGAGCGGGGAGACATGCAGCCGCAGGCAGCTGGAAAAGATCAACTTTAGCAGGCTACTCCTCAGGGATGGCAAATTTATTGAATTTAAAGAAAAGACCACAGGAAGTTTCAATCCGGAAAACAAGGTATCAGACAAAGACGTGTATGATTTTATTGCTTGGGCAGGAGAAGCAAAAGGAACCTCAAGAGACGGACCAGACAAACCACTGAGTTCAGTTACAATCAAAAAATACTTAGACGGCGTTAGAGCCTGGCAAATCGTCAAGCATTGCAAGATTCCAACAGCACATCCAGAAGTAGTGAAAACTGATCCACACCCCCCAATCACAGGTCACTGGCAGGCCAGTGCGACCCACTGACGTTGGGAAATTATCAGCTTTATATTGGACAAATATAATACAATTATTAAACCAATGTTAGACTTTTATTAGAGAAAACACAGCCCACAATCACAAGTCACTTGCAGGTCAGTGTGTCCCAAGACTTAAAACTTTTTATCTTTTCTTCAAATTGTATTTAAACTGCCATGAACCAGATTTCAACTAGTAATCAAGATCTTGTAAGTTTTGGGACATATCTTTACCAGTCATGAGAATGATTATGGCTAGGCATTTAAAAAGGATCAATCAAATTTATGCCGATCACTTAAGCGGAACTAGACCCAGATTGCTAGTGATTTGAGGCTGGTACCGCTGAATAGCTCAAATCACTAGAAATCTGAGGCTGGTACTGCTGCATAGATTGGTACCAGCCTCAAATCACTAGCAATTTGAGGCTGGTACCGCTGCACAGATTGGTACCAGCCTCAAATCACCAGCAATTTGAGGCTGGTACCGCCAAACAGATTGAAGGCAGCCTCAGGTCACCAGCGTTTTGAGTCTGGTCGTGGTGGACTGATTTGTACCAGACTCAACAAGAATTCTTCCGCCAAAGCAAAAAGGCATGAAAGATACCAAGTCTTGGGTTCATGTGAATTTTAAAAAGGAAAATAGACAACAAAGTGAGATGTTAATCAGGGATATTTGCTTCAATGATGAAAATAGAATGTGCTGACAGTCATGGCCAATGCAGTTGAAGTGATCATCCATGATATTTCACCTGCATTACAAATTGATAGCTCCCCACCTGAATCTGCTTGTTATTGCTATGTGGCTTGTTTGAAATGACAATGCTTGTGGTAACATCAAGTTTTGAGTGTGTGGTGTACTCTGCCCCAATATAACCATTCTTTTCAAAGTGTCTCAAAGGTGATTGGAATCAATTTTCTTTCTATACACTGTGTCTGGAGCTTCCGGAAAATTTATTCTCAAATAACTGGATCATTTTCAAACATGGTGTGATTGTGATTCATCATGGCTTGGAAGAAGCCACACCTGGAATAGTACTGAAGTGATGACTTACCCTCCCATTCTGATCATAGAAAAAGAAGGTCAGCTGATTATTCATAGGTCTAATATTGAGATGGGTACTGACTTCAATTTAAATTTTTGTGTGCAGAAAGTAGGATTCTGATGATCCGCTCCCCCGCCCAGCTATTCAGATAAGCAGGTAGCACCAGAAGTGTGGAGATGGAGCCTATGTGTTTAGCAAAATGAAAGTTTTAAGTTACTTGAGAAGGACTTCACAATTTCTTGTGATGAGTTTATGCTCACTAGATAATTAATTCAATGAACTTTTTGTAGCTGAATAATAATGTGGGTAATCTTTGCCTACCAAATTCCAGATATTTGTCCAATAACTAATTGTTAATTGCCTAATCTGTTTTCAATAAAAATCCAATGATATCCTCATGTAGTTGGTTGCCCTGGCCTGCCAGTGACCGGTGATTGGGGGCTGTGAGAGCATCAAAACGGAAGGAGGAGGAAAAGGAATTAGTAACAGAAAAGAATCCAGTAATGATCAGACAATTGTTCGACCTCCTAAAACACACTCACGGAAAGTCAGAAACAGAAGAACTGATTGGAATTGTAGGGATTGTGGCCTTCTGGGGGATGGCACGCCTAGGCGAGTTACTTCGTCCATCGGCACTAGAAGGCGCTATTCTGTGTCAACACGTCGAGTTCGGTTCAAGGAATGGAAGCAACTTTGCCAAGCTACACTTGGGAAAGCAAAGACCACATCCCCAGGCAAAGTCCAAGTAATACACCTCCAGCAACAGATGAACGTTTTAGACCCGGTGGTGGCAATAAAAAGGCTGCTCAAAAGAAACCAAGAGGCAGACCCAGAAACACCACTATTCACATCAATGGAAAACAGATCACTGAAACCATTATCTAAACTGAAGTTCTTGAACGCAGTGAAAAAGGTATGGGGTCAACACAGCTTAAAGATGTGGAGCGGCCACTTGTTTTGTGTAGGAAGAGCATCTCTCCGCTTCAACCCAGGAACAAAGATAGAGAAGATTGCGCAACAAGGTCGCTGGAAGTTGAACGCATAACTGATTTACCTGAAAACCTATGAGCAAAAAGATGTGATAGACTCAAGAAAGTTCCTAGAGGCAATAGAGGATAGAGACTGGGCAAAGATGTTGGGATGTTAGTAGGAACAGACACAACTGATTTAGATGAAATGGAATAACATGGAGATGTGAGTGTTAGACCATGTGAGAGAGCTTTGAAAAACCCAGAGACACATGGCACCATGAGAGAGATGAACGGTTAACGTTCAAGCCACAAAAGCAAATGAACATGAGATTGACAAAAGAAAGAAGGTTGGAGAAGGCCCCCAAGTGACCCATTCAGTGACGTACAAGCGTGTGTGGGGTGTGCCAGGGAGGCTCAGGACGCTTGAACGCGCACCTGAGTAAAGAGCACCGTGTCAAAATTCCACAAGCTTGACGTCGAGAACACACCAAGAGTTCTACTTGTGTTTGCCTTGTGTTTCAGTCAAATTCTCCTGTGTTCAGCTGTTTCCGTTCAAGTTGGATACCTTGAGCCACTGTCAGGACTGAGTGTTGTCCTTTGTTAACTGAAGTTTAGACCCACTTGAGCCATTGTTGAGTTGCACATTCATCAAAGGATTAAATCCGTGAATAGAATCTCTATACCAATTTTCGTTTCCATGACATACGCTGATTTTGAAACCTGCTTCTGAACATCACCAGACTTCCAGCTATCCTTCAAGCAGCTCAAGCCATTGATATTCACTGCAACAGATACAATCAATGGGTAGGTATGCTTTCATACTGTGTGCCATTTTATATCATTTCCCAAGACAATGATCTTGTCTTGATTTACAGCACCAAATACATCGCGTTACTGGAAAAAAGGAGCATCGGTTAAATCAGTCAAGTCACTGAACGCCTCGGTTGCAAAGAGTCTTCCAAAACATACCAGTGCGATTGCGAGATCGTTTGCTGCATTCACCCGGTTTTTGCTTGGTTATGAAGAATCAACAAAGACCTATCCAACAAAACCAACCAATCATGAGCTGAGCCTTCTACATACAGCCACCCAGGATGAGATCCTATCCGACCAGCGAATCTTCCTGAATTTAACAGTTGATATGACAGAAAAGACATGGAGTCCATTCAAGGAGTTCTTCATGGCTGATCTCAAGACTTATGGTGTCTCTCGAATGACCTTTGATTGGGATGCAAGGGACACTCGCGGTTGGAATTGTATAGTTGCCGTCCTTGTTGGAAGCATTGGAGGTATGCAAGAGATCACGGTGCATTCAACAAACACTCCGTCAACCCACATCACAACACTATCTCCAACTGCATCGGCTTAGTACTTCGGTGGCTTCGTGGGCGAGCCGAAGACATCCGTCTCAATCGATTGGACTCAGAAAAACTTTGTCGAAAAGAACAGCAACGAAAGAAAAGAGTAGTAAGCTCAGCAAAGATTGAATACCATCATGACCAATTTATTCAGCTCTCATCTGACCAGTCTTTGAAGCTGTTTGCCTACTGACAAGAAACAGTGGAACATAACCTTACAGAGGAAGCAAAGCAGCTTCTTCCGGATTCAGATTGCTGCTCGGACACAGAATGGGATCCTGAAGAGATCAAGTACGAATCTTTAGGTGTGCCATGGCGCAGTCAGCAATATAGCACACTTCTTCATCGTATAGATGATCTATTGTATCATTATAAAGCTTCAGTCACCGGGGCCACTGCAGTGTCTCGACGATTTGATCAGTGTCGTACAAAATCAAAATTGGATAATCCTAAGGCTCCTGTCTGTGTTGGACTTCCAAGAAACTGTTATGACCCTTTGTTCCTTTAAAATCTAGTCGAAGAGGAGCTGGCTGCATTGAAAATGATTCCAGTTTCAGGTTTATTAAATTCTTTACCGGCATTTATAGATTCATTACTAGGAAATTGAAATACGCTGTCTACAAAACAAAATTTCTACATAGACAAAATACATCACTTTGATATTAGACTTCGCACATGTATATATTCCACTATTCTCACGATTTAAATAAGTGTATCGCTCTTTCCTTGTATATGAAATTTCTCTCAATACATAATCAAAAATTTATATCCTCCTTGTTCTCATGTTTTAAAGACTTGTATAAGATTGATCAAAAGTTACAAAAAAAATCATTGTTGAGGGGTTTTGTTCAAAGATGTACCAGTTTGAGTCGATGTCATATCAGCGATAGCCTAAGACATGAGAGGTATGATCAGTCATAATGCAACAATCCTTAAACAAAAGCAAAGACAAACCATACTGCAAAGGCTAACAAAAGAAACAGTTTAATGTTTCATCCTTAGACTATCTGGAGGGTTGATAATCGCACCACAGTGGCCAAATAAGTTCTCAAAGGTCACACATTTGAGCGTGCCCAAGCGATTGTATGCCATAGAGGCTCGGAGACGAGGTAATGATGAATAGGGGCTGCTGGACTTGTCAGTAGCATCAAGCGGCTTGTGAGTCTGAACCACAAAAAAAGGAAGATCACCAGTTTTAGATCGCAGTATATAACATATATACCCAAATTCACTCCTATGATTATCAATATATTCGATGTAGCTATCCCCTTGGTGCCGTTCATATATACTGAACGATTTGCCAGCATGCCGCCATACTTTAGTTTGCTGAAGTTCTTCTCCGACATGTTGGGATGCATCCACATTTGCATTGATGATAGGTGTGATGTGGAGAGTTGGTGTGCATGGTGTCCATTTTGGCTGTGAAGAAGGGTGCAATTCTTCGACTCCCATGTCGGATTTGTACTTTGCAGGCACATTGTCCAACATAGTTCTAAACAAGCCGGTCTGAGTATGTGCTTTGATTAGGGTCTTTCCAATAGATCCTGTAAGAGAGAATATGATCATGATTAGACCCAGGATCTTCCAGCTTATATGTGGCTGAAATTGAAAGCGAACTTACCCGCACTAGGATTTTTGGGCCGTTTGACTAGGCTTCCAATCACACGTTCCCCAGACCAAGCTGCCATGTAAGAAGGTGGTCCAAAGAGTCTACATTGTTGTGGTAGGTGTTGGGCATAATGGAGGTTCGGCTTTGACTTGATCAAGGGCCATACGTCTTGCAAATGTTGGCAATACTGAGAAAGTAGGGCTCCGAGGTCTTTGATATCGGTTTTGCTTAAGACACGCAATACTGATATGGTGATGATTTGAATTGCCAGAATCATGGCTCGATAAATCTTGTGGGAGTGAGATTGTGGTTCTGTCCCTTTTAAATAAGGGACAAGCGAAAATACAACATAAACAGTATAAAGTATAAGCCATTCAGCGGCTTTGGGTGTCCCACAAGTCGGCATGCCAATCTTTGTCGGAACTTGTGTAAGCCAAGTTGGTACCTTTGCATCAGAAATGCTAGTGTGAATGAGTGAAAGCTCGTGAGGGGTGATCGTGGGCCCTTTGGCCTGTATAGTCGATGTTGAGGCATGTGTTTCATGACTAACATTGCTAATGCGAGAAGGTTGACTACGCAGAAGAGAGAATCCGGAAAGGGAGGATCTTGCGGCTCGAGATGGATTTTTGCGGGAGCTTGGCGTAGGGGAAGCGGGGGGTTGATCTAAATCCATGGTCATTGACTGTGTCAGGCTAGGTGGTTGATCCTGGGGGAGTCCGTTAGTGTATATTCCGTTTGTTGCTAAGACGGCCTGCTCAACCTGTAGCTTTTTACCCGCTGCTTGAAATCCAAGATAGGTGGTTGAAAGGTCTTTGAGGAGTCCGAGTATCAAACAATGCATTATGTCAATTGTGGGGAAGATGATTGGCTGCCAATACAGGAGGGCTGAGAATGCAGTGTAGCGCACTCCATTCTTATCTACCATTTCATTTCTGGACTTGAGAGTTTCAGTGTTGAGCCATTTGAGTGCGTGTCGTTTATGAGACACGGGATGCCGACATTTGAAGACGTGGATGTTAAATTCGTTGATATCGTCTATTGTAATGTAGCATTGAGAACAAAAGTTAGTAGATGAATGCGAAGAAAAGCCAGACATCTTCTTCATGGCCGGAATGTTGCCAACTAGAGGCCATAGAGCGACTCGGATAAGCCTCCCTTGTGGGTACTGAGACGTGGAGCTGAATCGGATGCCTTCCCAAAGTTTATTAAGCTCGATTATTAAAGGAGAGATCAGGTGATCTATTTCATTGGCGTTGGGCTCTCTCGGACCAGGAATCATTCCCCAAACAAACATGTTTTGGGCCTTGTATTGAAGATCAGGAGGTAGACTGTAACATATAAGCACGATAAGGCCAGTTGAGTTGTGTCGAGCGCTTGCGTGACCGTACGGATCAAACCAGTCTAAGTAGAATCCAAATACCAAGTTACCGGAAGTTTTGGTGTAGATCTGCCCATTGAGTTTGAACGTCTTCCATACCTTCCCGTGCCAAATGTCCCTGAGAGTTCCATCGGCGGGGGGCGAAGCTGTGAGAGATGCATTGAGAGCAAGCTCAAATGAGGGGAAATGTAGCATTCTAGCAAGCCAATCGGTGAAGCTTTGATGGTAAAATTGTTTGCGCGGCGTGAATTTTGTTGGAGCTGACTTGGGGATCTTGTAAAGAGGCGCACCACAAACAAAACATTTGAGTTTAGGTTGGGAATTAGGGAAGCGAAGGCTGTCACAGATCGAAGGATATGGCATGTTGGGGAGCAGACCGTGATTTGCCAAACAGATTTTGCAACAGACTTCTTCGGTGATATCGACTGCAAGTGAGAAAACTTTGATAACACCTTCAATTGCCGCAGGAATTTCAGTCCATGGAGTCAAACTGGAGCAAGAAATAGTGTTGGAAAGTTGGAAAGTGGTTTTGAACTTCTTCTTTTCCATGGCCAAGGAACAACACAGGAACCGCTCCGCACCACTCGGGATTTTGACCCCCTTCGAGTGCGCAGCGCAGATACCGCTCTGAAACGCTCCGCACTGGGATCGCTATTTTTTTTTTGCAGGGGCTCAAGACGTAGCGGAGCGTGAAAACCGCTCCGCACACGCTATATGGCGCGCTATGCTCAAAACCGCTATATAGTGTTATTGCGCGCTATATAGCGCGCAATAATAACTTTTCCTTGTGTGTTGGGCTTTGCTCTTGGTTGAAGTTGAGCCGTCTTGTTCTTGTTCTTGGTTGATGATGTTGGATCAGGAGGCCGAGGCAAAGCTGGTTGTTTAGCAAGAGGTCCTGTGGTGACTGAGTCGTCCTCATCCTCATGAGCTGAAAGAGCCGTACGTGAGTCTTTGGGTGGTACGATAAACCCCGGTTTGGGACGAGAAGGACTGGGGGGACGGAGTTGTCGGGCAGTGGTTTTACCAGGAACCTGGAGTGTACTACTCAAACTCTGGGAAGAGCTTTTGGTGGGTGCCATCGATTGGAGTAGATGAATCAAATAGGAGGAAACAAAGAAGGATATATAAAGAGAGAAACGGTAGGGTCAATGTCATGTGAGTCAGTCTGGTTCTGAATCGGAAAAAGACTGACCATAACCAAACTAGAACACGATGTATTGAACGATGAGGTAAACCACAGGTCAGCCGAAGTCGACGATGTTGCCAGGGATGGTACATCGTTTTGATAATAGGCTTAGCACCTTTCGAATGGAGTGTTGGCGTCCAGATACGATTGAATGGAGGGTGGATCAATTGGTTGGATGTGGTGGGGGGAAGTAAGCTGTATCAGCTTGTACAGTGACCCTTCCTCCCCCCTGGGTACAGGGCTGTTGCTCCGCAATATAGCGGTGAACCAGTGGCCCCGAGCCAGAGCGGAGCGTTGGCTCCGCTCTGGAAATTTTGAGCCCCGACGAGCGGTCCGCAGGCTCCGCCAAAAATTGGCGTGCGGGTAGCGCAGCAAAAAACGCTCCGCAACCGCTCCGCAACCACTATATGTTGCGGAGCGGTTCCGGTATTGCAAGGAATTTCAACAGCTTTGATGTGACTTGTGATTTGTTGGGTAGTCATTAAGCACATGGAACATTGCTTGAATCGACATAGGATGTTGAAGAAAAGTAATCGGGATTTTAAATTTTGATGTTGAAAGCGTGAGCACAGCGTTCGTTGGCTCTGGATTCAGTGGCACAGTCAATATCGGTGGCCCCATCAAACATGGGTTTTTGTTGGAAGGCCAAGTCATTGGGTTTTTTGAACAAACAGGTTGAGATTGTTGTTCAGGTGTACTTGATCGCTGTGGTTTTCCGCCCTTCTGAGAAGTGATTAAAGATAAATTTGATAAATAAGTAATCGGAATCTTCCTTTTCCAAAAAGTTTTTTTGTACTCACGGCAACGGCACCCGTCAAGTCTCCCATCAAGTTTACATCTTGTTTTTCCAAGTCTGAAGAATTTTCAAGAGCTACTTGTGAGGTCTCCGCGGCCTTTTTTGATGACACAAGATGTTTCTTGTAGTTTGTTCGATGAAAGATTACGCCAGGATGAACTTCGCCGTCCCTTTCAAGATGCTGCTCAATACAGCCAAGGGCGACACATGTACATGCGATGTGATCTCGTCCGAAGTGGGCCATTGACCAGTGAGGTGAGTTGAGTGAAATCTTTGTGATGAATGTGTTCTGTGGCTATGGTGTCAGTTTGATAATTTGATATCTATATCAAGCCAAACACAACCAAAACAGGGCATATCTTTACAGATGTGACATGTATGTGTGACATCCCCAAGCAATACATGTCATCAGTTTTTGGACTTCTCTCACCCTGAAGAGAAAACCCTGCTCTCTTCCACAGAATTGGCTCAGCGGGTTCTCTTTGCTCTCTAATCAAGGGCAGGATCAGATCTTGCACAAAGTGTTTTCAGGGAACAGCAAAATAGAAATCAATTGATATTTATAAACAAAAAAGGAAATTATAAACACACTATATACAAACATGAGATAATCATGCCAATTTGACCACGTGAAATAGTTTCATACACGCAATGAAATATAAAACAGGGATTGAAATTGAAACTTATTTATACAAAACTTTCTAAACACAATGAAATATCAAAATGGGAACGGCTTGAAATTTGTATACATTCAGAGCAATGATCAACTAGATTATAAATACCAATCTTGTCTACCTTTATATCTCCATTTGAGTAGACCCAGACCCAGATGCTTGTGTCCCAGCTGTGGTGTTTTGAGTTGCAGGACCAACATTCCCCATACCCAAGCCACCAGGTGTCAGCATCCTACTTACCTCTTGAACCGATTTGAGAATATCAAAGCCATTGGTGGACTTGAGTTCCAAATTCACAATCGCAACACCTTGAACCGTCTGAAGCCAATTCGCAGAGACCAGTGATTGTTCATACCCTTTTGGCGGAAAAGATTCTTGATCGGGTGTTGATGAGTAAGTCTCTCGATCAACCAGCTGCTTAGCAGCGCGCCTTTTCTTTGGAATGATCTCCTTTGCCTCAATATTTTTGTCTATTAATTCAATAAAAGCGTTGAGTCCTGCACTTCGCCATTGTAGTCGGACCTTGTTTTGACTGCCATGCGAGCCAAGACCTTTGATTTCGTCTTCAGAATGAACCTCGGAATGTGATAGCATCAAAGCTTCTTGGGAGCCTTCTCCAAAAAGCTTTGCTACCATACTTTGACGTGCCTTTACAAGCTGAACAATACAATGTGTGTTAGCAACTCATACATGCTCAACCTAAAATGATATACACTTTGTTCCAAAATTACATTCATACCTTTAATTTTCTGTTTCTCCTGCAAAGCATGCTCTTTGATATAGCCTCATTTTCTTGAACCTTCTTTCTACCATCTTCGCTCTCCATAAGCTTCGTTCTCTTTATCTGACTCTCGAATTTTGAAGCTTTGTTTACAAACCATCGCCTGATTATTTCATCACGATTGGCCAGACTGTTTTCTCTTGCCAAGATCCCAAAACTCCGTGCCCCATTTGCGTTAAAACACTTAGCCCACTCCTGTTGAATAATTGCTGACATTGCTAAGTTCCACGGCAAATCGTAACTTGCTTGCCAATCAAAAGTACAGCGCGGAAATCCTGCTCGAGCAAGCGCACCCTCACAACTAATGGCCCAAGACATTGCATAAGAATTTTGAGAAGCAAAGACAAGGCGGGAAGTGAATTGTACAGGTCTTAAAGGCTTTGAAGCAAGTGCCATTTCAGCTGCGTCTTTTTCTACCGTTCTGATTTGAGTGCGATTGGGTACAAAACCGGGAGGTTTTCTGGCGAGGTATTTCGTTTTGGCTTTCTCCATTGCGGTTTCAATCAAAACTTGACGGTTACTTTCACAAGTTGTCCAGTTGCGCAATTCATCTTCATTTGGTGGATCAGGAAGAGTTGGACCACCATCAAAGGACCCTGATGATGATGATGATGAGCTAGACTTTTGAGGAACACCCATCATCATCCGAGTATATTTGTATAGTGCTCTAGCTAGTGGAGTGGCTGCTTTAGGAGTAGGATGAGCGCCGGACGTCTTCCCAATGACCACATTTCGCTTGCGAATTGACGATTGTTCCGCGAGAAAAGCTGCACGTGTTTGTTTCCGTGCTTCTACATCGCTCAATGAAAGTTCTCCATCTGAAGAAAAGCACCAGTTGTTGAATGAGTTCTAGACAAAAGAGAAGGAACTACTTAAAAAATGAAAACAAACCAGTATCCAGGTCACTTTCCATGTCATCTTCTCCAAGACCGTCTTCCTGTTCCTCTTCATTCAACCTCCTTTTCTTTGAACCTGAATCCGTGGCTGTCAAACACAAATACTGGATCAGCAAGTTTGTTGACTGATAAAGATACATAGAATTTCAACTCACTAGCATCATTGTTTGAGTTGTTTGGAGAAACTTGAGTGTTTCGAACAGTCGCTTGAGTTGAAGTTTCCATGATTTAGTATTCGGTTTGGCAATATATAAGAAGCGCTCCAAGAACGACTTGAAAAATTTAGATAGATAGATGTTGGTTTAGAGATTTGTAAGAAAAAGTCTCAAGATCAACTTGAGCAGAGTAGATAGAGAGATAAAGAGTATATGAATAAGAAAAGATCCCAAGATCAACTTGAGCGAAGTAGGATGGTTAAGTAACTGTAGGAGATGTAAGAAGATGATTTAGCAAGCAATGGTTTAGTTTGAAGTTCAAAAAATCGTTCAACGATCTATTGATCTCAGAGAAAAACAGGCAAGCAAGAGAAAAAGAAAACACTGAATACTTGGTAAAGTTTTGAAGTTCAAAATTAAATCAAACAAGCAAGCAATCTCAGTCACTAGAGGATCAATATATAACATAGATGGATTGATCACTCACCTCCAGCAACGCCGCCACGATACGATACTTGGTAAAGTATCGAGGATACTAGGTATAGTATCTGTTTCAGGATACCACCTCAGGCAGAATCCAGTACAGTACCGCCCGTTCGGATACAATACCAGATACGGTACCGTTTATCAGGGTACTATGGGCGGACACTTTGAGTATAGTACCCTCGATACCGGGTACGATACCGATACGTATCGTGGTATCGGAGTAATGGTAGATACTGTACAATACTGGCAAAGTATCGGGTATCTTTGTTAAAATAACCGAGCCACAAACATTCATTCCGCATAACGAGGCAAGAGAAGAGTGATAAGAAGTAAAGAAAAGATGAGGAAACAAATATGGCTCTCAGAGCCGATTTCGTAAACAACTTGTGTTTGACAAGATAAGAAAAAAAACAAAAAATTCAAAAAGAAAAGAACAAAGGAGAAAAGTAAATCAAGCAAAATTACTAATACTATCACCCCCCTCCTCTTTTGGTGTGACTTATCCAAGGCACTAGAGTGGGCCATACACAATTGACACTCCTCAAAGTCCAAACCTTGAATCGCAATGCCCTCCTTAGACCAGATGCGAGCCCCAACTGACTGTTCCACCGTTGATGGTTTCAAAGCCCCTCGATCACGGCTGCAGACATCTGCAGCTGCGGAGAACGTCCTCTCCACAGCTCACGATGATCCACAGACTGCCAGATAGTCTTTTGCAAGGGATGATAAAACTGGATACCTTGAAGCATTGACCTGGGCGACAGGAAATCAAAATACCATCAGTACTTAATGTGAGAAGAAATGGTGATAAATATTAATGATCAGTATATTGTTACCTTCCACCATTCTAAAGCAAGATGTGGATCCCTCTCTACGGCTTTAGATGGCTCATCAACACGCTCGAAATAGTTGCTGAGCTCATTTTCAGTGCGTGTCTGCAATTTCTTTCTATGTGCCCTAAATCCATCTTCATCTTCATCTTCTTCATTAGACTCACCACTGTGCCCTTCATTATTCTTGCCCGAGTTCAGTTTACTTTGTCTAATGTCAAAAGCTGTTTCTATTAAAGCTTGAGCTGATATGAATTCGTCTGAGTTTTTGCCAAAAGCAAACTGAAAGTAGTCGGTTCGCCAGGAGGGATGTAGAACAGTGGCTAGGACTAGGACATTGGATTGAAGGGCTTCAGCTAGATATGCCTTGACTCTAGCATGCATGGCGTGATACATCGGGAATAGAGGGTCGGCTCGGGATTTGCACGCGTCGATCTTAGCTTGAAGAGACTTCTTCAACTTGACGTATTCCCAAATAACCAGTGAACCAGTCGGAGCATCGGCTTCGAAAACCTTGGTTAAAGATTCAAAATCCTTAAGCGAGGAAAGGATCAGTCAGTGTCAGCGTAAGGAGATGATTCAAATGAAAAAACTCACTCGGAGTATCTTAATAAGTTGACCAACTTGCTTCCATTGGTCTGGCGAAACGTGAGCTTTGTTGAATATGCCACGGGGTTGAGCGGTCTCAGGATCACTTGGTCCTACTTCGGGTCTTCGATTCTTGCTTTTGGTCTTTGTGACCTCCTTCTGATCATCTTTGAGCATCCTATCGATAACCTGCAATTTATTATATAGATCAAAATAATAATTTAGAACATGATGTAGATGAAATTATAAATTTAGGACATACTAAACTTACTTCTTGAGCATTGAATAGCCTTTCCCAACATTGGAGTTTGATGTTCCATCGAATTCCATAACCTGGAATAGGTCGAGGAAACTTGACACCCATACTATTGCAAGTTGCATCGAAGACAGCCAACATCCTAGAAGATCCTCCAATTTTTCGAGCTATTTCATCCAGCTGAAGAGATAACAGATCAGTGATTAGAAAAGAAAAGAATTAGATTGATTAAAACATATGACACTTACCTGAAGTGTCAATAGATAAACAGCATTCAATTCATTGCAATTGGTGGAAGGCTGATCTGGGGCAAGGTCAAACGGACCATCTAAAACATTATACCATTGTTCACCAACCTCTTTTGCAGCTATATCAGTGAGTTCCACCTCATCATCCGATTCCGCATCGATTACATCATTTTGATTTTCATTTTCATTTTCAGGTACATGTTCTTCTTCCTCTTCTAAAATCGAAGGCATAGCGTGTTCGTCCAAAGGGGAGTCACCAAGGATGGTTGACTTGACAAGAGGAGGCGGCGGGCCTTTGATTCCTAACGCTTGAAGTCCTCCGTTCACAATTAAGGCAATTTTATGCCCTGCGCATCTTACTCGATCACATCTCTCGTCAAAATCAAAGTGTTTGTAGTTGTCTTCGGCAATTTTTGAAAGTCGCGCTTGCATAGCACGAGCGCAGGTATCATTATTACTGCCAGAATCGTGAGTCTGGGAAATCATGTGTGATTGGAAATCGTGTATATGTCAGCCTTAGTTAAAAAGTAAAGAAAGAAATGAACGATTTGAACAGATGAAAAGGAATGTTACTTATCTTGGGGTACAACTTGTGTTTAGCAAGCACATTAATCAATGGCTCTGCTAACCACTCGCCTTTGTGGTGCCAGGCGATCATCTTCATCGAAAGATGTCTAGTCACATATTTCCACTGATCGTTGATGTAGGTTACCGACGCCGATATAAAACCATACTTGTTTCGGGGTGAAGTCCACGGATTGAGAATGAGGCCAAATTTGGAGTTATTGGCCTATTGAGAACAAAAAAAAATAAACAAAATACCCGTTAATCATTATATGAAAAGACTAAAAAAAGACTAAACGTACTTGTAATTCCGATATCACAGAAGAGCGCATCCCAAGATATGCCTTGTGAGCAAAAGAAGCTAACCAAGTCCGTCCAAAGAGCTGAGCAGTTGGATTTGTGTATCGAAAGCAGGCCCAAAGAGCCTCATCTTCAATCCTCGCCCAGGGCTGTGCTGTTCTCACAGCCCACAAACCTACCATTTGGTTCAAGATCGTGTTCGAGAAGCGAGACCCACCTTTTTGAACATATAGATCGATGGAAGTCTGGACATTGGAAGTCGTTTGTTGTTGTTGACGTTTCTGTTCGCGTTTCTCAGCAACCGTTGGGGGCAGTTTACAGCCAGCTGCAAGGGCCAAATGCCTCTTCTTGCAGCCTGGTCGTCCGGATTTGCCGGGTTGTTTCGAACCGTCCCTATGGGCCAACATGTTCGTAGGCAAGCTTCCACCTCCACGAACATGTTCGCCACACCATTTGCAGTTGTACAAATTCCAAGGGCCGTCGTTGGGCTACAGAAGCAAGTTCCACATGGGTTAGCTACCAGATGAATAGTCGAAGTAAAGAAATCAAATGACTTACATCATTTCCGCCCTGGTAAGCTTCTCCGAAATAATCTTTGATACGGTCGTAGATTGATTTGGCCTGATCATCCTGTTTAGATTTCTTGCCAGATTCGAATTTGGCGTGCTCATCCTCGGAGTCCTGAGTTAAGTTGACCTCAATTCGTTTTCGCTTGGGAGACTTCGACAAGGAATTTCCCTAAACAATGATCATCGAGTTTAATTTGTCAGTTATTAGGTTTAAACCTTGACCTTGATTTTGACGAGAACAATTGGAATATTAGAGGCCAGTACATACCATGTCCTGAACTTGAGCATCCTTCAGCGTCACCATCGTAGTCTTCTTAGGGCGCTTTGAGGTAATACTTTTCCTATTAGTAGTAGTACGATGTCAATTGGTTTTTTTTTGTTGGAATCGCGTTGTGCGGCTGGGGTATCTGACTGAGATGCCTCTGATTCAGATTCTTGGGTTCGACAGCGCTTACCCTTATTCTTCTCGACAATATCAACGGAGACATCGGAGTTGGATTGAATGATTGACTTTTGAGCAGATTCTGCGGTTCGACCTCACTTTCTATTGGTCACTACTAAATCCACTGAGGCCTCGGAGTCGGATGGTACAATGGATCTTCGAGAGTCGGCAGGAGGAATAGTCATTGACGAAGGGCGGCGAAGTGGTGTAATTTGGGTGCTGTGTCGACGGGGTGGATTGTTGGAAGGCTCATCATGGTCTGGTTGAACCTGAGCCTGTACGGTAGAGGATGGTTCATCAGAAGTCGGGACAGGGGTAGTTTGTCGATTAGAAGCAACGCCTAGGGCCATATTGGAACCCGCAGTTGAAACTGGAGGATTGTGATACTGAGATGGGGTATTGGAAAAAGGAAAAGCAAGTGAAGATGATGATAAAAAAGTAATCGAATTGAGAAGATGATCAGATAGAGTGAACTTTGCTTTGGAAAGAGATATACGAAATAGTGACTTACTAGGACCTTGAAACTGTCAAATAAAGGCACCATAGCGTCCTCCATCACTACGTAAGGCGCTAAAAACGGTCGAGCCCATGAGGTTAGACGTCCCATGATGGAACGTCGACCGAAATGGAAGTCGAATGAACTAGATGATACTGAACCGGAAGGGAGAAGCAAGGGGTGTGGAGGTGTGAATAGGTGTGAATTGAAATAAGGTATAAGTCAAAGTGAAATCCGGTGTCGGAGGTAACTTATAAGTCAATACATGTCGATACTGAAAGAAACCGTCAGATACTGGGGTACTGCCCGAGTGCCTGACCGGTAAAGTATCGGCATCCGCGGTACTTTACCGGATACGGTATTGGGTCACAGGATACCTGACCTGGACCTGGCGAGTACAGTATTGCCGATACCGATACTAAGTATCGGTGGCTGGATACTGTACTGAAACTCACGATACCAATACTTTACTGAGAATGGTAAAGTAAAGGTGGCGGCGTTGCCTCCAGTAGCCAGACCGTGCTGCCAATTCACCTTGAATGCATCTTACAATGGCCGAGTAGAAAGAAGAGCCTTTGAAGCACTTATGTTTACGTGTTGTGCCTCACCTTTGTGCGCTCATAACCGAGATGCACCTTGACCTGACAAATAAACGGTCAAAGACCCACGTTGGAATTGCATAAAGGACATACCGTTTTGATAAATCAAACCCAAAAGATCAAAAACGAAAACAAAGAGGGTGAAGTCCCACTGCATATACATACAATCACTGGTGTAAAACAAGGAGGACTTTTTTCGAAGAGATACAGTAAAGCCCAAATACAGTACAGACACAATGAACCAAATGGATTCGATGAAATCCAATCTAATCTAATTATCCAATCGTAATACTATCACATAATCATCAGGCAAACTTCAGTTTTGTTTAGTTACGAGAGGCACAGTCATTTTGGCTGAGGGATATCAGCACATGTTCATGTTGACTGAGAGATCTCCCGAGCCTCAGGAAGGGTAAGCTTGAGACTCTAAGCAGGACACTTTTTGGAGTGATCCCAAAGAGATTTGTAAACACATACGTGTGTTCTCGACGCCAAGCTAGTGAAATTTTGACACGGTGGAGGGAACCGGGCGCACACACATGCCAGAGAGGCAGGCCAAGCTAGGTGGGCGGGAGGGGCTCGGAAGGAGGTCCCCAGCCTGGTGAAACTGGTTCCTGAAAACTAAGTTTCATCTCCGGTTGGTTTGAGAAAACCAAACCCGGGCCGGGGCCCCACTTCCCCAACCGGCACAATCCTGACTAGATAGTAAGGATCACGACTCCCTAAGGGCCGACGTTAGACATCTAAAGGTCTAAACACGGACGTGACAAACATACCCAATTGGGTCTATAGTACTCTACTCAAGCCTAGTAGCAAGTAGAGAATGGATAACATGGTTCCCCAGTAATGGTTGCCAAATTGGTAAGTGGTGACAATACCTTGATGGTTTGAAGCATGGGCCAACTCAACCACCAGAGGTCTGGTTTGATTGAGTCAGAATACTTGCTTCATAGTACCGGAGATTTGGAAATACTTGGGAACAAATTCCATGCGGGACATGGTCAGGGATTGAAATGATGAATAATGTTGTGAGGGTGTTGGTGATACCTAAGACAATCAAGGCTGTTGGGGGCAAGTTTGCTGGGGGCAGGAGCTCAAGGCAATTGATCAGCCTTTCCTCTGAGCAGCAGATATCTTGAGAGGCCCAAAAATTGTTGTGATGGCAACTTGCATAAAAATGAACTAAACATGGAAGTGAACCAGAGCTTAAATGCATAGATGGCAATGACGGAAATTCAATAGATAGAGATTCTAGTGAGATAATGCCTTGTAATAGGGTTTTCAAGGACTCGTAATTGGGAGTCTTGTCTGAATCAGACAAGCCATGTATGGCTCAGGTTTGAAGGTTTGTAACACCTTGAATCACATTTGAAACCATGGGTGAGAAGCCACCAATTGTCAATGTAACGTAATTTCAAGTGGATTAAAGTGTTGGCGCATAAGGAGATAATCAAAGCAGCACAGTCTGGCAAGATTGTGTTGGGGTATGACCACATGTCACATGTTGAGACAATGCAGGGAACTGATGTAGGCAAAGGCATTGAGTACCACATGCGGTCGAGATGCAGATCAGTGATACTCTTGGGATAGCCAGTGATCATAGAGCAGGTTTTCCACATATCAATAAGAGATTTAAGCATAGACTCACGAGTCGAATATAATGACTGGAAGACAAGGGAAACCACGGCTCTGTTCCAGCATTGACCCAATGAATGTAGTTGGAGAAGTCACATAACAGAGTTGTGTTGGAAAAATAGAGTATCACTGCAATTGTTGTAGTTGGGCCGCACAACCAGGATTTCCGTAATAACTTGGTTGAGAATCAAATTCACAACTTTGACCGGCAATTCTTCTGGGCAAGGCATGAGAGGGATCCACAACAGGTTTATAGACTTATTTGGTCTGGTGTGGAGTGAGTTGTTTGTATGAATAGGCAAGGCAAATGTGTAAGATGAGATTATATTGAATCAAGTGGCTGTGGTATTGTACTTACAGTATTTTGAGAGCCAAGGAAAGTGTGACACACAGGGGTAAAGTTACAAGAGATTGACGACAGCAAAATGAGGATCTCAAAGGAATGATAATCAGCACGTATATACAGAAATGAGTAGAAATGACTTGGGCATAGAAATTTTGTTTGTTGTATTGGTATATCTGTGGGCAGAATGGGGAGTCTGAATATCAAATTGGCAGGGAATGTTGCCGTGACAGATATTATCAATTCCAGTATTTACAAAGGATGGTAATCTAGCTCACAAATCGGACGGATTTGATGTTAAAGATGGGTGGTTTTTCTTTCCCAATTTGGGTGTTGTGGTGGATTTTGGGTCAGTGGATGGGTTTGTGACAATGCTTTACCCTGGTAATCGTGAGCGAAATTGTACTCTACCATCTATAGAACCCAGTATATTTACAAGACTCAGTTCATCAGTCCAAATTAGCAAAAGACTTGTTGAGAGGGTAGCTAATCCCAAGACTTTGAATAAATATGGTGAAGTGAAGCATGTTGGTAGTGCTAGTTATTTGTTTGTGAAGTACACAGGAAGCTTGAAAAAAAGATGTTTTTCTTTTCATATATTATCAATTTCAATACAAAATTCCTTCCGATTTCTTTCTTTTTGTCAAAATTGATGATATGAAGTTCCAACTACAACTTAGCAATGGAAATTTTTGTAGAAGGGTTTTAAAACTTTCTCCTTACTCTTTTCTTCAAGAGTCGTGTAAAATTTTGGTTGTATACCATCTTTCCATCCTTAGGATCCATCTTGTGATGAGGATGGAAGCCTGAGCATAGGTAAATCAGTCTCAGAAGGACAATGTATTAAACAAGAGGCAGAGAGGTTAAGGGATGTGTTCTCATTTCAGGTGGAGGACCATTCTCAAGTCTTACTACTCAAAAACAAATTGCATTACATAAGAGAAAACAGTTAAGACAAATTCTCAAGCTCAACAGAATTTGCTTCACAAGCACCGGTACAATAAAGATGGGCAGCCAGACTTCCAGCCTACATTGGAGATGTATTTATCAACTTTATTTTATGATCAAACAAGAGAATATGTAAACTCATACAATTATAGCAGGTAAAGGTGAGAGTACCACAACCAGATTGGAAAATGGGTATCAAAAAACTATACTTCCATAGATTATACTGGTACCAATTTCACTAAATAAGAATTTCAATTGGTATTCCACTATTGTGTATGATTAAAAAGTAAGCTTACCATCCCAATTCGATGATGGAGTTGAGTACAAAGCATTGGGAACCAAAAGCAAGGGTGGAAATCACTTCACTGTGTGCATTTCAAAAATTGATCAAATGATGAGTAATGTCATAATTTTGCTTAACAGAATCTTGAACACTGACAAGATGGAACTGAACATGAGAGAGCTTAATAAAGGTTTCTTGCTTTGGCAGTCTGCTTGATGCCTTATCTCATACTCTGCACAGTTTACAAAACCAATGATGAATCCAAATAGCACTTCCCACAAGAAAACGCTGCAGCTTATTGACAACATGAGTGAACAGTGTATCACCTATGTTTGATGGAAACAGAGGAAGATCACTTACTCTATAAGGGAATCTCTCGACCCTAAAAACGTCACTCCAATTCTTGCTGGGCCTTGCATGAACATTGAGTAGGCATCTTGGCTGCTGTCTTCTAGTGATGGTATAGTTATATGAAGATGGAAAAGGATTACACTTATTGCTGCAATTGCCCCAAGGATCTGTGATCCTAGGTATGGGAGCACATGTCCAGCAGGAGACCGGTCCAAAACCTGCATTATCATTCAGATGGTCAGTAACTAGAAACCAGATGAAAGATGATGAAATGAACCTCACCAAAAGACTAAGAGAAACACCGGCATCCATGTGAAGATCATGGCCCACTAGTTTAGCAATTTGACCTAATAACAACACGCGTAATCTATAATGCCAATGTGAGCAGCTTGAAAATATGAAGCTCAGAACCAAAAAGAAATTTTAATCTTACCCAGATAGAATTGCAAGATTCAGGTGACCATTGGCCACTGGATGGACCTGTTCCAAGGACGCAATGAAAGAATCTACAAAGGAGTAAGATGTCAGTGTTCAGCTGGGCCTGAATCAAAACACAAATAAAACAATATGTACCTTTGACCATAGCCTTACTGATCCAAACATAGAAGAATGTTGATATAAATTCCAAAAGACAGCCAACCACAAGTTTAGGCACGGATAGTGGGTTCCATGATGTGAAAATAGTAGTAATATAATTCATTGGATGTCTATCTGAATTGGTTCGAGCTATAACTGCAGCCTCTAAGGGGTATGAGGTCATTGATTAAATGAAAGGAAGAATTGTAAAACAATAAAAAAGATATTGGTAAGGACTGGAAAAATGAGATTTCAATACATCTATTCAAGGCTATTTAGGTGAAATATTCGACTGCTTTTAGACCATTGGCTTCATAGATGTTACATTTTGGCAATTCATTTTAGGTTCACTGTTCAGGTCACTTAAGATTTTGGACCCAGTTCACTGTTGAGAATTGTGAATTATCAATCAGGACAAGTTGTGGATCATTGATTAAAAAAAGTAAGCAGCTCAACTGGAAATCTTCAATGGCGGGTTCAGGTCTCTTGCCAGGATACAATCAACTTGTGGTTCCTGGCATGATCAGGATCCTCTTTGCATTAATGTATCACTTACTTACATCAGCCATCTTTTGACTCAGATTGGTAATCAATGAATCTGACCAGCCATATGATCTCACACTGGTATATATCCTGCCAGGAATCTCTTTTCGATAATGCTTTCTTCACTCAGCTCTATCCAATCTTTATTTTGTAACACCCCTCCCTCATAACTACCTATAGACTATTCACAATGAACCTGAACTACCTCACCAAATTTCTAGGTTGTTTTCTTTACACATTCTTGCTTGAAACAATCAAGATTTCTGGTAACCTCCATTGGTCACTTAATGTATTCATAAACTTTCTCTCAACTATCATCTTTTAACTTTCACTTACCTTTTCTTCTCTTCCGCAACCCCCTTTCAAAAGTTGACAGTCACCTACATGTAAGTCTTTTCTTTCCATTTCTCAGTTGATCTGATCTTGAGCTAAAATATACCTTGCCATTGTCTTTGAAAGCTATATTTTCGGAGTTGCTTCAGTGTTTTCAATTCTCCTAGGTGACCTAATGCCGCGTGAGTTTTCTTTATGAGACGCTTGCGTAATTTGCCTTCATGAGGGATTAGCAAATGCCTGTCAATATAAATCAACCCTTCTTGCCACTCCGTGCCTTCTCGTAGCGGTAGGGTCTTATCAACTTTCACACAGAATGGATCCCTGGAATAGCCAGTCTTGATGTCTGCCATGGTATGGTCGTCGAGTACAGAGTCTACCTGAATTGCTGCTACTTCGTCTATCCGTGATAAGGCGTCGGCAAAGGTGTTGTCTTCTCCTTTTACATAGTTGAATTCTAAGTCAAATTGAGATAATGTCTCGAGCCATCTTGCCTGCCTTCGACTAATTTTCCGTTGAGTTAGTAAGTGAGTCAATGAGTGATGATCCAACATAATGTTAATCTTGAGTCCTAATAGTAACATCTTCCACTTCTGCAACACATTCACTACTGCCAGTAACTCTTGTTCGTGGACGGGATAGTTGCGTTCCGCTGGTGTCATTGTATGACTCTCGTATGCAATTGGCAACAACGTATCCCATTCCTTACCTTGGAAGAGAGCTGCACCGAGTCCATGGCCACTTGCGTCCGTGAATAGCCATATGGGGTCAGATGAATCATAGTCAATTTGCTTAAGGACTGGTAATGTGGTGATGATCCGTTTGATATTTTCAAATGCTTCATCTTTGGTACCCCACTGAAAAGGTAATACTTTCTTCTTTGTGCTTGTTAGTGGTGATAAGGTACCTATGTAATGTGCCAATCCGTCGATGAATTTTTTCAAGAATTGAACTGTGCCTAAGAATTTCAATGATTGTTTCTGAGTTGTAGGTGTCTTCCATTTTGCAATTTTCTCAGTCTTTGCTTCATCAGGACACACTGCTTCACCACTAATCTCGTGGCCTAAAAAGTTGATTGATGTTCGAAAGAGCTTGCTCTTCTTTGGTGAACAATACAGTTTAGCTGCCTGCAGTTGTCTTAAAACTTCCCTGACATGTAACTCATGCTCCTCCACCATCTTTGAAAATACTACCACATCATCTATAAAAACTACACAATAATTCCCAATTATGTCACCTAATGCTTCTTCCACCCTGCTTTGATGCGTGGCTCGTCCATTCGTCAACCCCATTGCCATCACTGTCCACTCAAAAAGGCCAAATGGTGTCTTGACCGCTGTCAACGGAATATCTTCTTCATGCATCCTAGTCTGGAAGAATGAGTTCATCTGGTCAATTATGGAGAATATTTTCCCAGTACTAACCAATCGGACTGACTCATCCACATTTGGAAGTGGTGACCTGTCCTTCAGGGTATGTTTGTTCAATATTCAGTAATCACAAACCCAGCGTGGTAAGGCATTTGGATCCTTCTTTGGAATGATCATGGACGGGGATGCATATTGACTTGTTGATTTTTGTATGCGTCCTGCTTTCAAATGCTGAGTTATCAGCTTTTGCCATGCGGTCAGATATTTAGGCGGGTAGTTGAACTGCTTTTCATTGATCACCACATCTGGGTTTGTCAGAACAATCTTGTGAGTGACTTTTGAGGATTTATTCTGCCCTTCAGGCGGAATAAAATCATCTTCCTCTTGATTCTCAACGTCCGGCAATTCTTCTGGAAACAAACCCCAAAAAATTCTTGCAGCACTTGCTCTTCTCGTGCTGACAGATCACGTGTGCTTTGCACTCTTTCAAGGTTATGAATTACGCAAGATACCATTGCATTCCTCATTGAATCTTTGATCTCTTTCTTTGCTGACTCTTCTAATAGCACAGTATGACTAGGTACATGTGTGACTGAGCGATTATGAAGGGAGACGTCGAGATGATACTTTTCAAGAAATGGTGTGCCAAGAATCACATCGTAACTATCTCCTAAAGGTGCAATTCTGAAGAACGTCAATCCAAAACAATGTTTAGGATCCGCTGAGCTAACATTAGCAAAACAGAACTCCTTGATGACATGTGGTGTGTTGTTTGAGGAGATAGCCAGACTCACCTCAATGGGTGTCACGAGTTGTCTACGCGGTATTTGAGCCTTCCTTGTTGCCCGTTCTGACATCAGATTTGCTTTGGCTGCTGAGTCTATCAAAGCGCGCATGTGAATGCCGTTAATTATTGATTGCAGGATAATTGACTTAGTCCGCTTGGTATCTTCAACACACCCTGACATTTCCTCCTGCATGTGACCTACCAGTATTCAATCAGCTTCTTCATATCATTCAATCTCTTTTTCTGATAAATTTAGTGCATAGCTGTTCATACTGTTCTCTGACATTGCCTTGATTGAGACTGATGTTGGCAGTCTTCCTGCTGGCTTGCTTGTTGGTGTACCCACTGGTGGAACTTGTCGAACATTCGTAGAAGTTGTTGGTTGACCAGTATGGCGTTGTGGTCTTGGTCCAGGGTCAAAGACAGTCAATGGCGGCAAAGCAATGTAGGGTCCTCAAATGGGGCCTTGACAGTTAGGGTTTCCGCATTTAGTACGACAAGCTGAACAAATGCCGAGGTGCCTGAGGTACTGGTGGAAGTGCCACACATAATCCGCTTGTTGTTCAGTAGTGCGGCAATCAGGTGCAGGTTGTACTTGGCTTTGCTGATTTGTTCTAGCTGCTGGCGTGATGTACGTTTGGTTAGGTTGATTTCCACTGTGGCAAGGCAATAAATTACTCGATTGTAGCAATAGCCAAATTTTGGAGGCTGTGGCTATAAACTCGAACCATTTGAAACTTTCTACCTTGAGCAATTGCCTGTCGGTTACCCAACGTTGAAAGACATCTGGTGTGCCCCATACTACATACTCAGCGAGGTTTTTGATCATGATCGAGCTTTCTACTTTGATAAGGGCGTAAAGATCTTGAGCGCGGTTTGCGTACGCTTTAAAATCTTCCGAAGGTTTCCACTTGATTTGTCTGATTGCCTTCTTGGTGTCATACATCCACCCTATAGGTAATGTACAAAGTGTGCATGATTTCGGTCCAAGATAATTCCACCAGTTCACTCTCCGCTCTTTGAAGCCAGTTTCCCACGCAAGGTTCTATGACGATTGTGCCTAAGATGATGAGCCGTTCTTTGATATTGTCTAATCGTTTTAAATTAAAAATTGCTCTACTAAGCGTCTCCAGTTGAATAAGGCTGACGGGTCCTTAGCAGGGCCTGTGAACTTTGGTGCCTCTGACAGCTTGATGTCCCCTGCTGGTACAGCTGCGTCTCTTGGTGGTGCGGATGGTATCGTTGGCTCAGGATTGCCGCGAGATGCGTTTGGTCAATTGTCAGTGTGTATGAACAATACTTGACGAGCGGTGTCCTCCGCTATCTCCGTTTCTCGTTCTGGCCATGTACTACCCGGATAAGGTGATCGAGGCATGGATGTGATGCTGGGGACAGTGTATTGGTTTGGTTCAGCGTGCATTGGCATCGTTGAGCCTGGTTCTCTGTTAATGATGCGTCGCTTCTGGTCTGTTGACTAGGGTTGCTTGCCTCAGCAGCGGTTTGCTTTGGTCCAGCTGGCGTTGGTGATCCCGGGCTGCGAAAACGTGTGAACCAGTTCGCCAAAGGTGTTGCTGCAAGTGAACCGGTGTTTGATTGGCCACCCGTGTTTGTTGGTTGATGCAATGAGAGCAGTTGTGACATAGACGCTTCCAAAGCCTGGATTTGATCGGTGTCAGCTTTCAACACTGAGACTTTGGCTGGAAGGTGTGCGATGACGGTGTCTTTGTCTGCGTTGTTGTCAGTCTTGGGTCCTTTACCCTTGTGTGTGGATGAACCTTCCATCCTGGCTTGTGGAGTGAAGATGAAGCTGCCTGGAGGTCTAGGAGTTTCGTCTCAAAGTCTAGTGTTGAAAAATTTGCGTACGATTTTGGCGTCTGGAGTGATCGAGGATTCTAAAGGGTCTGGTAAGTTTGTCGCTGGTTTCAAAGTGGCGATCGGCGCTGGTGTCGTGTTTGCAAAAACTGTGTAGTCGCTATACGGGGTGTCAGGTGGAGCTTCTGGTTGATAGTTATATCTTGGGGGTGGCGGAGCGGCAGGTGGGCGGTCAACTGTGCTAGTTCTTTGTCTTAGTCGGCGTAATAAGCTTTTGGGATTGTTGGTAAAGTTTACTGGTAACTTGAATCCCATAAGTCTCTAGGAATCTAGTGGATT